ATAATTATAATTTGATCGTATTATTCAATAATTTGAAAATAATAATCAATTAAGATTTATAATATATTAATATATTGTTTTTTTTGCTTTAATATTATATATTTTTTATAAATTTTATTTCATAAATATTCTAATTTTCAATTAAAAGTATTTGTTTTAGTATTTATAAAATTCTGAAATTGTAGATTGTTATAATCTCCGATTATTTGATTTATTATTAATTCAATTCCTTTATTATAATAAAATAAATCAAGTTTTTATAATTTATATATATTTATATAGTATATTTTAATTCTTTCAAATATTATTTTTATTTTTTAAAAGTATCTATTATCATTAATAACTTTTTTATTATATATTTTGTAGTTTAATTTAATTAATAATAATTTATATAAATAATAAACAATTGATTACTATTTCTTATTTGAATTTAGTTAATTTAATATAGTTTTTATTATATAATCTGAAATATTTGTTTCTATAATTATTGATAGTTCTAAATCAAAAATTAAAAGAACAGATTCCTTAATAAAAATCTTTTTAAGATTTTCGAATATCTTTTGTATTTACAAAGTCCATTGGAATTTCTTTTGATTCTTTTTGATGATTTCTGATATTGAGATAATTATTTTAGAATAATCTTTAATAAATCATTAATAGAAATCGATAAACTTTAAAAAGGATTATACTTTCTTTATATTATTCAATAATTCCCAATTTTGAATTATTTCTAATTTATCAAGATTTATTTTGAGATTTTCTAAAAAGATTGTATAATCTAGAAATTCTATTTCTATAATATAAAATTTGTATTTACTAAGTTTGTATTGAAAATCTATCTCCTTTAAACATTTTAATTTTATATATATTTATTATATATTATTCTTTTATTTTAAAGAATACTAAAATATTGTTTAAATAATATATATAAATAGATATCCAAATATTCCTTTAATATATTATTAATTAATCATATATATATTGTTAATATATTAATTAATTCGAATAATATAATCCGATATTCATATAATCTATGTTGAATTCTAAATATTGTTTTTTATTCTTTATTTTTATTTTATTTTGATTAAATGAAATTTATTTTGTAAATCAAACTTGAAGAAAATATTTGTTTTTTCTAATTAGTTCTTTAATTCTATAATTAATAAAAATAAATATCGATCCTTGATTATTATATTATTGAATTTATGATAATCTATATATAATCTTTTAGTATTATCCTTCTTAGATATATATAATACAGAATTTACTATTTGTAAAGTTGATTTTCTAATCCAACCTTTCTTTAATATATTATCAATATATTCCCTAAATATTCTTAATTCTAATTCCGATATCTAATAGATTAATCCAAATAGGAATATCTTGTCTTTCTTCAATACTATCTTATAATCCTATAGTTTATATTCTGATAAAGCCTTATAGTTTTTTCTTTCTTCGAATAATCTTTTATGTCTTTGATATTATATCGATATTAATACTTCTTGTTTTTATATAAAAATGATACCAAACAATTTCTTTTGTTTATTTTTTATTTATATAGAAAATTCATTTTCTTTATTATTATTGAAAGATTCTAAACTAAATATTTTATATTAATAATATTTTTTTTTAATTCTTTATTATATATATTCAAACTTATAAGTTTTAATATATCCTAATAATTACTTTTGCTTAAAAAACTTCTAACTTCAATAATTCAATCGATTCTAAAATTGTATATCTTTAACTATACTATTCTTAAAATGATTTATTGATTCTTTAAGAAAACAATATTGAATTATACTTATTTATATTAAATAAATCTTTTACAAAATCTTATTGTCTAATTTTGTCAATTATTTATCAACTAATTACAATTGATATAAAGTTTATTTCGTTTGGAACTATATTTTCAAATACTTTATAATTTTAAATATAATAAAGTTTTTAATAATTTCTGAATCAATTATAACTTAGAATTTTCGTTTATTTATTCTGATATTGTAATAAATCTATCCTATTTGATCTATAATATTTAGTTGTTTTCGATTTATAATCTTGTTTTGATCAATTTGGTTAATTTGATCAATTTCGTATAATTGATTATTTTGATAATTATATAAAGAAATTTTTTTGCCTTTTTTCTATAAAGGAATTATTCTATAATTTTTTTATTTGATAAATGAATTTTGTAGAAATCATTATAATAGATTATCCAGTTCATTATTATATATTCTGTCGATAGTATTTCTTTTGAATTTTTTTCAATCAAAAAGGATAATAAAATTTGGAAATATTCCAATTCATATCGATTTATAGTATTTAATCTTTTTTGATCTTATAATATTATATTAATTTCTCTTTGATGTTATTTTTGTTTATAATTATTATCTTCAATTAGATTTAAAATATATAATTGAAATACAAAGATAATCTTGAATTGGTTTTTTTTTCGAATTTAGTTTTTTTGTAATAATCTTTTTATCCTTATAATTTTTTGTTTTGATAATTAGATTTGTTATATTTAAAACAAAACTTAATCCTTTATTTTCAATCTATTTTCTTTTTAGATAACTTATTTTTGAAGATTATATTTAATTATATTAAATATTTATATAATTATTAATGATTTCAAGATCTTTTTTTGTTCTTATAATACTTATTACAATCTCGATTACTTTAGGAATTGAAGGACCAATATTTCTTTTAATATTTATAAAATGTCTTATCTATTTTGATTGATTTTTTAATTAATTCGTTCAGATCTTTTCAAATATAATTACAATCTAATTCTAATTTAATCTTTGTTTTGAATTTTTTTTGTAATAGTTTATTATAATATTCTCTTTTTATTTAATAATATTTATACATCGTTTAAATTTTATAATATATTTAATTATTGATTTTGTTTGTTTGAGATTATAAATCTTGGAGTCAATATTGTATAATTCATTGATATTTCCGAATATTTATCGTATTTTTTTTTAAATCCAATAAATATTTCAAAGATAATTTGGATTAGATATATTCGTTTTTTAGATTTATCTAAATATATAAAGTAGTTCTTAAGATAAAATTGAATCTATTTGAAGATTTTTTTTTTAAGATAGAAGACAATTTAGATATTTTTGTTAAACTCAAAATAGATTTCAAATTGGAATAGGAAGGTTTTTAATTCTTGTTGATTGCTTATAAACTTATCGAATAAGATGATTTTAAAGGTTTCGATAATAATCTTTTTAAGATCCTTTATTCTTTTTATAACAACGTTTCTGTTTTGATCATATTTTTTGAAATGATTAAAATCAGATTGTTAAATTGGAAGATCTAGGAAGATAAAATATGACTTTGTCGAATCGATACTTGAGGCAATAATAGTATTCAAAATGTTATAAGAGATATAATTTAGATTATATAAAAATGATCTGAATCTTTAAATGGTTTATAATTAGATATCAAGTAAGAATTTAAAATAATATCAATAATTGCAATTTGTAGTTAATAATAAAATATACTAAATGATTAATTTTGAATATAAGGCTTTACAAAAGGAATTCTTTTCTAATTATATAAATCTTTATATCAATAGAATCTAATAGATCTAATATATGATTTCCTAGCTCCCCTAAATCCTTAAAATCATATAATTAGGATCAGACTATATATCCAGGCTTGCTAAAAGTAAAAAGATTACAAGAATCAATTACTATACAAATTTGTATACAAATCGTTTTGTTTTTCGACAAAGCCCAATTATAACACTAATATAAATAATAGAAAATAAGAAACTCGTTTAAGTAAATCACGATCCTGATAATCTGATTGGTCTAAAATACCCCGGTAAATACCCCGGTAAATAATTTAACAAAAAGCTTAACATAAACTTTACAATTTCAAACAAATCTGATTTAGAACTTTTTTCAATTCTATTGAAATCATTCAACTAAATTAAAATCATTCAAATCATTTAACTCATTCAACTCATTCCACTCATTCAATTCAACTCTATTCATTTAAACCAAAATAATAATAATAATAATAAATAATATAAAATATTATAAATATTATTATAAATATTATAATTATAATTATAATTTTAAATAAAATATTTTAATTTTCAATTATCAAAAACAAACTGCTACTCTATTTGTATTTTAATATATATTCAATATTTAAATTTATTATAAACTTTTTAAAACTTAAATTTTCATTAGACTTTCTCGAAAAGCTAAGGGTCCGGTGGGCGCAGGCCCCTGGTATATTCCAAAAAATTATATCTATTATAAATTTTTTTTCAGAAATCCTTTCTTTTTATTATTGAAATTCTTTCTTTTCAAAAGACTCTCTAAAATCAATTTGATCAATTTGATTGATTTAATTAATTTGATCAATTTAATCAATTATTAATATAATTGACTAAATCAATCAAAAACAATTAATCCAATCAATTTAGAATTTATAAATCTATACAATTCTAATTTTTGTTAATTATCGATAAAACAAAAGAATAAATATTCAAAAACGAATTTTCCTAAAAAAAATATTATTATAGATTTCGAATTATAAAAACAATTTTATAATTCCTTTATCTATTAATAAATTGATAATTTATATATCTAAAATCTAATTTATTCTTTTTAATATAGAAATATAATAACTTTAAAATTGAATATATACAATCATACAACTATTGTATAAATATTTTTAAAAATATATATATATATAAATACTCTTTACAAGTTATAAGTCTTCAATCGTAGATTCTAAGAAATATAATTGACTCTGTTTATTCAACTCTTATACAGTTATTATACATTACAAATCCTTTACAAATTGAAAAACGTAATTTCAACTTTCAATTTCTTAACTAATAAAATCACGAAATATCTGAAATTTTCAGAATATATTAATAATTATATAATATATTTGTGATTTAAATTTCATTAAATTCTAATGCTTAATTGTGAAGTTATTAATAACTGATTTTTGGTGTAAAAAGGTGACCGGAATTAGGGGTGGCCGGAAAGTAGGGTACTAGACTTATTGGAAAGGACTGATGTCTAGCTTCTTGACAAGCTAAATACTTTATTAATAATAATGAAATGACTTCTCAAAAACTAGCATGACTAATCAAAACATGACCGAATTCGCTCATGATTTTTCCTCATGCAATATGGTTGTATTTTACATATTCGACATCCCACCTGATTTCTCGAGTACAAGAAAATTCCCGTACCAGAATCAGCTGAAAACCATCACCGAACTTACCCGCATAGCTAGCAAACATTTTATCATTGCGCCGAGGAAAGAGACAACAGTCAGTGCTCACGTGATATCATCCAAGTCTTTCGAGCGCCACGGAGTCCATACGAGCCTCACCGTTGTATCGAAAGGGCGATGCCTTCCGACTCTCTCAGGTACGTTTGTACCTGCAACCAGCCTGGTCTCGTCCTTCTCTTCTATCGCTACTTTACCTCTCCGCCCCAACTCCCTTCACAACACTACCCACTTTCCCTTCAAGGCTTGCGTGATTTCCAAAAGTCAACATGCGAAACTTTAGGCCTTACCGGTAAAATCCGGGTTGCAAAGGAGGGCTTCAATATCACTGTTGCGGGTACGATATCGAACGTCCATTCTTATATCGAGTCGTGTATATCCCATTGGTCGTTTGCCGGGCTAGATCTATCTTTAACCAATGGAAAGGGAGTTCAAGAATTTTTCAAACCTACAAAAGGTTGTGCGTGTGTTTTCACGAATTTAAGTATCCGTATCACGGATGAGATTACACCGCTGGGGATCACGAATTATGAGCCCAAAGATTGGAACACGGTGACTTATCTGAGTCCTGAGGACTTCCACAATATGGTTGCTGCTGCGACAAATGGGGATGGAGAGAAAATGCTACTTGATATACGCAATCACTACGAGTCACGGATTGGATATTTTGCGGCACCAGAGGGGTCTGGTATCCAGACTTTAAAGCCACAGGTTAGGAGATTTTCGCAGTTCCCTGCATTTGTAAAGAGACATATAGATATCACTTCTCGTTCTTCATCTGAAAACAAGAAAGATGAGAGTAGTCCTGGTAAAACGGTTTTCTCCTATTGTACAGGCGGCATTCGCTGTGAGAAAGCGACAAGGTGGATTGCGGAAAATGTGGAGCAAACTCGGCAAGACAAAATCTACACCTTGAAGGGAGGTATATCGGGATATGTGGCTTGGTTTGAGGGAGAGATGATGGCTGGTAGGAAGAAAGAAGATGAATGTTTATGGAAGGGGAGAGAATATGTTTTCGATGGAAGGGGTTCATTGGGGTTAGTTAATGCAAAGGAAAGGAAGAAGGTGGCGAAGTGCCATGGATGCGGGAAGGAGGAGGATAGAATGGGAAAATGTGACATGGAAGGATGTGAGTTAGTATTGGTGGTTTGCGAAGGCTGTGACGGTATCAACTGCTGTAGTAGTTGTGGGGAAGTAGATGGGAAGGGGAAGAGAATGGTTTGTGATTGCGAAAGGCAAAGGGAATTTGGGCTATGGGGGAGCAAGGGTATGAGAGGCGTCAAAGGTGTTTCAGCGAAGCAAAATAAATTAGATGAACGGGGAAAGAGACAGGCTATAATTGATAACATAGATATTAGAGTCAAGACAATAAAATAAGACAGTTCGGGATTTCATCACTCCATACATCAAACAAGGTATTCTGCACCCGTTCAATAAAGCTCAAGTGGGCATCCCTGGTCGACACTCTTCTTGGGCATCTTCTCAACAATGACCTCTTTCGTCAGCTTCATCAACTGCTCGCCTAGATCTTCGTCTTGAGACAACTCGCTTCCTGGCTCGGGGATTGCTGGTGGACAGATATACAATCCACTTTTTTCCACCGCAGTACTGGCGTACAAGGTACTGACACAACCATCCCATTGATCTTTCTTCAAGGGCTTCATGAGGACAGACATGCCATACCCGAGTGTTGGATATGGTTCATGAATATCAACCTGCGACATTTTTGTCTCGACAAATCCAGGATGCACAGCGTTGACCAAGATTTTGGGATATTTGGAAGTGAGATGACGAGCCAAGTAACGTGAATAAAGTATAGACGCCAACTTCGATCGTCCATATTGTCGGTTTGGTCCTAAATCTTTGTTTAACTCATCCACACTTGCAAATTTGCAATCGCTCGGAGCGGCTTGATGAGCATTCGAAGACATGTTGACGATTCTGACGGTATGCCCAGCCTCTGCTGTTTCCTTGAGAATTGGCAACAAGTGACTTGTAAGGACAACGTGACCAAAATGATTGACTGCCATATGTCTATCAAGACCATAGTCGGTAAGTTGATATGTCATGACCCCCCGTGCAGCGAGATTGCACAGGATATCAATTCTATCTGTGCTCTCGGATATTGTGTGAGCGACCTTGCACACGGCCGGCCAATCGGACATATCACACTCGAGGAATGTGCATTTTTGGGCTGCCTCGGGTGAGATAGTCTTGGAGATATCCTCTACAGCACCATCATAAACTTCCTGGGATACAGCAATGATGAATAGCTTAGCGAGGTTGTTCTTGAGAAGGGTGTGTGCACAACCATAGCCGATACCTTCACTACCGCCAGTTATGACTGCCACCTTCCCGCTCTGGTCAGGGCAATCCTCGAGAGAGAATTGGTGCTCTAGTTTTGCGAGAGAGTGCCTACGAAGCATCAGTATATCAAAATAGACAAAGAACCACGGAAACATACGTGCCCCCGACATTCTCGGCGATAGTGTTCTTAACTGTTTGCATGATATTGGAACTTGAAATTGGAAATTGGAAATGGAATAGAGAATGAAGTCTACAGAGCGATTCCTTCATCTATTATACTCAGCGGAATCGCCCAACAGTGGGTGCAGAAATTCGGTAAGCACTTTTTCAATCCTCACCAAAATCAAGAAAATATCAACAATTTCAGAAAATGATTTTAAATTTAATTTATAACATTTTACAATCAATTCTTAAATGAAGTATTGAAATTTATCTAAATTATTATATTAAATATTAATAAATAATTTTTGAAATTTACAAATCTCAAGATCATAAATTAATTATTGTCAAATATATTATATTAAATATTTAAAAAGAATTTAAAATTTTTAGAATTTGAAATTTTTAATAAACGAAAAGATAAATTCATTTTCAATTTATATAATTTCAAAATTTCATTAAATAACATATTATAATCATTGAGTTATATTAATTTGAAAATGTTGAGTTTTGATATTTCACTGAATTATGCTTACAGAATTTCTGCACCCACTGTTGGCCCTTACGTCAATGTTGTATATACAACTTCCAAATACGTAAGGTCGATTGTCATATTATCATGATGTCACTACATACATCCTCGGTGTTGAAGCGAACATGCCGTGGGGTAACAATCGTCTGAGTTACTGAAAGCATCAATCTGTGCCTTGTTAATATCATTATCCATACCACAGTTCATCTGTTAATCTTGACACTTGTTTACTTAGGTAATGTTTAGATGCGCAACAAGACTCCCATTGGTACTATATCACACAGTGAGAATAAAACTTTGGAAGTTAATCGCGCTTTGCCCCCAAATACTACAAACAAGATTCTTCAATCGGTAATTGTTTATTAGCTAGAATTACCTCTTCGTGTCTTGCTTCTTACATGTTGAGTCCGACTCGATCATCTCGATTTTCTATTCCTCGATATACTTCTTCAGGTCTCTCAACCTCTCTTTTGCTGATTCAAGAACCTTATCCTCTTTGCATACCGCGAATCGCAACCAGTCCTCGCCAATATGAGCATTTTCATCTGTGTAAAATTCGGTCGGAGGAATAGCAGCTACGCCAACCTCCTGTATTAAAAACCAACTCAACTTGAAGTCTCTTGGACGATCTTTAACGTGGTCTGGAAATGGATAGTCCGAAGGTATCTTGACCTTCTTCATGTTCACCAAAACGAAATAACCTCCTTCGGGATCGGAAAAGGGAAGATCCAGCTCTTTCCAAATTTCGTTGAAAAGATCCATTTTACCTTTCATCTCAATCACGGCTGATTCCCAAAAATTGTTGGCATCAGCTTCTTCGAACCCGACAGCAGCAGCTTCTTGTAGTGGAGACACGGAAGAATAGCAAATTCTTGTATGTGCTGCTGCAACATACTGAATCAAATGTGGTGGACCGATCAACCACCCGACACGCCATCCAGTAGCGTAAAAGTTCTTTCCCGCAGAGCCAACCGTAAGTGTGAGTCTTTCAATTTCTGGAGATAATGTTGCGATTCTTGTAAATGGTGTGTAGTAGAGTCGGTCATACACCTCATCGGACAGAATGATAATTTCGTTCTTGACGCAAAGCTCCCCAATCCTAAGCAATTCCTCTTTTGAGAAAACCTTTCCAACTGGATTGTGAGGCGTATTTAGCACGATCATCTTTGTCTTGGGTGTAATGGCAGCCTCGAGCTCCGCAAAGTCTATCGTCCATTCGCCAGCAGAAGTGTTGTGAGTTGCACCCCGTTCAGGGGGGTGAAGGGGTACATAACGAATCTTTCCACCTGGCATTTCAATGTTGCTGATATATCTGTGATAGGCTCAGTATCGCATCTGTCAAGTCCACCCCAGCATACCAGCTTACTGGTCAAAGAATGGCTCAAATATTATGACCTCGTCTCCCTCCTCGATGAAACCCATGAAGGCACTAAGCATGCCTGCGGCTGGTAAGCGTATATCCCCAATGCTTCGTGTCTTTCCTAACCTTCATTTGCACCGGTTGTAATAGTAATTTCCGTCTCTGGGTCCAGCTTTCTCCCCCATAGAGGAGAATATGAATCTGCAATTGCTTGCCTAAGACGTGGACGACCCTTCGTTGGCGAATATTGGTTGCATTCAACCTTATCAAGAGCTGCCTTGGCGGCATCGAGAATAAACTTGGGAGGATTGTATCCGAAGAACCCTTGGCCCATATTTACAATAGGTTGCTTGGGAGAGGCGGCAGCACCCTCATTGACAATGGACCTGCAAATGCCTCATGTTAGAGATGCGATATAATGTCAGTCAGAAAACAACCAGCCGTATGCTTATTGGCATTGGTATGAAAGTATGAGTAACTTTTCAAGATCGATTGAAGTAAACTTTCTGGGAATCTCCTGTGCCTTGCACTTGCAGAGTTTCAATTAAAGCTGACGGCACGACTTCCATGAGTCCAGACCCAAATGTGAGTTGCACATACCAAACATCTTGCCTTCTTGCAGCAACGCGAGCAGCAGGTTGAAGCTTAGATTTGTTACTCATGGTGGGGTGAAAGAAGCGCGGAGATGCGATAGTAGAGATCTTGATATAATGTCCAGTGAAAGATTGTGCCAAAAGAAGAGACGATTTTCTCGATATCATTGGTATTTCCAATAAATATTTAAAAGACAGAGGAAAGAGGGGAAAAGTAAAGTAAAGAAAAGTAAAGTGGGGGATCTGATTGATGAGATGAGATGAGATGAGATGAGATGATTTGATAAGATTTGATATTATTCACAACTCATTATCGTACTTTTTCACTTCCCAAGTTGTTCCCATGCGTGCCGGTGTCGCAATGTCGCAATGTCGCAATGTCACCCAATTCCAATTCCGGACAAGAAGGTGATTGATGAAAGGGAGAAAAGCTCCCGTAATCTCTACAGAGTAGTGGGGGATGGATGTAACATGAGCGGGGTGAAGGAGTTTAATACTACCTCAGTATTTATTTACTTTGTTACTTACTTTTTACTATCTATCATCTATTATTTACTACTTATTACGTCCTATTTATCATTTGATATTTGATATTTACTATTATTATTTACTGTTTGCTATTTATCATTTATCATTTACTATTTATTGCTCACTCCAAAACCTTACAATATACCCTCCTAGGTAATTTCAATACAACAATGCCAGAGTGACAACAACAACAAGACTTTGGCAAGAGATTCGATTGTTTGACCTGAGCTTTGAGCTTGATCTTTAGCTTGACCTTGACCTCAACCCGCCTGCTCTGGTTTTCTCTAGTTCGCAATCAATAATGGCTTCAAAAACAAGCCCTACAGCTTTAACGCCATCGAGACCGCTACATATTACCATTCGATTCGCGGACTCGATCCCAGATCTACTTTTGGACATTCCCACTCAAAATAATATCACCGGTGTGGGTTTGAAACATTTAATTCGTTCAAAGCTCAAACCTCCTGCTTCACAGCGTCGATTTCGATTCATTTACGGTGGGAAATTCATACGAGATGATGATTTCCTAACAGCTATTCTCAAGGTTCCAACACCACCGCCACGAGCTATCGATGTGAAGGGCAAGGGGAAGGACGTAGAACCACCTCCAGCTAGGGTATATATCAATTGCTCAATTGGCGATGATGTTCTTAGTCCTTCCGAGATTGAAGCAGAAACGATAGCAGCCACCGCTGCGCTCAATAAGCCAAAGAAGACAAAATTACCAGATGGAGCTTCTTCGAGTCTCGGCACACCAGCTTCAAGCACAACTGTCGCACCGCGTGGCTTCAACCGCTTTCTCTCGGCAGGCTTTTCTCCAGCTGAAGTGAATCAACTACGCCTTCAATTTCAATCAATTCAGGCGAGCATACATACACCTGATACTATGCCGTCTCCTGATACTTTGTTACGGATGGAAGACTCGTGGATAGATAATAATGCAGGGAATGGTGCAATTGGGACCGAAGGTGGTTTTGACTTTGGAGACGATGGTATGGGCAGTGGATTCGATGATTTGTTATGGGGTAACATCATGGGATTTTTATGGCCACTGGGATGTGTGGTATGGGTATTGAGAGAACCTGGGATATTGTCATCAAGAAGACAAATTGCTGTCTTTACGGGCTTTCTCCTCAGTATCACATTTGGATTTTTAAGAGTTCTTTCGTGACACTCAAAGATTGCGAAGTTAGCTTTCAAGCTACTGGGGAAAGCTTGTATCTTATATATCCACATGTGGTGATATAATAGAACGAGTGAGTTCTCTACGGAGTTATTGGGAATTTTTGAAACAGATGGCGGTTAAATGTTTTACAAGACTTTAAGAGCGCAAGCTTGTATTTATACAATCATCTTCTTCTGGTGATATATGGGATTGAGGGAGCTTTCAATGGAGTTATTGGGGATACAGAAGAGATGACGATAGCGATGGCAATGGCGACGGGGAGTTCTACATGATACCCGTTCAGTTGAGTAATATTGATGTAGCATTCGAGATTATTGGCTTCTCATTTTACGACGTCGGACTTTTGATTTATTCAACGGGTGAGGAGCGTCAAATTGGCATATCTGACGATACATCAATGCATTAAAATGACTGCCAAAGTTGTGGTCACAACAGGCTCACCCTTCGAGGCCGGGGATGTCTCTAGTCACTATTCACAAATATATAGGTATTTTGCCAGCCACTCACGCCCTTTACCTTGGATCAAATGCAGAGAAAGTTCCTCGGGGACTTTGCGTAAGCAGCCTGTTTCTTTTTATCCAGCTGATTATTGTCACACCACTTCTTTACCCGCTTTATTAGGTAGATAATATGACTTTTCTGCATTAAATGCGTTGAACGACCGTTGAATTTCTCTCGATTCTCTTGTTTCACAATCGAAATATTCTATTCCCTTTCAACATTTCCATTTACTTTCGTTATCATTCATATCCATTACTATTTAATGAAATGTATAGTATTATGGCAACACTATAACGCCAATCTTTGATCGCCGACCATACATTATGGTTTGTTACCTTTCGCCTGCCTCCGGTTACTTGCATATTTTGTAGCACCTTGGCGGAATCTTGTCCATCCGTCCAAGCAAAACGGGCCCGGTACTTTGGAACGTGTCATAGAAAGCCAGGAATCATCACTGTCGTCAAACCAAACTGTTGGAGATTTCTTTGGGCATCGGAATAGGCTGCAATATGTACTGCTATGCAAGACCAAAAAAAGAGTGGTATTACAACGTTTTGCCCTGGGAAGATGACCAGTTGAGCGAGGGTATATTGCATTTATGATATAGAAACGTTACTTTTGCCAGACTTTTGTTTCGAGTTTCTTTCTGCTTGTAAACATATATTCCTCTCCTTCCATACTTTCGTGATTCATTAATGTGATTTTACTTCGAACATCAACATGGCAACATCACAAGAGGCCATCGATGCCTTTAATGCGGCTGGAACAGCTCTTCCAGATATACAAGATGATGCTTCATCAAATCCGATCGAAGTCGATGTAATGTCCCTGAGCTATCATCCAAAAACCAAGCTTACCAGTGAAGGACAACGATGCACTTGAGAATGATTCCGCATTTGGTGGACCTGCGGCGTAGGTAATCACTACTTGCTCTGAGTGGGGACTAATGCCAGAAAAGTAGCAATACGAGTAAGACTTCGTTGACATCTGGAATCACACGATATAGGTAAGTGCCTCTTTTACTTCTACTGGAAGTCCTCAAGCTGATTCGCGTTGTTTCAGGGAAGAAGTATGGCTGTGTTTAGTAAACCGAAGCAACCAAATGTACTCACGCCTTCTAGAATGGTCGGAGATACCACGCTTACAGAGATGGAAAATATTTAATGGTACAACAATCCTTGATACTTCCATCAAAAAATACTAAATAGTCAAGCCGAACGATGACGACGAACAAGATCGTATGGACCTGGTATGTATACAGATTTTGAATATTAGAAGAATGGCCTAATAAATCTAATAAGCTTCATCACGTTTTCAACCTCGTTTTAGATGGCAAATTATACTTGGCCCCGATTGAGGATCCTCAACGAGTACTTGATGTTGGAACCGGTACTGGAATTTGGGCAATTGATTTTGCTGAGTATGGTCTTGTCGCTTCAACAGAAGGTATATATCTAACACCGGTTTCCAGCCAATATCCCTCATCACATGTGGTGGGTTGTGATTTATCTCCAATTCAGCCTGGCTGGTATGTCTTCCCTCCTTTACGGATGTTTGCTAAGCATATTGCAGGATACCACCAAATCTTGAATTTGAAGTAAGGGTCGCCGATATAAGCTTACTAGATGAGACTACTTACCAAAATTAGATTGACGACGTCGAAGATACGTGGCGCTATGGTCAGAAATTTGATTTCATACATATCCGCTCTTTGGGTGGTTCCATCGCTTCTTGGTCTGTTGCACGATCTTACTCCAAGATGGAATGATTGATGATTACAACATTATACTAACTATTAAATTCACAGGCCTCATCTTCTCCAACAAGCTTTTGACAATTTGAACGAGGGAGGTTATATCGAGCTTGTAGATTTCGAATAGTCTGTGTCTGCTTCCTTTCAGCTTCTTCCACATCCCTGTCCACATAACTCGAAGAGTTCTGACTTGAATTTGGAATACAGCCATGGATACTCGGATGACGGGACAGGAGATGTACGTATCATCCAAACTTGATTATAACACAACGTTCATCTGATCAATAAATAGTTAGCCCCATCCTTCCAAAAGTGGCAGGCGGGCCTTGACGAAGCATCGAAACTATTCGGAAGAGAATTAAATGTCGCAATGAAATTTAGAGATTGGTTAAACGAAGCTGGATTTGAAGCGGTTGTCGAGAGACATTGGAAAGTAGGTGGCCATTTTCTATTCTGTGTGACAGCAACGGATTCGAATGTTAGATCTATTTTCAGGGGTCATCAGACGACTAGACTAGCCAGAATGATTATGGCCCCTAGACCGGCTTCGGTGAAAAAGATCAATATCCCGTTTCTCTTCTCACTAACATATACCCCATTCCTTTACTCTCTTTAATCAACCCACATCCTACTAACCACCATCCGTCTAGCTACCCATGGCGCCCTGGGCCCGCGACCGCCGCAACAAGGAAATTGGCCTATATATGCAGCAGAATATGTTAGACGCAACTGTCGCATATGGAATGGCGCATTTCACACGGATATTAGGATGGACACCTGAAGAGTTAGTGATTTCTTGCCTCCCACCCCTTCACTTCTCTTTCATTATCAAACCATATCCCTATATTTCCGTACCGCGATTAATTAGGTTGATCGCAAAATGAAGTTCTTGATACAGACTCTAGACTAAAAACCTCAGATACCAGGTTCTCGCCGCCGGCGTACGCAATGAATTCAAAGACAGCAGAGTCCATAATTGGTGTAACATGTATATAGTATATGGATGCAAGCCGATGGGAAGTGGAGCGGAAAGAAATGCTCCTGCCACGGGAGCTCCTGTGCTGTCTGGATTTGACGCGTCTCCTGATACCGCGGCGAAATTGATTGGAACAGAGCTGAATACTGGTTACAATGTTACGGAGAGGAAAATTGGAGATGGAAAGAATATTGAGGGGCGGAAGAAAGTAGGCGATGGAAATATTGAAGAGAGGGATATAGCATCTGCCGTTAAAGAGGCCGGGGAGAATATTATGGCGCAAGGAAAGGGAAAAAGCAAGGTTTTGGAGGTTGTTAAGGAGGGCGTGGGGAAGGAGAAAGGAAAAAGTGGGAAGAAGTGAGGTTAGACGTGGATTTGAAGAGATAAAGGGATAAGACGGGGTAGACGGGACATGGATGGTAGCAGTGACTTTACAGCTTTAATGAAGCGAGTCAACATGGTAATGCAATGGAACAAGAAGAACCACTGGTCGGGATGCAGGGAAAAAGTAAAGTAAATCACAAATCAATTTCATCATCTCATCTAGAGTAATTAGGTAAATAGCAATATGAAAATGCCATTGCACACTTTCCTTTTCCTCAGTAACTTTTTTTTGACTAATTTCAAGGAAGTTAGGAATGTTTTCCGTCTCCCATCTAGCAAGACTTAAATTCCCCTTCCTACAAAAACCCCCATCTACTTATTTGATAAGATGATTCAATAATCAACTCAACAGAACCCTTACACCTCTACTATCACTCCCTGGCTGGGGCAGGAAAAAATCTCGTTTAATCTTGACATCTCTATCAAACTCTGTATCATAGAGCTGAATATTGAATCTGGAGATGATAACCGCCAGCGCTAGGTGAATTTCTACTTTTGCTAGACTAAACGATTGTGTCAGTGGCGGTACAAGACTTATAGCTTATGCTCACGAAAGTAAGACGGCGTTTTGAGCTGCTGTTGAAATATACATACATTCGACCGATACAAATCCTCGTGCCTCTGGAGAAAGCAGTGAGATAGCGTTCTAGAGCACGGTCAATAGTACCATCGGGTAGAATCCAGCGTTCCGGGATAAATTGGTGGGAGGAGGGAAGATTTTTCGTTGTGGTGCTGAAGCATAGTGCTCATTCCGATGGGCGTCTGTTTTTGGAAAATCATGTCAGTATAGCTGGAGGATTGGATCACGAGGAGGAACTTACGCCGGCTGGAATTTCCCACTTTTCATATCTGAGATTTTCGTTGGGTGCACTGCGAACTAGTCTGCTTGAGACGCCGTATGAAAGTCTTTGGTTTTGTTTAGCTATTTATCTCTGTTTGATCCATGGTAGAGTAATTTACCGCAGCCCTTCAAGAGTGCAAGCATTCTGAATATCAAAAGTTAATCCCATAGTTCCCCTCTAAAACCACCCCAAAAAGAACCAGTACACTCACTAAATAAACCAATTTCTCCACCATTTCCAATTCAACTCTCTTCTTACCCCCTTTTCCTTCCTCTCCTCTGCCCAACCCGGCACCTCTCAACTCATCCCTCAACTTCTCGCATCTCACCCTATCATCGGCAAGATAATACACCAAAGTCATCAGCGTGTTAGCGACCGTATCCGTGCCCGCGTTTATAACATTAATAGCCTCTTGACTCATGTTTCCAAATCTCTTTTCACTTTCTGGTAAAGAAGAGGAGAGGAAATTATGGAATATTGTACGTGGGAAACCGTCAACTGCGGCATCGACTGGAAGGATGGAGTCTGAGAGGACTTCTTTGATTTGGGCGCGGATTTTCTATGCAGGAGATTCGTGTTAGCGCGTGGTAATGGAGGGAAGGGAAGAAGAAGGGTAGAAGGGAAGATAGGGTACATCATGGTGATCGAGCGTGAGAATGACACCCGGAGAATATCTTTTTAGAATCCAGCGAGGTGTATATTCCATCAGGGAGTACATATTGGGGAAGAATTTACACCATTTCCCTGCAATGGCTAAAGCGACAAATGTTTTCGCCCAAGCAGGGCTAAAATCCGGCACCTGTAAGATTGGATTAGAGGTACTATCAAAGGAAAAGGGGAGCGGATTACATCGAGATAATTCCAACACCTATTAGTTGCGTAAAGTGTCATGATATCCGCGGTGTAACATTGAAATGGATGGCGAATTGTGAGCGGCTTGTTCGTGCCACGAAATTCTTCGAGGCGTGAAGAGAGTTTCTCGACCTGTATAGAGGTATGAATGTCAAGACAGGTTCACAGTAGTTGCTCGTATCTTATGGAAAGGAAGGAACCAACAGAACGGTCACCGGAAAGAGGTGTAAGCTTCAATGGCAACGCCGTAATGAATAACAAGCTTACCATAGCGACTAACATGGGAGATAGGCGATCGATCGAAGCTTTGGAGAAGAATGGGTTAAGTGCAGACCTTCTCATTCGATGAACATAGTGATCCACGGAGCCAAATCCAGTATCCGGCGTATTGAACTGTGCTGTGTAGAAAGGATCTTTGTTCCTCACACCACCATACGAGAATAGAGTATTGTAGTACTCGGGGTCATCGATATGAAGCTCATTTGGTCCGATTCTAATAATTGGACCTTGAACAAAGTAATCAGTATGACTATTTATGACACTTTGAAGCATTATTTGGCCAAGTGACATACCATACTGTTCGTGCCATTGTTCAATCTTGGTGAAATATTGACCTGATTGAATACATTCATAATAAAACTCCGACCATTGGGTAGCTGCAGGCAATTTAGGACCCGGGAATTTGGATAACGGGTGGAAGTAGAGACGATAAACAACGCCCAAGATGCAGTAAACAAGAATTGAAGATCCAAGAATAGCTACTACGTTGATCTGGCTGATATCAGGGAACAACATGTTGAAGAAGGCTTAACTCAATGAAAATGATCAGAATTGGAATTTGAAGACGCGAAGGAATTGGGGAAGTGCAGATTGATGAGAATGGAGGAAATATAAAAGACATGGCTGCATACTATCCTCTCAACCATACTGCCCACCATAGTCACTGACAGAGGGATGACAGCAGCCCTAACAAACGGGAATATCAGAAAGTCCCCTGTCAAAAAGCGAGCAGTCTTTTTGAAGGCTTGGCTCTGATGTGACAATGCTGATCTCCACGTTCTACACACGAGCGACCCAATCGAAAGTCGAGCGTCTTTTATAGCTTACATGGTCTCAGTGTATGCCGACGTCAGTTGAGCATCATAGAAATTTGGATTGTCCAGGGTACACACACGAGGGTAGGTCGTCGGTTGATAGATTTGTAGTACAAAAAGGTGCATATATGGTCACAAGAAATCCTATCGGTATTGCTTTAGGACCTCATTTGTGTAACACTCCACTAGTAGCGAGAAAACTATAACGGGTAAAGACATTTTGTCAATACTAATTGGCAGGAAAGACCACATGAAGCAAGGATAGATATGTAGCTGTGGTGCCATGATTTCTCATCTCACATAGTTGGCGCCCATCAAGAACAGTTGGGATGGATGCCCACACATGTTCAATTGCACGGTATTCGTTAGATCATATGTTTGTGATTCATAACTATGTAGAGATTTGCATCGGTATCCGCTTCACCCAAAAACGATAGGTAAAGATTCAATACAGCAGGTAGAAAGCATGAGCACAGTCCCGGCGCTGAAGAGAAAATCGCTGACTGCAGCAACATGTGCACATGAGCTGGCAAAAATGCATTGGGGAATGATCGAAGATAATATCATATGTCACTACATACCATGCACCTGCCCGAACCATGCAACAGATGTATTTCGGACCGCTTTCCAGTGTACTCGGCACTCATGGAAAACTCGAATAAAACCAATCACCTTTGCTTTGCGCAAATCGCAGCTTTGGAAGCTTTTTAATGTAAACCAATGGTACAAAGTTGTATTAAAAATCAGCCTATGGCAAAGTGTATCTGAAAACCGAATACCGAAGAACGCCCCGGTAAAAGCAAGCAATCTTCATCTGAACTTGCTAACAATAACAGCAATAATAAGAAGAACCAAGACTGTGATAATGGCCACGGTGATTATCCGGTTGGTAGCCATCCTAAAAGAAGGTGGTTAGCGTTACATCCCCGGCAGTTGTGAGGGGATCTAGGGACAATTTACCTACGAGACATCCCCCTCAACGTCTTAACGCTCCTATCAACGAACCCTTCGCTCTGTAGCAAGGTATTATGCGTATGTTGGATGGTCTCTCTCTGTCTATGTAAATCTGCGAGTGTACTAGCACCAATAGCCTCTGTCTCATTTGCCAATGCCTGACTAGCCTTCAATCTCTGTGAGCTTCGGTCCAATCTGTCCGTCCCCGATAGAAGTTGTTGCCTTTGTTCGAGTTGAACATCATTTGGATTGTCGGAATAACGTGAACCAAATAGAGCAGATCGATCGCTCTCTAAAGTTTTTAATTTCCTCTTGGATACATCCACGTCCGATTCATGATTTCGAAATCGTTGGTTGACTTTGGTACGGGTTGCTGAAGGGATATTTTGTTTCTCGAGTCGCATTTGATCCAGCTAGATAAGTGTTAGTAGTAGATAACAGCCATTTCATCCTTGAACCTACCAACTCATTTGCCTCTTCCAAGGCTCTTTCCGCTTGACTAATGGCAGCTTTACGAGGTTCTCCAGTGAGATCAGGGATCTGATCCAACTTTTGGTTTAAATCGGCTTGCACCAGTTTGAGCTCTGCTTCATAACTGCTAAAGAGCTCCGAGCCTGCATCGGTGTCGAGAGGGTTGGACATGTTGACAAACGGCAGACGATGGAAGGTATGGGGTGATGTGATAGTTTTCCAGAGGAGTGAGTATTGGCTATTTTAGAAGAAGTCGTTGTTGATAACCGATGCCTTCTTACTGGTGTCGCAAAGCAGTAATGTAGTAATGCAGTGATGCAACGCGGAGCAAGGTAATTAATGCCTTTCCTTCCTCGATTCAGGGTCAATGTGGTTGGTTATCTCACAGACTCACGGAATGCATGGATGAATAACGAATGAAGAAGGTTTATGATATATGTATGACAAACAGACGATGAATGGCTTTTCTCTTTTCAAATAATGGAATGTTACAATGAAAAAGGAACTTTGGTTGAATTAAGCAAAATATTCAAGAGAAATGTGAATATTTCGAGGTATGTCAACTTGTGAGTTTGTGTTTTGATTATTGTTAAGGTTAAGGTTAATTGATTTATTTGCATTGACAACATCAAGGAAGAATACAACCATAACAGCAGTCACAGACACAGACTCACAGCACCGCCTCAACCTTATCATGAGTGTGGGTGGCTAAGTCGTGAATGAGTTGTGGCTGGTAGCTGACAGAAGGATTTGTGATTAGTAACCTTATCTACCGGTATCAATAAAAGCGGATCACCCAAAAGTCCCGTTCCTGAATCAACAGGGGTCCTTCAACCTTAATTACTTTGTACTTTTTTTTAAATTTTTTTGATCTTCACATCCATCCCACCAAGTTTCGTGCATCGTGAATGAAGAAGCTTGAGCACGGATGGGATAGGGCTCGAGAGAGGTCGAAAGAGGTAAAGAGGGAGAGGAAAGAGGAAGAATGTCTAACTAACCTACCTATCTATTTAACTTTTCTTTCCATTTCTCTTTTGTACACAACACAATACAAACATACTTGGCACCGTTTTCCGCTCCATCAATATAACTCAATATACTCTCACTCGACTAGCATTGCTCTTCTTTTACTCCTCACTCCCTTCAATTCATTTTCTCCATTTTCATTCAAATACCTTTGTAATATCAAAGACACAAAAACTTCATCTATTTATCTCATTTGATTGTCTATTCTTACCTCTTTACCTCAAGCAATGTCATCATCCATCAGTTACACTATGCCCGATACTCCCAATACTACTGCTACTACTGCAGCTGCCCCCGCCACTCAAGAAAAACCGCTTAATACTGACATGTGAATATTCCATTCTCTATCTCTCAATTGCCCATTGACTTAATTCCACTTCTTCCCATGCCTCACTTCTTTTTTTTCATAAATCATGTCCGCCAACCTAACAAAACGATTTCCTAGAAAGAAAGTCGCTATTATCGGAAGTGGATGTGCTGGAATAGGTGCTCTTTGGGCTTTGAATCGCACGCATCACGATGTTTATATTTATGAAGCTGCAGATCGACTGGGAGGACATACAAATACTGTCAAGTATCATCACAATGGCAAAACCACTCCAGTTGATACAGGTTTTATAGTCCTGAATACTGCTACCTATCGTAAGTTATTGCTTTGCCCGACTTTCTCCGCCCACGCAGCTTTCAAGAAACATGTGGGCTAAAGCAAAATACATATAGCAAACTTCATAGCTTTCCTCAATGCTCTCAATGTTCCTATCGTACCAACTGAAATGACTTTTGGAGTCTCTCGAGATAAGGGATTATTCGAATGGTCCGGAACATCACTCTCATCAGTGTTCGCACAACGAAAGAACCTCTTCTCATTACGGATGTGGAGGATGATATTTGATATCATACGTTTTAACCAGTTTGCTTTGGACCTACTCAAAGATGACGAGAATAGTGAGGACTATGTGAATGGGAGTGGAACTTCAAAGAACACGCACCATGCAGTAAAACAAGAAACTATCGGTCAATACTTGGATAGGGAAGGATATTCCGATGCGTTCAGAGATGATTACCTTATTCCAATGACGGCAGCGGTATGGAGTACAAGTCCGGATAAATGTTCTCTAGAATTCCCTGCCGTTACTTTGGTCCGATTCATGTGAGTCTAAATTTCGGAGCCCAAGCGCTGTCATTGCTAACACGTTCAGGTGGAATCATCATCTATTAAGTACCGTTGCTGCTCGCCCTGAATGGCTAACGGTCAAAAATGGTGCCAAAACTTACCTTGATGCCGTGATGAAAGGTTTTCCCCCTAATCATATATATCTCTCAACTCCCGTCGAGTCAATACGTAATGACGACGACAATCGTGTGCGCTTATGTCTCGAGAATGGCAAGGAAGAGGTGTTTGATCACGTTATAATAGCTACTCATGGAGATACTGCATATAACCTAGTTCGATCAACTTCCACGGCCGCCGAACGTCGTATCCTGACTGGATTTCAGACCTCGAAAAATACGGCTGTCCTTCACTCCGATCTTGCTCTCATGCCTCAAAACAGAGAAGCATGGTCTGCTTGGAATTACATAACCGCCTCTTCTAATTTTTCGACCTCGAAATCTCGAAATGTTGACCAAGTTTGCTTAACATATAACATGAATATCCTCCAGCATATTCCAACCTCCATATTTGGCCATGTCCTCGTCACACTTAATCCTCTATTTCCGCCGAAACCAGAATTCACCCACAGTACGTACACATATCGTCATCCGCTTTATAACACTCGTGCTGTTACCTCTCAATCTCAACTCCCGGAGATACAAAACACGAGAGGTATATCATATTGTGGAGCATGGACCAAATATGGATTTCACGAAGATGGCTTCAGTAGTGGGATAAAGGTAGCAATGGATCATCTAGGTGCACATCTTCCATTTAAGTTCAAAGATAGTACATTTAGTCGAGGCAAGCGCCCTGTACTTGGACTTAGCGACTTGATCCTGAGAATTTGGATCTTGGGTGTGCAATGGTTTGTGGTTAATATATTGGAGAGAATCCTGCGTATTGAAAGAGGAACTAGATCTCGAGTGGAGATCGAGAAAAAGAAGTTTGTTTGATTTAGTCTGATTTCCGGTTTTCGAAGTCCGCAAAGCATATGACGGCCTAGGATCATGTAAGGCAGAGTGTACATGTTTGATATTAATGGGGCTTTTGGAGTATTTGGAAAAGTGATATTGCCTGGGTTCATAGCGGGGACTTGCCGCGGTCCGGGTATATGTTATATTATGTACTATATTGTTCGAGTACAGAGCAGGTCTCGAAACGGCATGTTTATGTCAACATAGCAGCATGTCAATGTAGCGTGACATTTATAATGAAGAGCGATAATCTTAAGTTACATGTGTAAAGGAGTTTCTAGATGTCAGTGACTTTTATATTGCATCGTTGCTGTATCACAAACACAATATTGAGTTCCTCCTGTTTGAAATGCTGCTTTTTTTGTTATGCGTGATATCGCCCTCAAACGGCACCACCCACAAACCTGATCTCTTCTCTTTTAACACCCATTGAAAAAATTCCGATCAAATCAAAAATAAAACACAAGAATGCTACCGTGAGCTTCCTCAATATTACTCCCCACATGCGAATGAATCAGAAGCACATGTGAAACAACTTCTAAGGTAAATACTATACACTAAACTCCCACAGCATCAACCTTTAAACATCCTTCAAACTACCAATTATCCCCAACAGCGCAACTATTGCCGCAGCAGCCGTCACAATGTACAATGCCAAGGTCCAAGCTGTAATTACATCCCCATTCGATTCCATATACCAAACTCCTACTATCAAACTAAGAAGCAATGGAGTTATTACGACGGCGCTGAGTCGATATGGACACCTATCGCACATTAGCAAGTCTGTACGAAGCGGAGAGGGAATAAAAACTCACCAATCATAAACCAACTCCAAACTCCATCTTCCCTCCAAAGGCCCCCCCGCTTCCTCTCCAGTCTCCTCCTTTCCCCCATTCAGATTGCTTCCCACCCACTTCATCCAAGCCTCGCCAACATCCTCATCCCACTCTTCTGTTGCAAAGCCAGGTAGCCCTCTCAACATTTTCCCTTTATACGCCGCATAAAACCTCCTTAGCACCATTTTCTCCTCTTCCCTCAAGATCACCTTGACATGTGCTCCTTTTTCAATATCACATTTGTACAATCCGAAGCCGGCGAGAGACTTAAGAGAGAGAAATCTTCGATATCCCCGTAGAGAATGTTCGGCACGATGAAGTGAGGAGAAGAGCGTTGTTGGGGTGGGTAAGGGTAAATAGGTTTCGTGTGGATCGAGGGAGGTGGTGGGGAAGTAACCGAGAATTAGGTAGGGGGTTTGTGGGGGGAGGAAGAGCGAGGTGAGTGTTTGGATTGATGAGGAGGTTGCGGAGTAGGGATGTGCAAAGACGGGACAGGTATGGGAGTGTGAATGACGGGAATGTGAGCTTGCTGGGCGAGAGGTGGGATGAGAAGTTATTTTTGAAGAGGGTTCAGGTCTCGACAAAGCTAAATCCCCGGTTTGTGTGCCCTCTGATCTCACTGGACATGATTTCATCGCCTTGCTTTCATCTCCTAGTGGCGTCTGCGAACCCTTTGAAACCATCGAGCAAGCAATCGTCGGCGCCTGGGAGTTCCTCTTGGATCCTCGCCCCTGTGCCTCCCTAGTCGCTACTCCCGCTCCCGCTGCCTGTTCCTTGAACCTCGCATCCCTCTTTTCCCTCAACCTCCCCAAAACCCTCCTACAAGCCACCAACAAAATCCTCCTCCTCCTCGCCATCAAATACAACAACCAAAGTCTCGGTTCCTCCAACCTTCCCAACCATTCTACCCTCTTTTCCCAAACCCTCCTCCTCTCCACTCTCCACCATTGTAACTCCTTGAGTCTTTCTTCTAAATGCTTCTTTTCTTCTCCAAAACTATGGAACATTTCCACATATTCTCGGTAATTATAATTTCCATTCTGTAACTGGAGAAATAGACGTGCTTCGTGTAATGTGAGACCGACGCGACGAACGCAGGCTTCGTCCGCCCAGAAGAGATTTCCGTTGCGGGACTTAATGACGGGGGGGATGGGGCCGAGAGATGGTTTATCGGGAAAGAGGGAGGTGGAGGTGGAGAGGAGAAGGGTGTTGGGGGCGTAGGTGCTTGTCGAGAAGTGCGCGGTAAGACGGGATGACGGGGTTGGGAGGAGGAGATGATCGGGGTTGGTGGTATGATCTATGGGGGAGAGGTGCAGAGTGATGGGGACTTGTTGGGATTCAAGGTCGTAGGGCATGGTGGTGGTGATGCTACAGTAAAAAGGCGATAGTTGCAATAAGGTCTAACGACGCAAAGAACGTATGGAGATGAAATAGGCAGGAAAAATCAAACTCAAAGGCAAAAGAACTTCGAACCTATAAAGCCAGAAAGCACCTAGAGATAGTAGTCAAATTTACATGACGATAAACCAAAACTGCCATCCATCCTTCCATCCCTAATATACCTTCCCTCAACCCACCAGCGTAGCAAGAAACCGCCTCTCCAGTGACTCTCTTCATCCGCTCCACCACACCCTCAACTCCCAACGTGATCTCAAGCCATCTTCTCTGAAACAGAAGTTACTCACATCTAAAGCGCACACTCAGCACACTGACTGCACCGGTCAAAAATTCTAAGACTTTTATGAATTTTCTGCTGGTGTGTATAGGTATTGATTTTTATTGGTTGGAAACAGTCAAGAGTATTTGATCTCGTGAGCACTTGCTTTGCCCTATGATCTCGAGATCTATGGGTTGCGACTTGCGGGGTATGAGAGAGCAAGTTGCGAATGGTAATTGAGTGGATTTGTGTCTCATGAATTAACACTCGGTATTTAGAAATGATATCATATTTATGTATTTATTTATTTAATTTCAGTTGAGGAGAAGGAAATAGATGTATGCGAGACAGAGGTATAAGATGTAAGAGATGATGATACTGTTGCGTAAGAGAAGAGTACATGATATAATATTTTATGATTATATAAATATTCTATTGAATAGATGTGGCAAGAAACGTATTCAACTGTTTGTAACTTTGGTGTGGAAATATCTGATGTGTGTGGTAAGATAAATAAATACAAATCATAATCTAAATAAAGATGTAATAAATCAATAAATCAATAAATTAATAAATTAATAAATTAATAAATTAATAAATTAATAAATTAATAAATTAATAAATTAATAAATTAATAAATTAATAAATTCATAAATCAATAACATAAATCAATAACATAAATCAATAACATAAATCAATAACATACACAAATGAATATTAGATATAATTAGAAATTAGACACACTGTCCAGTCATATACCGGTAGTCTACAGTATATATATAGTACTCCGTATATAGTACTCCCTATATAGTATATACCCCTCTTTTCTATACGAGTGCCGGTATGTCAAGGCCAAGGCCAAGGCAGATGAGATGAGACTGAGCCTCATGAAATAACCCTTGTAATCGAATACTAAAGAGAATGTGATGTGCCTGGTCTTTCACTACCCTCTTCTGACATTTCCGAATCGGTAAAAAGATCCACGGATTGTCCTCGCCTATCACGATCATCTATTTCCCCCTCTCCATCCTCATAATTCCCTAAACAAATTCTCCCACTATTCATCGCTTCGTCCGATGGAACTTTGTTCCCATTTGTTGAAATAGTTTCCATCCCACTTTCATTTCCAGTCACTATTGAATCCGTACCAATAGTTTCTGTACCCCTCCACATCGATGTAATAGGTGTCCTTTCCATAGCCGTCGTGGGCGTTGTTTGCGCATCACTATCTTCTCCATCTCCTATGGTCCATCTCCACTTTCTCTTCTTATCCTTGCGCTTGCGCTTTCGAGAAGCCGGTGTTTCTAACCCACTTTCTGCCATCCTTCGTCGCATTTCTTCAAATGGGCCTGGTGTCTGACCACCGTCTCGAGTTTCATCACCCGTGTATTTCATGGTTGTGTCGAGAGTGTCTAGAATGGCAAATTCTGGATCAGTTGCAGAATGAGGGGAGTCTTCGGAGAGGAGATCAATGTGCGATTTTACGTATTTATTGGTGGTAATCGTTTGCGTTAGAGGATCATCGTATTCTACTCTCTTCGTGCCCTTGTTTGCTAATTTCATTGCTATTCGACTTGCGGTATTTGGTGTCGCAGGTACTACTGAGCTAGGAGGTGGCAGTGGTGAGTTGCGAAGAATACTATGGAGAGATTTGGGATGTGTATATGGTGTATGTCGTCTCATACTTCGCGGTGATGCGCTGTTTGAAACTTGCGATGAAAAGGCGAACATCTTACTAGAGCTTCCTGCTGAATGTGGAGGGGTGAATGTAAAAGTAGGGCTATCTTTGGGACGGGCTGAGCTTGGTGTATCCGGATATGATATCGCAAATGGTCCAGGTGTTGAAGTGCGCTCCGATGGATGTATGTACCCATCTTCTACACTTATATTCGTTTGAAGTGGTGTTGTTTGGAGTCGTGAAGGCATGGGTTGAATTCTCAAGGAAGGTCTGGCTGCAGAGGTTGTCGGCTTCGAAATTTGAGGGGAAGAATTATCAATTGCTGTCGCGTATGCATTTGAAAGTGTATTAAATGCTGTTGGTGATGACGGATTGATATCCGATTTTAATGCTGTCGAGGACTTTCCAATGGTTTGGGGAACAGATGGGGTCTTGATCTGTAAAGACAACTTTGGTCTCTTTGGTGGTGACGAATGGCGAGGAGGGAAAGACATAACTATCGAGGAGCACTCTTGAACAGGTGCCAGCATCATAATCGGAAAAATGATAGGATTCTTAGTAAAATTGTTTCTTTGACTGTGTTCTGGTCTGTGGTACGAGAGGATATATGAACGTTGGGTGTCTTGTTTAGAATCGGGACTTTGACTTGGGGGGTCACCAAAAGGTCCCAGGTGGCCTAGATATCTTAGATATATGTATCTAAATCTAATGATCCAAGGCGTAGTCGTAAAATTCGTCAGATGATTTCGTAATTTCGTAAGGCGTAAACAAGTAGTGTAGAAAAGATATGAATAACTATCAAGGCAAGTACCCCTCAGATAGAACCAACAGAGACCGTGCCGCGAGTTATATGTACGGAATAGTAAATATCCACAAGACCTTTTCCCAGCCCAAGAAAAATAGATAGATAAATAAATGGTGGGAAGAGTTTAGAGTTTAAGCACAGTCTAGTCATCTGCCATGCATTGTGCTTGTGAGAATAGGCGCGATGTTTATAGAAACGATGTGACGAGGACCTTGCAGTGCAGGAGGAAAAATTGGACCAAGCAAATAGAAAGATTTCATCGATTTCCACGTACGACAGGATGACAGGTCAACAAGCATCCGGGATGGGGTTATCAAACCTAAGACTAGCCTCATAGACCCATATAAGGATTCAATGGTTCTTGTGCCTCCTTGAAGCGCTGCGTAAGGATTTATCCGAAGCGAATTGGAAAAGACGAGGACTTACCGGCCATACGGGAGTAGGTCAGCATAGTTTTGAGTAGGACCTTGTTTTGAATCTTGACAAGTCGAATAGTATGGTGAACTGGCAAATTGGGAGTAGCAAAAGAGAGAAAGAGACATACTAGTGACCAATTTGGGCTGAATCTGGGATCTCGGGACTATCGGAGTGAAAAAAGGGTCAGCTTAAGACGTGAACATGGTTAAGGCGCCTATGCAAGGGTTCTTGATGAATATCACACCGCTCGAGCGAATAGATTTGACAAGAAAAGATCAAGATTATTCAAGATTATTCAAGACTGTTCCAAACTATTCAAGACGATTGGATGTTTCCAGGGGATGGGCATTTGGGGATGGGACGAGTACGGAGTAAGTCTATGGTGGCTTGTTCTTATTATAGGAATTATTCTAACTTTATTGCTAGTTTATTGTTACTTTGAATAATACATTTTCCTCCTTTAGTCCTTTTTAGCGACTGAATTCATATACGGAGTAGTATCTCAATTATACTCCGTACTATATATACTATCTATCTATTTCAATAAATTCTCCGTGATGATCAATTTGATAGTATCGATAGACCCCATCATACTAGGTAGCCTTATAGCCAGTCCGTCTGAGATCTGGAACATTTCAATAGCTGAGACGCTATCGGCGTCAATATCGCTTGTGTGGGAGGAATCGGTGATGAATGACAATGGAAACAATACGATTGGGAACAAACAATAATAATGATGATAGTAATGGAATTTATGGGGTGGACCCGTTCCCGAGTTTCGATACGGGTGTATATCAATATCAATATCATTTCCGTTGCTGCGCTGCGTTGCGTTGCGTTGCATAAGGGATAATGAATGATGTTTTGGTTTGTCTGGTTGAGAAGTCATTGCAAAGTTGTTGAATCAAGCAAAGAACCGCTTTTGGAGGCGATGAAGGGGGTACGAAAGTGAAGGGGGCGATGGTGGCACAACCTATGGAGTAACATGATTGATGATTGATGATTGATGATTTTACCTCGTACTGTATCCACTGAGAAGGCAAATATTCAAAGAGGACGCCTTCTACGCTATTCTCTCCACATAAAAATGATTTACATTTATTTGCCTTTACCTTCTCAAAATAGATTACCAGGAGAAGAGAAGAGAGAGGATCTCCGACTCCATCCACTCCACCATGGTTTAAAATAGAACTACGGAGACATAGAAATAGGAAAATCGATGTCCGACATTTAAACGGTCAAGCCCCTGGATCGGTTTACGTATTGTATTGTCTATTGTCTGATATGTTTCAGAAACATTCTCGCGACGAACTCTAATAAAAGGTAAGAGGTAAGAGGTAAGAGGTAAGAGGTAAGAGGTAAGAATGGAGAATGGAGAATGAAGAATGTCAAGAGGTAGATACAAATACCTAGGTACAATACATATTTATATCGCTTATCGATAAGCTTCCTACACTCGGTCCAATCTAGATGCTCATGTCCGACAATAATCCTGTGCACACCTTTCTATCTTCCTCCTTACAAACAACACAGATGTAAACAGATGGATCCAGAGCATCAGGTATTTTTGATAACAATCCTTTGTTTTACTGTCAAACTCGATATCTTCTACTCCTGCCATACCTGTTCTTCGTTCAGATGAGACCTTCACCACTCTACTCACTCAAAGGAGCCTGACCTGCCCACCTAGGTAACCTTTAATGTTTGATATCACGACAAGCAAGTACAAAAATGGAACCACATTTCCTTGCTTACTCTTACTTTTGCTCATCTTCTCATCGCCATCAAGCTCAAACCACTGCTAATAATAATCACAATGGCAAGAAAGGATCATAGGATAATCATTCATTTTGTTAGTCAGCTCCATGAGGATCTCTAAATCCATGATAGTTTCGTAAAGAAACACGTGTCACTCAAAAAGTATCTATTTCTAACCGTTGTTTAAGGATTATGACTGCTTTTACGCGTCTGTCTTCGAAAATGAGAACCCTGCCTTAAAATCACTGCCCTTGGTAAACTCTGAATTCCTCTCTCTGATGCGCAAAACATAGCTGACGCAATGAACAAAAAGGCTGTGCAGCAGGTAAGACTGATTTACCAAAGCCTATTCAAAATAGTATATCGCAGCTTCTAAGCATGACTTCAGAAACAAATTATCGTCACTTGCAATTATGAAGCTCGGCGTCGTGGTCTTAGTAAATTGCAATTGATCAGTGAAGCCAAGAAAATATGTCCAGATGTTGTGATTGTCTTGGGAGAAGAATTGGGCCGATTCCGAGATGCATCAAAAATGCTATACAAACATTTGGAAAAGTTTAGTTGGTCGGGAAAAGTTGAACGACTGGGATTCGATGAAGTGTTCATGGACGTCACAGATATTGTCGACTACAACCAGAAACTACTTAATCCAAATGATTTGACCCACTCGTTCCTTCAACTGGACCATAATGATCCTACTGCGGGGTTTACCTTTGATGCGACGAGGGTTGCTGGTCACGGTTACCTCGACTTGCAGCCAGGTGGCGAAGTATCCTCCCAGTATCTATCGAATTCGGCGGCCCTGAATAGTGATACCGATTTACTTACCCGCTTGCTTTTGGGCTCACACCTTGCCCAGTATTTAAGATTGAGTCTAGAAGAGGAAAAGGGCTACACTTCGACTGTTGGCATATCCACGAACAAACTTTTAAGCAAATTGGTAGGCAACCTTCATAAGCCGAAAGGACAAACAACTCTTCTTCCGCCCTATGATGTTTCGTCCAATGATGATGGACTACAAAGCAATGTCGCGACATTCATTGATGGTCATGATATAGGTAAAATACCAGGTATTGGGTTCAAAATGTCTCAACGTATTCGGAACCATGTTCTATCACGTCCTGCCGACTTTGAAAGTGGGCTAATTTATGGTGGCACGAAAGAATCTGTTACTGTCCGTGACGTGCGCCTCTTTGCTGGCATGGGTCCTGATACATTGGAAAACATTCTGGGGGGATCTGGGGCAGAAAGGGGCATTGGACGTAAGGTTTGGGGACTGATCAATGGTCGCGACGACACCGATGTAAAGGATGCTCGAAAGGTGCCTTCCCAAATATCAATCGAGGATTCATATATCAAGCTCGATAATTTGTCTCAATTAATGGAAGAGCTTCGAATGCTTACGACCAGTCTACTAAATAGAATGTATCAAGACCTACTTGAGGACGATGAAGAATCTGACGTACCATCAAAAAGATGGATTGCTTACCCCAAAACAATACGACTGTCTACCAGGCCTCGTCTTCCATTGAATGCGGATGGCACAAGAACACGAAGCTTTAACAGGATATCGAGATCTGGACCTCTACCAAATCTTGTCTTCAACTTGAAAGATGGTATGGATAGTATTGTCGAGCGGCTCATCCGAGACACATTGGTTCCCATGTTCCGAAAATTGCATCCACAGAGATCGGATTGGAATTTAAGTTTAGTCAACATCGGAGTAACCAATATGGTTGAAGCCGCGACTGAAGATGGGTCTGGAGGTGGTAGAAACATTGGTCTTATGTTCAAGCGACAAGAAGCCACTCTCAAAGAATGGAAAGTTGAGGACCGTGATGTTCCACCTGACTTCGTTACAAATAGGCGTGAAAAATCTACAAGTGAACCTATTGAGACAGAGCACATCCCTAATCCCACTACGGGCTCCGAGGATGTAGTCTACATCTCGCAAGATACGGCAGACGAGCAAGATCCTTGGGAGGATGAAGATGAGTTATGCGGTCGTGAGATCTGTCACGTATGTGGTGCGGTGATGCCCGCATTTGCCGTGCCAGCTCATCAACGATTCCACAACCTGGAGGAATGAAATCCTGGTCATAAATTGATGACTTGTCGATCCTCCGGTGATCTTCGAACTAGGACCCATCAGAAAATGTTCAGCCAGAGACTATTCTGAGGCTCCAATAAATTATTGTCTGTGCTCGGTAAGACAGCACTAGAAATTAGTAGAATGCGGGAGGTTCTCTAAAATCCATCCTGGTGATCCCATCCACACCCTGGACAGAATACAGGATACTGGACATAGAAGACGAAAGAATTGGCCGGGAATAGCAGACAAATTTTTGTCGACCCAGATAGTTATTTGTGCGGTGGAAAGATTCCATGCATGATTATATATTTAGGTGTTTTGGAACCGCCAGCATCACCGACAAATGGGCATGTCTGCCCCTCAAGAGGATTCGTTACGTATAACGCGCGTCCAAAAATAGTCTCACTCAAATAATCAAAAGACAATAGTGTTGGACGGGCCACCTTAATTATTGCTTACTGTAATGGGACTACGATTCAAATATATCAATTTCGTTCTATGGTTTTCTTCTTATGATTGGTTCGGTCCTCTTCTTCTTGTATTGTGTCTATCATATGAGGGGTTTGAAGCAGTCACTCAAATTGGATCGCAAGATGCTTCTACCTCTTTTGTCCATGAACCAGCGCCGTGTGCAGCGTCATCGCAGGAGAGGAACCGCTTTTCATGAATTACGTTGGTCATATTTTCCCACTTTGGCCCAACCTTCCAGAACATGTCCACTGTAGATGAGCAAGTATCTTGTTTCTTCTTTCCCTAGCTTTTCCCCTAGCAGAATGCACTCGCTGCTCTCCACTCAATATCAAAGCCAGACCATCTACCGTCACTCTCCAATTTTTCTAGTAAGGCTGCTCAGCCCAGCCCTGACACATAATCTCGGCCATTTCAGGACATCTTGATCCGAGAGATCCGCATACAATCTAACCAGGGAGGGATATCCAAAATTCCCATACTGAGGTAGCCATATCTTCAAAGAACAACTTCTAAATCCTGAGATGTATGCAATCTCCATCGTTCATCTCCCTATAATCCACTCCAGAGACGGAATAAGTGTAGCATTTCTGTTTGAGTTGCAAGTTTGCGGATATAGCAGAACTGGTATCTATGTTGACGGTACGATTCTGCAAGAACTAGGATCCTTGCTCGTTGGCAGACGTTTAGTAGATGTTTGTTTCTAGGGCCTCGCTGCCATTACTCGCACCGTAGTTATTCGAATTAAACCCCCTCCGCCAATATGTGAGCCGCGAGCTGTGAGTAATCCCATGACTATGTTCAATACCATTGCTTATGAAGTGAATTGAAGTGGATCTGGCAAATGTTGGACCCCTCAAAAAAAGAGGAAGTATCGAGCTCCTTGGGATACGTATCTCCCTTGATTATTCTAATGACAACATCAATGAAAGTACTCAGGACGAATAGAATATATAACCTCCCCTTTTTCTATCCGACAATCAATATCCTTCATACAGTCCATGCACACACTCACGCCCCTCGCCTCTTCCCCCTTTCCCCTCCAGACCCCACCATCTTTAAAAAACTAAAAAATTACGTAACAATAAATCCAAAGTTCCTCCTTATCCACCACCATATCCCAATCCATCCCTTCCAAAAACCTAAACCTCTCTCTACCTCCTTGAAGTTTTCCCCTTTCCCCCAATACCCTCAAAAGCCTTACCCCGTATAAACCCAAAACCCCAAAAAAGAAAGTGCATACATAGCAAGTCCCAGTTTCTACAGAAAGTTAGAATGGATGCCAATACGTCAAATTTGGCATAGAGAGTTATTTAAGCTTACCGATCTGGGGACCTCCGGGTTATGAGCCCGGCGCGCTTCCACTGCGCCAACTTGCTTTTTTTTGTTGATTGTGAGGTTTGATGCCGAGCGAGGTTGGGAATTTGGCTTATATTTTAGGTGGTGTGGGGTGGTTGGGTTGATGGATGGATGGATGGAGGATGGGTGTCAGTCACAGCTTTGTTGGGGTTGGGGGGAGGGGCACTTAAGGAAAACTGGGTTGGTTTTGAGTTTGGACGTATTACCATATTAGAGTCTTGCTAAGGAAATTAAAAGTATATGGAATTAAAAAATTATTTTCCCAAGTATGGGCTTGCCAGATTTGGTCCCGACCTTGTTCCTAATGCAGCCATTGTTAGGAAATGAGTAACCCATCGCGTACCCCATGATCACCATCTATTATTATCGCCCAATCAAGACATCTCACTTCCTCCACCATTAACCATATTTCCCACACATCAATACTGAACTCTCGACCTATCCATCCACAGTTCTAATCATACTTTCCACTCAACTTCACCAACCCCGCCTTCTCGTTCTCCTCCTTACTCCTCCTCGACCAAGCCGGTGCCTCATCTCTTCGTTCCTCCTCCTCCCTATCACCTTCTTCCTTCGTATGATGCACCGTAGTCGGTGCATGTTCTGCTGGCGAATATATCGTGTATAGAACTAGTGGTTCTTTTCCTGTATTGACAAACTGGTGTTGAGTGCCTGCTGGTACTACCATCAAGTCGCCCTTTTTAACAACTTGGTCTTTGCCGTTGATGGTGGCGAGACCAGTACCGGAGGTGAAGGTTAGTGCTTGGTCGACTGTGTGGACTTCGTCGCCGATGTCGCCGCCGACGGGAATGCTCATTAGGACGACCTGGGAATAGAGGCCTGTGTACTGTGGGTTTGAGTTAGTGATTGATGGGTTTGGAATGTGTGATATATGATGGAAAAGAGGATTGTTGTGCAATGGAAGGGAAAAAGTGATGTTATTATACATACGAGAACTCTGCGGAACTCATGGGATGATGCAGGAAGATCTGAGGTCATTTGAGGGAAATAGACCATTTCGTGAGTAGGAGGTGATGAATTGGGTTTTCTAAATGCCATATTGCGAGTTTGCAATCTTGATGGGAAGGAGATTCTCAGTTGAGTTGTTTTCCTATACGTAGAGAGGATGTATGAAGTGTATCCTGTGTTGTGGCTACTTCTAACAAGTATATGGCGAAGTGTTAATGGAAGCATCATTAGTTTTTGTGAGGGTTTGAGATGAGGGGTTCTATAGGAATCGACTGGGAATAATCAGATGATTTCTTTATACTATGAACCATTTGGCATGTCTGAATTCATGCCAGTGATGGGTTGTTCTTGATGACATTAAAAAGATTAATTGGTTAGTTAATTGTTGAGTTACTCCTCCTTCCCTTTGTAATCAACTCGCAGAGGAAGGAAACCTACGATTCGACAATTTAGAATATAATATTACTCGAGGCTTGTACATATAATTCTCGTCACTCGGCGGTAAGCTGGACGTCGATGTACTCGGTAATGCCAGTTATTGATCTGAATTGCAAGATCTTATGATGTTTTTCAAGAGACATAAACATGGATATCTCCCGCTCCCCTTATATATATATATATACCCCTCCCCATTGATAAGGTTACCGAAAGATTTCCCCAGATTTCGGACCCGGATTATCTGATGATCCATAATGATCCGAATCAGTCAAGTAATCTTTGTCAATCATTCAATTTTATGTCAACAGACAAATCTCAAACCTCATAATGAATTCCATACCACGGATATCAAGGGCTCTAGGTAGTAAAAATGCCAAATGGATATGTACAGGATGTGCAAAGTCAAAACGAATAAATACGCCATTCTTCAAACCCTCCAATAACAGAAATCTTTCCAATAATTCAAAACCTCGAGGAAATGTAGCGCCGACCATGGAACAATTGAGAGCCCCATTCTCGCAAAGGAATAGCTCAACCATGTACTACACACTCAGTATCATTCTAGGAACTGTGGCTTTCTCATATGGTTCTGTGCCGATGTATAAAATGGTATATTTCCTTTCCTTCTACGCCACTTCACTACTCCAGCTAATATATATATCTATAGATCTGCCAAACTACAGGGTGGGGTGGGCAACCGATCAAAGCTCCCGGACACGGCGGTAGTGGTGTGGAGGGAGAAGATCCCTCCGAACGTCTCAGACCCGTCACTTCCGCAAAACGTATACGAGTAACCTTCAATGGATCCGTGTCGGACGTTTTACCTTGGAAATTCACACCACAACAGAGAGAGGTTCGAGTTTTACCAGGAGAAACCGCATTGGCATTTTATACGGCTACGAATAAATCGGACGAGGATATAATTGGGGTGGCTACCTATAGTGTGACGCCTGGACAAGTGGCTCCGTATTTTAGCAAGATTCAATGTTTTTGTTTCGAGGAGCAAAGGTTGAATGCCGGGGAAACGGTGGATATGCCTGTGTTTTTTTATATTGATCCGGATTTTGTTAATGATCCAAACATGAGGGGAATTGAGCAAGTTACTTTGAGTTATACGTTCTTTAGTAAGTTCTTCTTTCAGTCAAGGTGCAATACGTGAGGAGTGTATTAACCCATTTAACAGAGGCTAGATATGATAAAAATGGACATCTAAAGGCCATGCCTGTCGGCATGTAAAGAATGATGAGATGTATTTTATATTTGATGTATATGATATTTCTGCATTGGGCGGCGTTTGGGAATTCAGATGATATGGACATGCAGTAGATTCTGGTTGTTACATTACTACGGTACAAAGTATTTGCTGTAGTCTAAGTAGGTATCCACTCACACCCAACACACACATCCAAGACATCCACCAATCCAAGACATGCAACACTTTTTGGGATAGATCCTTGGCTTTTATACTGCGACGGTGCAAGTATCTTCTGTAGTCACATGATTATTCACATTATGCTCTTCTGGCCCTACGTCTTCCACTCTAAACTGACCATTGCTGGCCTCTGCGCTTTTTCCGCTCTCACAGTTTGATGTTCTCTTGTTCTGGGCGCCAGGATATATATCTTACTTTTCCGGACATACACGTGAGAGCCATTGGTCATTGGCCATTGGTAAGTTGGTAAGACACGTCAGCCAATTGAAAAGGGCTAGGGCCATAAGTTAAACAGCCAAGTACTTTTTAATACGTTTCCATACATTTCACCCATTTTATCTTCAAAAATCAAATTAAACATTCAAAAAATCAATGAAATTCGCAAATCAATATTCATTATATGGAAGAAACTTGAGTCATTTATATTACTAGTGAACCTTAGTTGAACCTCTCTCTATATTACTTGATTCGGCCTTGCTCTTGGATCCTCTTTAGGTTTTCTTTTTACCAAGCAGAGAAAGTACACCTTATATCATTCATCCATTCATCCATCCATCCATCCATCCATCCATCCATCCATTCATTCATTCGTTCTTCGACTCTTCCTCCCCGACACAATTTCATAGTTCAAAGCACAATCAATAAATCACTCTTTTGCCCAATATTAATAAATCGATAAATCAATAAATCAACAAATTATCATTATACCTTTGTTTCAACATCGACATCAAATCAAATCAAATCAGCTCAGCTCAGCTCAGCTCAGCTCTGATTTGACTGATGGATTAGACTTCAAGTGAGTAGTAGTAGTTGCGAATTCCCGAATCTCATGGTTGATTGGAGATTGACTCACTTATCCGCAGTAGCATAGCCTTCCCGTAGCAGTCACCTGATAATTATCAAGTCAATTGTCGTCACGATGATGAGTACGAAAAAGGCTAGTGCAGGCATCCGTCATGATGATGATATCAGGGAAACAGATTCACATTCACATTCACATTCACACTCACACTCACACTCACACTCACACTCACACTCACATTCGCGTTTACATTTACCTTTCCGGCCTTCTGTACCTTCATCACGTTCCTCTTCCTTCTCTGAATCATCTAATAATGGCATGATTCACGCCCCAATTACTGTGATTCACGAGAATGCTTCGAGTCTATTTGAACATCGAGGTCAGATGGGATATCTAAAAACTTATGAGGAAGATATTCTCAAATTGGCCTTATCATCGATATCATTAATCCCTTCAGATCCACCAGTACTTTCTGCCTCCGTCAAAGAATCAACAGATAATATGGACAAACTCGAGATCGTCGACAAGAAACACACACCATTCGTTACTACAATTCCTGAAATTATGCTTGGCATCTTTAAATATCTTAATCCTATTGATGCAGTCTGCTTCAGCCTCATAAAGTTTGTAACTTCTCAAGAATCCGTTGTATAATGATGTCATTCATTAACTTTTCATCAGTAAATACAGTCGCAACATATATACTTCTCATGGCGCTCATCAACTTCTTGACTTTCAACCACCTCTTCAAATTGGTCGACCTGAAAGCAGATTTCCAGTCATCCCAGGACCGGAACATTCATGTCATCATTGTTGCCCTGTCGCATTCTTCCCAGCACACTGCGAATTGCATTTTCATCTAAGGAGTTTCATTCCCTCAGATCTTACCTTTTGTGCTGGACAATGTCAAATGTTTACGGAATGTGAATCATTTGACCCAGAATCATGTGGAGCTTGTGGAAGAAGTTATAGAAAACAGTTTGAGAGAGGAAGGCGAATGATTGATGTCATGAGACCAGAAGGACGCGTGAACAAATGGTTTGAACAGCCGAGACTTGATAGAGAAAATCGCCAACGAGAGAATCGTCGACGATTACGAAGACTATTGCACCAGGCAACATCTAGTTCCAACTCGACGTCAAATCAAACAGACAATTCGCAATTATGATGCTTTTGCGAACCAAAGTAAGCTCAATGCAACATTTCACAGCTTTTGAGCACAATTAATCACGACCCCAAATACTCCACATGTTCGTTCGAAGGCGACTTACTCCGAAAGGTCGTCCGTGTGCGAAATTTGGAAGGCATCTACGATAGGTTTGGGAGTTTTGTTTGGGAACGAATAGAATGTTTGACAATGGCCGGATTTCTTTGGTACAATTCAGGTTTACCACACCTGCATGGATATTTTACTGGATAGAGTTTTGAGACTGCAAACGGGTTAAGATAGAGTTTAGTTTGTTTTATGCAACGTATTGGGGTCTCATGGGTTGGAGTTCCCACAGGTAAATGAGTTACGATACAATTCAGAATAGCGAATACTTGGATGCATTTTTGTCAAGCGGAGTTTTGGTTTTTTTTTTAAAAAAAAAGGAAAAAGAAAAATGATAATAATAATTGGGCTATGATACAGTTCATTCTCAATATACGCACTTGGATATTACAGAACACAGTTCTGAAAGGCAAAATGATGGTTACTGGCATATTCAATATGTTGGCGATCTTTCATCTGTAAAAGAGTAATTGCGGATGGCTTATGGATTCTCTCATGGGGAGGGTATCAACAGGTGATACGATTCGATGAGCGGTGCATTTGCATATGGCCTATCCTATAATTAAAGAATTGAAGCATAAAAAAAGAGCTTTAGCATGGAAAATAGATTAATTTTTTTGAAAATACTTGTGGAGCTAAAAGATTCCTTCTCATTTCTTGCTTGAATTTTGATTCGATTTTGTGCTGGAGCTAAGTATACCCTTGGTGTTCATTATTAGGAAATATATAAGTGAGTGAACGTTCAAGACACCAAGAGTATTACTTTTGCTATTGTTCGAATCATTAAATATCACGGCAGTTTCAAGTATAAAAAAGGATTCCAAACAAAAGCAAACATTAATATTCTGATATCTTAGCAATGCAATAAAAAGTGACGATGTAAGATTAATCTTATTGTTTCTGGTAAAAGATCCCAAATCCAAAAAATCCTCATGAAACGATCCATCACCAAGTTCCCACAGCCTCAATCCATAATCCTAAATACTTATGAAAAAACTCTTCTCTCCCTCCTTCGGCTTTACTTCCGCTCTCTTCAAAATTGGATCCGCACAACTAACCCTAATCCTCTCCGGCGTTGCTGGACTTTCCAATCTCAACAATCCTCCATCCTTAATATCTTCGCCTATTTCTGCTGTCACACCATACTCCTTCCTCGCAGCCTTTAACGCATCTCTAATAGCGAAGAACACAGCACTACCCATAAATAATGGTGGTTCACCTACTCCTCTACTTCTCTGAATAGTTTTCAGCTCCTCCCATTCTACGCCCTTGAGTAGAGAAACATTAAACTCTTGAGGAATATCTCTAAATCCCGGAATCTTATATGCACCAGGTCCTCGCGTTGCTAATTGTCCTGCCATTGGTCCAGCGCGGAACCAAAGTGATTCCTCGGTGGTAAATAATCCCATACCTTGCACAAAAGCACCTTCGATTTGTCCATAATCAATCGAAGGATTGATGGACCGACCAACATCCATTTTGATATCAGAACGTAGACATGTCCAATCCCCTGTTAAAGTATCAATTTCAACTTCTGACGCTGTAACACCTTGTGTAAAGTAGAAGAACATTTGACCGGTGTTTGGACCCCAGGTATAACCAATATCAGGAGTTTTATAGAATCCGTTTGCGGAAAGATTGACACGATCAAAGTATGCGGCATGAGCTAGCTGTTTCATTGTGGCATCTGCGCCAAATTTCTCTCGATATGGAGCAAGTCGTTCATTGATTTGAGCGCAGGCATTGAATATAGCATATCCATTCAAATCAGATGAGGCCGACGCAGCAGTTGATGACGTATTGGCTACTGTATTTGTGGCCGTTTCCGAGATGAATACATTGGACAATGGAACTCCAAGTGCCTCAGCTGCTACCATCATCATTTTTGTATGCAAACCCTGTCCCATTTCAGTACCACCGTGAGCTACAAGAACGGATCCGTCGTGATAGATATGAACTAATGCTCCAGCTTGATTGAGGAAAAGTGCTGTAAAGGAAATACCGAACTTTGTAGGAACAATTGCAAGCCCTCTTTTTTTCCACTTATGTTCTGCGTTAAATTTTGTGATAGCCTCACGCCTTGCGGCATAATTCGATTCTTCCTGAACTTGCTTATACATTAGTGGTACATGCCAGTCTGTTAAAGCTTGGTTGAAATGTGTTTTCTCGTTCGGCTTGTAAAAATTTATTTCTCTGAGTTTTTCTGCTGGCATACCGAGGCGATCTGCAACTTCCTCAATGTATGATTCTGCCATAAATAAACCTTGTGGTCCACCAAATCCTCGGAATGCAGTATTTGACATCGTATTCGTCTTGCAAACACGACCTCGGACATGAATATTAGGAATCATATAACAATTATCGGAATGTGATAATGATCGATCTAGTACAGCTCCAGAAAGATCTTGAGTCCATCCTCCATTGCAGAACATATCTAAATCAAGTGCTTGGATCTTACCATCCTTATTAATGGCAACTTTCCATCGAGACAAGAAAGGATGCCTTTGCCCAGAGGTAATCATATCTTCGTCACGATTGAGCATACAACGAACTGGTCTACCAGTCTTTTTGGCGGCAAGGGACACGATGCCACAAAGTTGTATGGAACGAGTCTCTTTTCCACCAAATCCACCTCCAAGTCTCTTGACTTTACTCACAACCTTGTTTGCAGCAACATCACAGACTTGCGCAACATAAGTTTGGCTGGCAGATTGTTAGCTAAAGAATATGGAAGTATTTGATTGTACTTACGTTTCTGTTGGATTTTGTGTTCCAGACCAGATTTCCATTTCTCCATCCTCAATTTTAGGTATCGCTACACAAGCTTGAGTTTCTAAATAGAAGTGCTCTTGCCCACCAATTCTAGAAACACCACTAAAGACATGATCTGCTTCTTCAAATGCCTTTTCTGGTTCTCCTTTCTTTATGTACCGATAGTGATCAAAAAAACTTTCTTTTTCAATAGCTTCTTCCATTGTGAATATCGCCGGTAAGTCTTCATATTCGACTTTGACAGCCCGTGCTCCTGCACTTGCATGTGCTGCACTATCGGCAAGAACTATACCAATGGGTTGGCCTGTTGTAAATACTTCATCAACAGCAAAGAATGTTTCGTCACAGACAGGTGCTCCCCAATAATTGGCCTCAGGGCTTGGCATGTCTGTATGATCAACATATTGAACAACACCTGGCAAATCCATTGCAGGAGCATAATTAACACTCGTGATTTTCGCATGAGCCTTTGTCGATAGAACTAAGCACCCATATAGCTCGTTCTTCTGGACTGGTATGTCATCGGTATATTGTGCTTCACCACAAGTTTGCTTTAATGCAGCTACGTGTGGACTTGCCTTTCCGAGAACATTCTGTTGGTAGGCAACAGTGGCTTCTCTATCTTCTTTACCAAAAGATATCATGCGTTCAATCTCCGGTACCACCTGTGCATCTACTTCCAAATCTTTCATCTCGAAACTGGACAGAATTTCGTGGTAGAATCGATAGAAAAAGCCGAATGCAAGAGATTTCCGATATGTCGCCATCCCTCCAGGAACGCTAAAGCTAAGATTAAAGTCCTCTTCTAGGGCATTCATGGTTCCTTCTAATGTTGCAGGATCTGTAAATTTCTTGCCCAACAAATAAGCACCAGCCTTTTTAGCCGCAATCGTGGTTGGAGCCATTCCTCCGTATACCAGACTTGCGCTAGTTACAACCTGAGAACCATCAATGGCAATTCTAAGAGCCGCGTTGACAATGGCGATATCATCATCCTTTCGTTTCGATTGCTTATATGCTCTTAAATATTCTCCCTTTTGCGTCACGGGTATACGAATGCTAGCAATGATTGCATCTGGTGCTAGTGCAGTTAACCTGTAACCTTTGAAGAATTCAGACATGGGAATTTCCGTCTCCTTGTCGAAAGACTTTGCGACTAAAATAGCATTCGATGCAACGAATACAGGATTGAGATCAGAAATAGGAGAAGCAGTAGCTAAATTTCCTGCGGGCGTGCCGACATTTCTGATTTGTCGACCAGCGAAGTATTTCAATTGCTTATGAATGGCTCTATAGATGTCGTTAGTATAAAAGAAGTATCATTGTAACTGGATTTGTTATCTATGGCTTTCATTTGACGTCGCTCTACCAGAGGAAAGGATGATAGATTTCCATTGGTACGTATGAAAGCATCAATGGCAGAAAGACCAAGGAGAAGTTTGAGACAAATAGATCTACTGACTTGAATACTTGACCCTTTTCGGGCCCATAGTGCTTCTCTGCTTCTTGAACAATGGACTCCAAATCCGTCAATATCACATTACCTCCGATCTCTAGATGGTCGTCTTTGAATGAGTATTGCCTTAATTCAGGAATATCCCCAACAAACACTGAAGCTGTATATTGCATAGCCTTGAATTTAATTTCTATTTGCGTTTCCGTACTTCCACCAATGATTTTGGCCGACGGATATACGCTCTTAATCTCTAAGAGCTGCTCCATGGTTACTGGACGATACCACTTCTTTCTTTTATTCCCAAAAGCCAAGGGTTTGAATTCATGTCTCATAAGTGGCGGGGGAAATATGAGTTCAGTATCCGGATTATACTCGATGAATCCGGGAGGTGTGAACCGCTTTATAGGTTGATCATCCTTTAATTCGTCCTTACAGCACCCACCACTTTCTCCGCCATCCATACAACACCCACCTCCACCATTTCTTTTAGATTTGCCACATGCAGCCCCAGAACTAAAGGTCTGCGCTGCATCTAGGATTGGGCGATATCCTGTACACCTGCAAAGGTTTCCATCGAATGCTTCTTCTACTTCATGCTCGGAGGGATTCGAATCATTCCGTAAAAGAGCATACAGACTCATGACTATTCCTGGCGTACAGAACCCACACTGACTACCATTTCCTTTCGCAATTCTCTCTTGCGTAGGATGCGGCCTCTTTGTGTTCCCAATTCCTTCGATTGTTATAACATGTTTCCCGTCGACACTGACCAACGGAGCTAAGCATGCGTTCACGCTTGCATGATATATTTTCTTGGTGGTTGGATTGTATTGAGAAACAACCACCGTGCAAGCTCCACATCCTCCCTCTGCACACCCTAGCTTTGTTCCTGTAAGACCTATGCCGCGAAGGTATTCAAGTAGAGTAATCTCGGGGTCCATGTCATCGAGGACAACTCGCGTGCCATTCAAATAAAAACGGAGGGTATCATCGTAAGTGGTCGTCACGGAGGAGAGAGAGTTTCTGGAAGCAAGGGAAACTGCAGGGTCCGGTGAATGTTCTGGAGAAACGGCAATGGGTGCCATATTGAGTTGGGAGAAGGATATTTCTCATAGAGTGGTTGTTTATCGAGGGATCCAAATCACCAACTGTCCCCCTTGAGGATATAATTCCTGCCACAAAAGTACTCAGTGCCTCTCGAATGTTAGTTTTTTAAGATGGTTTAAGTTTTAGAAGGCGAAAACAAAAGCGAAAAGAGAAGATTGTTTTAAAGAGAGAGTGTATCTTTCTTCAAGAGCGCGAAGATACTATATTTGGCCTATTCCTTATCTAGTAGCTTAGGCCGATGGAGGTCTCCGATAGCCCTCACAGCAAGTCCCCAAGGCCGATCTCTTGGAAGATCCAGGAACTCAGTGATGCGGGGTTGATGTGATTGTGAAGTGGCAAATCTTTCCCATGTAGAGATACTCGAGGACAAGTATATGAATTGGATCACTTCAATGAAGATGTCAGGATTTGATCTTTTACCCTCAAATACCTATACCTATCGAAAGGTAACTGATCATCCCAAAGGCTGCTTACCATCTCATTACCTTCATTCGTTGGGTAACTCAAACGTGATATGCGAGGATGCTTCCGTTGCTTTTAGTGAATAGTGGGGTTGGATGTTCGGAATTAGAAGCTTCGCCAAACGTCAACGTCGGATATCGCCTGTGCTGGTGTGATTAGTCACAATTCCATTACATAAGTCATTATGTAAGTGACTTTGCTCCGATACGTGTAAAGATCGCGAGAACAACAACAACAACAACAAGAAACAGTACACAATATCTATCTATATTTGAGTGCCTGCTTATATCATCTCTAACAAATTGAGATCTCCCTCTCTCACACACTTTCTCTCACACTCTTTTCCTCATTGAAGTCTCACAAGATCATGTGATGTTTCGCATATGAAAGCTGCATTCATAACATCTCATTCGATTCCGCGGTGGCTAGAGAAAGGTTTCCTTCAAATGTCACCACATTGATTCAACAAACAGTGGCTATCCGATCATATTAACAGTCTCGTTGCACCGAGTGAGTCTCTTCAGAGATTCCTACTTTTTGACTTTGGCACTCCGATCCTCATCGCGATACTGGGTAGTCCTTTGTGTACTTGAAAGAATACGTGTTTTTGGTCTGTAATCCTTCCTTATATGACTTGAACGGTATTTACCCTCTTCATTAGTTTGCGGAACGCCTCATTTTTATTTGATTCCTCGCATGATTACTGCCTCTTGCAAGTTGATTGCCCATTGATCGATACTCTTGAGCTCCCAATTCATCCTATCGATTTATTGAGGGTATGCATGATCGAGGCGTGTTTTTCTTCGGTGGATCTACAAATTTGAATATGCGATGCGTCAATGTTTGGTATCATTTTGATTGTCCGGTCTATTTTCCAAACGTCCAGCCGTTCAGCTTTCGGACTTAAAGTCAGCCACTTCAATGCATAATAACAGTCCATGAGCCGAATCATGTACTCGCTCGTAAATACAACCTTCGTTACACGATCAGTTTGCGAACACGCCGGTCATCTTTCAGACATATGAAGTCATTGTCATAAGGTCATCTGGAGTATCTCTTGAGAAGATTTCGACACTTGCTACATGTCACATCACATTTGCAATGCCCCGCGTCTCGATCAGTGCACATGTTTTAGTTTTGTGTAGCATGGTATCGAGCTCCGGAAATGCGTTTCATGAAACAGCCTTTGATATTCAGAAGCCCTGCAATAACAAATCAAGAGTTGCCACAAAGCTGTTACCGAAAGCCATTTAATATGAATTGCCTAGAGGGAGACTAAGAATTTCCATGAGCAAATGGGTAATAACTTGTGTCGGATATGTTTAACGCAGCTTCCGAAGTATGGCTTACGCCCTCATGTTTCAACTGTTACGATTTCTTACTAGTGAATATAAATTGCTGACCCTGCCTTTAATTGGACAATGCCACTAGGGCTTACGAGCTTCATGCTTCTTGAATGTAAACATCATTTTGCGGTTTATTGTGAACAGAGTATATAAATATGAACAATAACCCGCCAATTTACAGCTCCCAATCATCACATCCAGTATCATAGCTCCCTGAGAAAAGTGTTCGGCACGATTTCAAAAGACTTATCCTTTTCAAAAGCTTCCTCATTCTCATAACCATTTTCAAAGACAGCAACAAATCTCAAGATGGCTATTACCGAAAGAGTTATTTTGCCAGTTAACGGCAGTGTTGATGAATGGAAGGATGCCCTTACATTCATGATTCAAATAATAAGCATTCAGGATGGCCATCTTCGAACTCGGTATGTTTCCTTGTCATCATTCCTCTGTGACACGTCTCTAACCAAAATATCAGATACGGATTTCACACCGAAGACAAACAAAAGATTGAGCTTCTCATTGGTTGGGAATCCATAGAAGCCCCAAAGAAATTTCAATGTAACTTCACACCCTTTACTTCATTTAAATATAAAACTAACCCTTCACCGTAGCCTCTCCCGCTTTCCAAGAAATGTTATCTCATATAAGACCAGTCCTCGCTGCTCCTCCAAACATCCTCATCATTGAATTTAAACCCTACGCTCCCGCAGAAGTAGTAGACGCCCCTTTCATCCAAATGATCACCATACAACAATATACATCATCCGAAGATGATCTCCGTGATCAAATCACCAAATTCAAGGATTTTCAAGGTTGCACTGGTATTGCTTCTGGTTTTTCTCTCGATGATGTTGATGGAAAGGAAAAAGCTTTTGTTGCGGCTGTGGGATGGGATGATTTGGAGGCGAGTGAAATGGCGACGGAGAGTATGACTGGGTTTCTTGATGGTGCTGAGAGTCATCTTGTGGATTTTAAGTGGGGTTTTGAGTGACTTCATAGATTTCTAGGTTGTTATTGAAACTTGAGGCGATACTGGGGCTTATTTTATTGAGGTTTGCTCTTCGAACCTGATTTGAACTCAGATTGACTACTGGATTAGTCAATGATTTTGTCATGTCACTCTTTTATTGGTTCTCTACTCGAGTATTAAGTTGGTAGATGAACTATCTTAAGTTATTATGATTTATTCATCACACAATATATTTTCTGTGTCATTCCATTCAATTAAGTCTATCTCTAAACCGTACCATTCCTCCTATAAAACACCAATCTACTACTTCTCACCCCATCTTATCCCATTTTAAAAGTCAACCTATCAATATATTCCTTTTTTATCATCTAGCTGCATATTACACTAGTCCAAATAAGTTCAATAACAACAACCCAATAGGAAACAAGTTAAAGATTTTTAAATGTCAAAACTCATAATACTAGATTAATTAATCTTTATATTCCGTATACATTCATCCTAATATAATATTCAACTACTAGTAATTAATCCTACACATCATCCCCATCTTATATCTTTATCTCATCCCATCTCATTCCATCTTATTTCATCTCATCTCACCTCTCTTTCTTTTAATTAATCATCAAATTTATATTATATTATAATTACATTATACATCTAAAATGATATCATATTATATAACTTTAATATTAATTATAATTATATTTACTCTCAAAATATAAATTTATAAATATTAATACTTTAATCAATCTTAAACCTTTTCAATCCGGAATAATAATAAATATTTAATTAATTAGAATAAAAATACAATCTTATATTACTAACAAGATTCTGTTTAATTATATCTCTTTACTTATATATCTTATTATATTCCAATCTTGTAGTTATAATTCTATTAATTTTATAATTATTCTCTTTACATTGTACATTCACAAAGCTATAAGGATCTAGTAACTCTAATCTAATAATCTAATAATTTCGATTCTAATCTATCGATCTCACTATATATAGTATACACATATATAATATCTCTTTTATAACCTTAACCCCTCCACAACACCAACACCAACCTCAACCCAATCTCAATCCCAATCCTAATCTCAAAATAATAGTAAGAAGAAGTTCAGTTCAGTCCAGGAAGCTATATAGTTATCGGAACTAGATGAAATTATATAGAAGCTAAATTTTCTTGCGGACTCGAGGTCGGTAAATATACAACAAGATATGTAGTTAAAGCTAATATAATGCTTCTTTCTATGTTATGTATGCTAATTGTAGGATAATTAGTTTCCGTATAGATATTACGTGTATATAGCCATTCCATCCCAATCCCAATCCCCATAACCATGATATCATAATTCCATATGTAAGCCCCAGCAAATCTTCAGCTATTGAATAAATAATCCTCCGACTCCCTCATTTCTTATTCCCCGCAAGTCTCAAGAATCTTCTTCCCCCTCTATCCCCAGCCTCAACCTAACAACCTAACAACCAAACCTCAAACATCAAACTTCAACCCACCAAATCTCCCCACCAAGAGCTTTTTCAAACTCCCCCCATCCCCGCAATATCCTGCTACAGCAATAGATTTCTCAGCCCATCTCTTACACGCCTCATCTTGATCTGCACTATAGAGATCTATAGCATGATTAAAAGATTTCGTTGCTAGCCAATCGAGTTCTTGAGTTGGGTAGGGAATTTCTGTCTTTTTGTTTACAGTTTATTATTAGCTCTGATCATGAAAGTGGAAGAAGCGAGAGACGAGCGTTGTGTGACTGGGGAGATGGATATAGTGACTAAAAGACAAAAAAGGAGAGGAACAGAAGAAGGTATTAATAAACTTACCTCAGCGGCATCAGCAGCGAGCATACAAACTTGATCAAGTAATTCCTCCGCAATCTTGTCATCATTTCCCATAGCTGCTTGAAACAAACATCGCATATATTTTGACAATTTTACCGTATCGAATTCCTCAATTTCCCAAGTTTTGTTTGTGATTTTTTTGAGCGCCATGATTAGGACTATGTATTAGTGAGGTATGTCAGCATACAAGTCTTTCAGAGGTATGGCAGGGGAAGAAAATAAGAAAACGAGAAACGACGACGTGGAAAAATAAATGAAGCACAAACCTTGAGTAGGAGCCTCACAACTCAAAACACAATCCGCCATCAATTCATAAACCTTCATATTCTTACAAACCCCTGCCTTAAGTATAATCTCTCCCAGACCATCCCAATCCTTCAATTTACATGCAGCCTCAAAATCAAAAGCCAGCAAAACCGACAATTTCTGAAATAAATCCTCAGTAACTTCCACTTCTAGCTTTTCCAGTTTCTCTTGTAACAAATGGTAAAAACTTGTTACATGTTTCCTTAAATTAAGATAGAATTGTAACTGATTTTCGATATTTTGTTCTGCTCTTGCAATCGAAACCAAAGTTGTAGCAGCGCAGAAGTTGCAGAACATTTTTCGGAGTGTAACATCTTCATGTGCATCTTCGCCGATATCTTGTGGATAGCGATCGATGAATCCGATACAGCAGGCTAACATTCGAAGTGAATGGTTTGGATCCCAGATAGAGAGATATTCGAGGGATAGATTGTAAGAGTTTCTTGAAAACCATTCGAGTTCGAGGATTGTCCAGATTTCTCGATTGAAGGATTTTTGGATGACATTTAGTGCTGTGATGATTAGTGTATAATTCTTCTGGAAATCTTTCAAATGACTTACCTTTTTCGAATAGCACACACAGCTTCTCAATATTCTCTCTTGTGTCATTCCTTGATGCTTTCTCAATAGCAATAACATCAATAAGCAGAACAATGATCATTCGAATAATCGACGGAAGATGCACATTCCCCTGCAAATCATATCCACATTTCTCTAGTACCAACCACAGAGCATTCAAAACGTGTGTTTTATTACCAACCTTTTGAGCATCAAGGACACAAGCGAAGAGTAGATTTGTATCTTTAGAGCATGAAGCGACCTTTTCGAGACATTCTGCTGCTAATTCAACCTCATCACTCCTGATTGCTACCTTGTACATAAGAAATCGTGTTAATGGCTCTTCTTTTGCTTTATTTGACATAGAGCCATATATATTACGGGCAGAGTTGATATCTCCCCGATTAAGGGCACATAGAAGAAGCTTGCTATAACATATTAGATTTAAAACTATCAGAAAGAAGAAGAACAAACCGTGATATCTTAGCCATATTAGCCTCTCCAGGTTTCTCAAACAATCTATGCATAGCAAGGCGACACCATTTCTCCGTTAATTCATACTCCGATATGCTGTAGTTTGCCTCGATCCTTTTCCAAATTAACTATATCCCATTAGTTTTTTGTCGATCAATGCTCAAGACGTCACAAACCGAATGAGCCATCATAGTAGCCTCCACACCGATAGATTTCTCAATATTCTCCCCAATCATTGTAAGAAATCCTTCCATGGCAACAAATAACTCTTCAGTCTCCCTTCCACTGACAGTCATCCAGATCCTCGTGTGAAGAATCTTTCCTAACCATTCTGTCATACTTGCTAACTCCTTGACTCGTAATCTGATCACCTCATCCAACACTCCGCATGCCAAGCTGGGAGCCTTTTTATGCAACTTCCTAACATGGAACATGAAAAGTCGCAAGTTTGTCGAATCCAAGACCTGAATTCGAGACATTTTGTTCAAAATGGCACTATATGCTAAACCATCAAAAGTTTCATTTGGGATTTCCATCAGAAGTTCTAGTTTCAAAAGTAGAACAACTAACTTATCTCCGAGTTCACTCTCGAGAAGATCGACCAAATCCCGTGCCCGTTGTGTAGAATCCGATGTGTTACTCTCCAAGAGTGCCTTGATAAGCGTTTGAATGATAGTTATGCGTAATTCTGTAGCATCAGCACTTAGTTTGTCTAAATCATCTCCACTTAAAACACTATAGGCACGCTCCAACCATTTTACTGAGAGCCCATGCTGTTCCTTCTCACGTAATTCCTTTCCCATTTCATATAAAGTATCCGAGAGACTTTCGGTAGTAGAATGGTCGAAGAGTTCTTTGAAGGACATGGATTTATTGAACATGTGTTCAGCGAGTTGCATATCATCTTGTCGCCATGCCTATGGACTTTGTTAGCAGATAATAGGCAAAAGATATCATGATCTTTACCAATAAAGTCCTAAGAACGAAATACTCAGCCGTGAATCTCGCACAGGTTGCCTTTTCTTCCGATTTACCAGACGATGCGTATGCACGTAAAAGTTCTTCACTATATCCTGCATATCCTGCAAGCTTTTCTAAGGCTTTGACTGCATAATCGATTTTCTGTCCATCTGATCCGGATATGATGATTAGTAAAAAACCGCAAGTTCCACATCTCCCTGAATAGAGACCTATACATACTCAAGCAGTCTCTTCCCGCCTTGATCCCAACTTTCATCAGCCTCAACAAATTCCCCTTCGACTTCTCCACGTTCTTGTTGTCTTTGTTCTCGCTGGTTCCCTCGCGCAAATAAGCCGCAGAGTTTCCACACTCATTCGCACAATCCAGCACGAGAAAGGCAAACATCCTAACCATGATCAATAAACCCTTAAGTTCATTTTTCTTATCCCAAATCTTTGAGCCATCATCATCAACCTCCATATCATCCCCGTCAGGAAGACTCCTTCTCAACCTCGTCGCAACATTCCAAATACGCGTCGCCTTCTCATCCAATTCCTGCGCTTTATCCCTGGCACTCGAGCTTAACTTTGTCGGAAACGTCGCTATACTATTCTCCAACTCTTTAAACGTCCCATTTCCCTCAACTGTTGTAAATGTGAAGTTGAATACGTCTCTACTCAGACTTGCATCTAAGGAATCGAGATCGATTTCGAGTTTATGCGCGAACACTGTGAGTCCGAGTGAAGTATGTTAGAACAGAAATCGGACAGAAGCAAAAGAATTGTCTTCCTAACTAGTCCGCAGTCGCTCCCGGGAGACCAGCGAAGCATCATTTCCAAAAATAGACCGATTCTTCTGATTGGGGAAAGCCGCAGCCCCGATAGCTCGCTGCGCTCGAAGACTTCCCATGAAACGTTGTCGTGATGAGATGTCAAGCACAACAAAAAATTGATTAAAAACTTTCCTTCGCCTACCCTACCTGTCTATTCTTTCCGCCGTCTCCTTGCCACACCCGGCGAGCTCCTGAGTACCATAGCTCGCAGCGCTCGAAGATTTACATGCTCGCAAATTCCAAACCCTTCCAATCATCAAAATCTTCAGACCTCCAACTGCCAAACCCAAAGCAAAGACAAGAACATAAAAGACTCACCAAATAAACCCCTCAACCTCTTATCCTTCACATTTCCATATCCATCCTGATCCCCCACAGCTTTCGCACTCCCCAGCCCATCCCTACCATCCCTCTCCTTCTTATTCCCCTTCCCATCCACCCTCTCACCCATACCTTCCCCCCTCCGCATCCCATTCTCGCCATGCCGCTGTCGTGCAACACCAGCACCAGCCTTTAAAGCATTAAATTCCGGCATCATGCGGCTTCGTACACCCTCCACAATTTTTGTTTTCGTTTTCTCTTCTCTTTATTCTATTCGTCTCCGTCCCGAGATGTCTCAAATGTCAGATGAAATGTCGCAGTCTGCTTTCCCCTCACCCTTTCTCGTATAATGTTAACTTGTCTCTCCATTCAAAGGTGAAAAGTTGAAAAGTTCGTAACACAACTCACCACCTCATTTTTTAGAAGTTGAATATAGATAAGTAAGTATTCATCTCCACCGGTCAAGTAATAAAGAACGAAGTTTTCCAATCAACCGCTACTATGCAGCATTGTATTATTCGCTTCCTCGGATGACTCATGGATTATGAAAGACGGTGTTGAAAAGTGAAGGAAGCTTTTGATGCTTCGGGAGAAATTTACACATTTAACCTAAAGAAGCCTATTTTTAACCCAAACCCAAGCCAACAATCTCATCCAAACCGCCCAAAACTCCCCGGCCTCCCGTTGACCCATCCATCCGTGGAATTTCCTCCTCTCTCCTATATCCCCTTTCCATTGCATGCCTTTCCATTCCATGCCATTCCATTTCCCTTTCGTTTACCTTTCCTGAAAGAAGAAGAGGAAGATGACGAGGAAATTCAATTCCGTTTTCCCGATAGCAAATTCCAATCACATGTCATGTATGTATGTACGTACTCATCTATTAAATACTAGAAAAGATCGGGCTTTCTTGTGTCTCCGTCTTTCATTCTTGCCTTCAATACCATAGTTTAGAGTATTATCGCCTAATAGGGTCTTGGGGTAAAAAGTTTCCAACGATTAGAGAAGGGCTATTTAAGAATAATCGTTAGTTGTTGGCCTTAAGACTGCTCGCTCTTCAAATAATTTGCGTTTCCATCCCCTCATCAATCACCGTCTCAATCTCCTCACCTCTCCATCAAAACCTTCCTTGGGAAACCGAGAAAAAGACCCAAAAAAAGGAAAATAATAGAAACTCGACTCACATCTTGTGTTCATCCCTCCGAACATTGAACGAAAAACAACATTTGATCGTCGGATCTTTGCTCTTATCATCTGGATTCTTTAAGGAACAACTCGTCAAGAGTGCTTTCTGACTCAAATCAAAAGCTATCGCTCCAAATTTCTCCCAATAATTAACTAGCGATTCCTCCGTCAGGATTTCGTGGAGCGCTATTTTTCCCTACTCATAGCAATTTCAGCCGTTAGAAGAAGTTTCCGAAGTAAAAAAAAAGCCACAATTGCAGTATCCTCCGTATTTGTCTTTGCCAAGAGTGTTTGAGTTGCGAGTGCGAGTGTGAATGAGAATAAAATCTTGAAAATAACTTACATCCCGTAATTTTTCAATGGGAACATGTATCAACTCAGCCATTTCCTTATTTCCCCTAAATATCTCTCCCGTTCTCCTCCAACAACAAGCTGGAATCGCCATACTTGCAAAAACTCGATCGTATTCCATCAAACTCCGTTCAAACCACATCTCCACGTAAATGAGTTCAATATCCGTCAACGCCTGCACCTTTTCCCTGAACTTCGGTCTGAAACGATCCAACTGCCGGAGTATTTTTTGCTTTGAAGCCGGTTGCATATGGCCATCCATATAAGCCGAAAGTCTCGCATACCCCTTAACATAATTGAAAGGCTTCAACATTCCGGCGTCGTACTTTGCCCTTAACAACAGTTGCATTCTAACTTCGGGGACATCGTTACCAGTAGGATCGGCCGCCTGAAGGTAGTACTCGCGGGCTTTATCAATCGGTATGACGCTCGCTGGTCTCGAAATCGAATTTCCTGGTGGATTTAGACCTCCTGTTGGACCACTACCTGAAGCTTGTTGCGCTCCTGATGTGAGCGTGTTGGCATTAACTCCTGATAACATTGAACCAGCTTGATCGGTATAAAAATTCGAAGTATCTTCTGTACCTAGAGCTCCGTCGTCTAGAAGACTGTTATTGAGGAAATCGTTCAAAAGATTGTACTCGTTGGTGACTTCCGGTGCGTTGAACATGTACGATGGATGGTAGTTATGCATATCTTGAAATTGGTTTTGCGACCCAAGCCAGTCATTTGGATACCCAAGAACTATAACGAAAAAGGATTAATACCTGCCCAATATTTCAGAGTAATCTCGGAGACATAAGAAGAAAACTAGGAGAATATAAAGGATCATACATTGATTGTTGCTGCTACTGTTCAAAGCATTCGCTTGTATCCTAGAAACCGGTGTAGGCTGGGCTAGCTGAAGAGGGACACCGCGGGATATTGCTGGTGCTCCAAGACTCAGTTTATTTTCTTGAACTTGATCTTGATCTTGACCTTGCTGTTGTTGCTGCCGTTGTTCCCCCGTAACAAACGAGCTATTTAGACTATTGTCAAGAGAATTTTGGAGCTTAAGATCTGGCGGTGTCCCTCCCAACTCTTCCGCTGTTCCTGCTGCAGCGTTGTGGTTATGGTGATGCTGCTGACTTTTCGCGCCTGCCTTCTTCGTGGTCGACTCCGGTTCGCGGGGCTCATCATGACAAAGATGCCCAATTCCACGCTTTGTGCACCTCGCGCAAGGTCGTACTAAATCGCATGTCATGTGCTGCTCAGGGACAAGACCGAATTAGCTGTTGGCCACTGGCATTTCAATGTCACGCATAACGGTATGCAAACATCCGTCCAACCCCCTTGTAGTATGACCCAATCGAGTACTCACAGATCGCCGACAGTATACACAAGCTGCAGAAGACGTTCCACAATTAGCCAATGTTTCAGATCATGTAATTCAAACTTGGAAGTCGTTGGTTCCCTTGGGAAACTTCTGCATACCATGATTTACTTTACGCCTCTTCTTCGGGCTCTTGTTTGCGCCAGCAGCTGCAGATGATGCCGGTGGCTTTGCATCCTGCCCATTGTTGGCTCCATTTTGTTCCATGGCATCAGAGCCTAAGTTTCATAGGGTTCCATTGGATTGCGACGTTGCGCTGGCCGTTATTGAAGGGGGTGGGCGAGGCTTTTGATTGTTGGTAAATTTGCGAATTAGAAGGACCTTTTAAGCTTGGTCAGCTCAATTCACTATTCATCACACGGAAATGAGAATTTACCTTGTGTTAATTAACTAGTGAAATAATCGAGTGACTCTTTAAATTGTCGAATAAGTTTGTGTTGCAAGATTTTGGTTATTGGGATTATTGAATTGATGTGTAGAAGCGCGGGGGTCTATGGCAGCTTTTGCAAATTTCATCGTGAAGCGAGGTTGACCAAGGATGGTCTAGGTTTAATAGATACTTTGGTACAAAGAACAATGAATTGTCGATCGTTATTACTACATACATATCAATGATGAATGGATAGAATTTGGGTATCTAATACAATGATCATAAAATCAATAATCCATAAAACACAGAATAGTTCCTGTGGAATGTCCCTCCCAAACTTAACCACTGTAATCCCACTTTCCTCGCACTAAAATCGTCATGTCTTGAATTGATGAACTTCCGGGAGCTTTTAGCCCAACACCACATCGTTATATTGTTCGAGATCGAGATGAGCGAAAAGAGCAGCTTGTACAGAAGCTTTACTTTTAGCCATAGCTTCAGTAATACCTTCAACTTGTTGTAAATTGCCCTTAATGCTGTCCACGTGACCATTGATATTTTTGAAAATGCCTTCCAGATCCTGGTATTTCGATGTCTAGAGAAGAAATTAGTTATGCAAGAGGGTTAGAAACCATGTAAACTTACGTCGAGAGTTATTGAGGCAGTAGTTGCGTCCCCATCAATACCCATATTATCATTGAGGACCTTTGCAGTGCTATTAACCTCGAACTGAAGCAATGGATGAGCCTTGCGAGCAGCCTGTCTTCTACTTATCGTCTCGGCTTTTGCATTTGCCTCCAATTCTGCGAGATATCTTTCCTCATTCTCAAGTAATATCTCCTCTTTCCGCAGCTCGGCCTCCAGAAGGTCGTTTGAATGCAAAACCGGTGTGAGTTGAGATTCTAAAGCTCGATTGTAATCCAGTATCTTCTCAAAATCAAAATCATCCTCTCGATTAGTTCTTGTACCTTTAGGAAATGGCATACCCTTTCGAATCCTACTCAAAAGGCGACGGCTTATCATTTGTATAGCTGTACTGGCTTGAGTCTTCTTGCGTTCATCGTGGATTTGTAAAACAACTGGTCTCTGCACATCAATCAATAACTCTGAAATCTTATCCAAACATCCTGGCCGTAAAGCCTCCCACTTCGTATTGATAGTCTCGAGAGAAACACGACGAGTAACAGCCGCAAGATGTCGATATGAAAGCGGCTCCGGCTGCTCTGCGTCAGCGCCATCGTCTTGTGAATCTTCCACACGGCGACGTTTAGTTTGTTGAGGTGGCTGCTGGTCGTCTGAATTCGAATCCTTCCGCTTTCTTGTGGACGTGGAAGCTTCCGAAGGTAGAGACTTTTTAGTTTTGGACAGTGCAGATTCCGACTCGATATCTTGTGATACATCTGATATTTTGACATGCTTCTTTGGCTTCGCATGTTTCTCGGATGATTCTCCGTTATCCTTGGAAGCCTTCGTCATTGTATGACCTGGTGCCGATGATTCGGGCTCTGCCTGATGGCGCCTTTGTGATCGCGAGGACTCATCATTTTCTGGCTCAATGCGATCCTCATTCTTCTTCTTCTGACTGTTTGTGGTACCCATATTCCCTAACGCTGGTCTTCCACGTCTTCTCTCCCTAACCTCCATATCCTGCCTCTTGGCCTTGGACTCGCCCTTATTTCGATTTCCGGCCGCCGCGTTGCTTGATTTTTCGTCTCCCACTCCACGATTAACAACTCTCATAGGAGGCCTACCCCTCTTCTTCTGCGGCGCTAAAGAACTAGTCGCAGTCACCGTCTCGATAACATCCGTGTCGGTATTCACACTCATTATTCCTCTCGTACCGTTCGCATCTTTCCTGCCTCTCCTTGGCTTGATCTCGTCTCGACTTGGTTGTTGTTTCCTTAAACCCTCATCTTCAGCTTCCGCTTCACTATAACCCCTTCCATCGTCATTCCTTCCCTTTTGTTTCTCAGCCACAGAACCTAAATTAGAGGATGGTCGTCCACGTCTCTTCTCAATTGGTGCACCCATACCCGCTGGAACCCAAGGTTTTGCTTTCCTCTTCGTATTTCCGCGGTTCGGTGTATTTGAATTTGTATTCAGAGTTTGCGAGTTCGATTGCGCTGTGATTTGACTGCCCCCTTCCACCTCCCCATTTCCAGTATCATCATCCTGCACCTCCCACCAATTCGAAGGCCTCAATCTCCTACGCTTTCCTTCCTCTGCCATATTTCTACCGTAATAATGTTGTGTTGTCGTATCTCAGTTGTCTCCAAGCTTCAACTTTGCCTTCCCCCTCGAGCCTTTTAACCTTGGGAACCAATCATCTCGCGTCCTCAACAACTTCAAAAGTATTGTTGCACGTCTGTCTGCAATACCAACTTTAGGGCTTTTTAGAAAGGTATAATTTTAATTGCAGATATCGAAAGAGGAAACTTGTCTGATGTCGAAAAAAACTGTCCCGGGGATTTTGAAAGAGAATTTGATTATTGTCCAGGGCTTGGGACGTTTTCAATTAAACATAGACAAAGTCGCGCTGTATCGCGAAATCGCGTACATAAATGCGCACAGACCAAGATCACAGCTTTTTTCGAGAATTTTTGAATGTGCTGCTGTGTGTGGAAGTGAATTTGATGGAGTTTTCATCCGGCCTACTAGTTAACAAAGAGATTCACATAGTGTTGATCCACTGCATATATAATGTACTTCAAGGAAATGAGGCATTCAAATCTGAGCCTCTTCCAGCCACAAAGTACGAGAAGCAAGATCGTATTCCTTCATGATCAAGTAGGTATACCTACTTGATACGTATCTTATGATTATTACTCACCCGGTTCCTTCTCCTCTCCCTCAATCCCCTTCCCGCCTAGTTTCGACAATCCCCTCGACATTATTGGAAGCCTTTGTACCTGATGTTGCGCCAGTTATGCCGAGAGTGCACTGCACAGCGAAGAAGATATCTATGATGGATCCGAAGTATTGAAAAGCCATTTTGATTCAGTTGATATCCATAACTCCATCCAAATGCTAGTTTATAATTCATTACCCTTTTCATCTCCTCGTTTTTCCACTCATAACCCATTCCTCCCATGACCATTCCCTTCCCACCCCTCTTCCATCCTTCTTCCCTCCTTTCATTCCCTTTCCATTTCAATTCTCATTTCCACTCATCATCATCATCCATCATCATCATTCCCCTTTCGATTACTAAACTTAAGTCTTCCGCCCCTACCCTTCTTGGGCGCATCTCTTCCCTTCAACGCATGAACATAGGCACCCACACCACCGTCTTCTTCCGCCGGTGTATCGATAACCATTTGATCATCATCATCACTATCATTACCTCCCAGCAACAATTTTCCATCCAGATCCATCTTTGCTTTGGTTCTCGTGATCGTTCGCGCTTTTACGGGTTTGGTAGATGAGATATTGCCAAGTGCTTTACGATCAAGCAAATCAAGGGGCTCATCATCGTCTTCCACGATATATGTGTTCCCGCCTGCAGCCTTCTTACCGCCCTTCTTTCGAGATTTACCGAGGACTTCATCGTCTGATACATCCGAACCAGATGATTCAGAGTCACTGCCATGAAGAGCCTCATCATATTCGTTTTCGAATTTGTTTCTTCTCTTTCCACCAGTTTCTCCATCGTCACTATCTTCACCCGCTTCCTTAGCCGCATCCTTATTTCTCTTTCTTCTCTCGCGAGTCTTGCGGATATTGGTGATGAGCTTTTTGTCTCCTTCCGGACAATATTTATTGACAATTTCAACGCCAAAGCGACGAATCATTCGTTCAAGAATGTGCTTAACCTTTGCCTTGAAATGAGCTTTGTGCTCATGACTCCAGACCATGAGATTAGGAATGAGACTTTCAAGACGAGGAAGCACGAGGGAAGAAGGCAAGGAGATGACGCAGACTTTTACGAAGCCAAGGACGCTACGGACGATTTCACGGTTGTTGGATGTGAGGAAGAGATCCATAGTTTGCACAAGATCGCTAACAGTTTCGGGAGATAGGGATTCGCGGAAGTTGTAGAGGATACGAGTAAGAGCTGTGATAGATGCGGATACCATATGGGGTGTGCTACCGGCGAGACCGGCACTGACCATGGTGAAATATTCTTCGAGAGTGGCGGTCACAGATGGTGCATCATCAGGCATATGCGATACTTTGCTGTTGTCGATTGTAGCACCGGATGACGAAGTAATCTTCTCTCCCATCAAAATGAGGAGGTCGAATGCTGTAGTACGAGCACGCTCATTTGTTTCCTTACACGAGATGACGACCTCGGATAGAATGGCTGGAATGAAATGAAGAGAGTCGGCTGGGAGGAAAGGAATAAGAACAGAGATCGCAGCAAGACGATCGCGTTTTGCTGGTGTAGATACTTTCTCAGCACTGTTCAACAGAAGTTCTTGAAGATCGGTGCTACGTTCTTGCAATGCCGCCTTGCCAGTCTCCGACTCGGCAAGTCGAGGAATAAGCTTATAAGCCTTCTTCTGAAGTTGAGGATCGTCATCTTTTACAATGATAAGAGCTGCCATGCTGAATAGAGTGCTGAAACTATCTCTTGGCAAGTAAATTGAGATTGTAATGACCAAATCCATGAGACTGTGACTTGTCGGTGGCATCTTGTTAGCCGCATTTTGTTGCCTTTGTTTCTGCTTTTCTGCTTGGGTTTGAGCACCGGCTTCGGCGAGGGATGTTCCCAATGCTTGACTAACTCGTTCGAATGTCTCCATAAGTTCTTGAGCAGGTGTAATGCTAAGGAATGCGTTGATACATTGCAAAATGTAACCTCTGAACTGTGGCAATGTTTCATTGTAAACGTTGAACAAAACAGAAAGCATATTGCTGGCGAAGGTGGCCAAATGCTCAATGTTCTTCTGTGCGGCAACCTTTGAAACACGACTCTGGAGGAGTAAGTCTTCCTTTCCTTCAATGGCGAGGATCGCCTGATTAGACTCTACTAAAGTCTGTAAAGCTCTGCAAATATCCGAACGTAGATCAACTTGCCCGTATAGAATGTTTACAAGTATTTCCGCGAACTTAACATCAAATGCTTCAGTGAGATCCAATGGGAGGTCACAATAACCGGGAAGGATAGCCCAAATTTGCTTCACAATAGTCTCAAAAATCTTGATATCCATCGTCTTTTCGGTGGCTCCATGCTCACTGACTCTTTGTAACATTGCTTGGCTCAATGGCTCAAGTTCAGTCCGGAAATGTTGGAGATCCGTATTACTGACATAGTCTCGTAGGATCGGCAACATCCAGGCTCGTCCAGGCTGTCCAGCCTTTGGTTTAGCGAGGTTGAGAGGTAAAATGCTAAGGACGCGTTCTGGTCCCATAGCTCTGATAGCTTTTCCAAGGATTTCATCCGCTTCCTTTTTGCCAGCAAAAGACTCGCTACCTCTCAGCTCACCAATTGTTCTAACGACTTCAGACAGAATTGGGTCTGCTCTCCATCTCAAAGCGTCAAACATGGAACCCATAACATTGAACGTTTCCATCCAAGCAGCTTGATATTTAACACTCAAAAGATCCACTGCACATTTTGCCAGCTTCTCGAGGACTTTCTCGTCAAATATCGAAGGCTCCACAATAACCGATTCTGGGACACAGTTGGCCATTAATGAGATTAGACATTCTGATGAAGATACTCGAATGCTGTGCGATAAGGATGACATAAATCCGGAGATCAAGGTGAAAAGTTCAGGTAATTTTGCAAAAGTCTCCTCTGGCTCGAGTTGCGCAGAAACATCATAACCTCGCGATAACACGGCTATCCATGGGGGAAGAAGTTGAGAATCGTTTTGAGAAGGTCTCAACTCAGAGATAACTTCTAAAAGTCGAGGTAACTTCGATGTCGCAGTTTCATTAGCCATACTCTCGAATATCATCTCAAATACTTCGAATGAAGTCATGGCCAAATATTCATTGCTTGATTTCGAAATATTCAATAAAACTTCGCACAATGCCTCGATCTTCTTACTTGGCCACCCTCCAGATGCTCCCGCGATAGTCTTCACTAATTGTAATGCGTGAATCAAAGCTGGTTCATGCTCTGCCGTTGCGCTTGCTTTCCTCTGTTTCCTGGCTTGATGCGATTGGGCCGCAAGGTCACTTAAACTTCTCAAAGCAGTCTCCGCACACATATCCGCCGCAGGATGATCGAGAGATGGACTTGGCGGAGGACTCTTCAAAACATTTGCCAATGCTTCTTGTGCACGCTTTCTAATCTTAGGTCTGTGATCCACGGCGAAATTCAATAATCCAGCAATCGCTCTTCTTGGTCCGGTTACGTTGACTGAGAGTTCCCATGCTGCGGAATCTTGTGCGGCTAATAACGATTCGAGACATCCTATCGAAGGTCTGAGGAGAGGAGCATCTGCTTCCGGTAATACGAAGGCGGGGGCAAGATTTTCGAGGATTTGGGAGAACTTTGATCGGAGAAGTGGTTGAGGGGCAAAAGGGGTGATAATGTCGAGTAAATATACAACAGAAGTAGTTAAATCTTTGTTAACTTCTCCATTCTGAGGACACGCTTGTCTCAAAAGTGCCAGTAATGCCGCAAAATATCCGGTTGGAGTGGCTTCTGTTTTCTGATCTTTAAGTGTATCTTCAACGGCAGACAATACAATTGCAGTCTACATTCTGATATCAGTAAAGTTCACAACGAAATATGGATGTATTTCAGAATTGGAAACCCAATCAACTTACCTGATGTTGATTTTGAAGCTTCGGCGAACGGATCTTGTCGAGCTTCTCTTGTAAAGACATTGTGAAAGACTTCTTAATTGCTCTTTGCGCCTTTCCTTCAATAAAATTTCAAAAATGCTTCTGATAAAAAAAAGTTTCTGATAATCGATAGCGATCAGACCATCAGTGCAAAGTTGACCGTAGCTAGCGAATATCGATAAGATCCACTTGAAACACCAATACCGAAGGAGATTAGTGGTAAGCACGCTGGGGTAGATATTCACTTTGATTGGTTATTCCACCTCTCGTTCATCCCATTCCCCCTCAAATAGCTGTGGAGCTTCTTTTGAGTGAAGGTCGGTCCAGAGAAGGCAACATTTACTACCACCATAATTACCTAGTATTCGACCCATCTGGCCTCATCAATCACACTTTTGTGCTCTTCTCTATTCTTCATCGCAAACGGTATATCTCTACAATCTTTACATTCATTGTAATCATTGTATACTTCCCATTCACAATATATATTTGGTCTCTCATTTTCAAGTTTGATTGAGGTCAGCTCATTCGCGAAAGTGTTATCGCGGCGCATTCAATTTGTGATTGCCAATCAGAGCAGATTGAAAACCTAATTGCAGAAGCCCTTCAAATAATAAGACCTGTCTAAGTCTCTACACTTTCGATTTACCTCAATCTCAGCCTCCCAGTCATAAAATTCAAGAGCAATCGCAAAAATGCGCATTTCAACCGTTTCCATCCTGGCTCTTCCCCTCCTAGCCGGAGCCCAGGAATCTCCCCTCGAGCAAGCCAAAGCTCAAGCCCAACATTGGTTTAGCAAGCTTCAATCCTATATCCCATCAGCCTCATCCGAATCTCCCCTCGAAGCCGCCGCTGCAAAAGTAGGCGAAGCGAAAATCCACCACCTAACCCTCGACTCCTGGCAAGAAACCATCCGCGGGAGCGTCACCCCAGAATCCTCGCTGCCTCAAGAATGGTGGGTTTTAACCACCGGCGGAAATAAAACCTGTTATGGTCTCTGCGGTAAAGTCGAAAAGGGATTTAATGAATCTGCCGCTATCTTCTCTCTCGATCCTACGGCGCCTCATATGGCTCTCTTGAATTGTGACGAGCAACCCGTTCTATGTAATTCGTGGGGAGCAGGACCACCACATTTATGGACCATGGAGGTTGGGGCTGTGGGCTCACCAGTTCCTATTATCACCATTCCATTGAATACTACTTCAACAACCGTTACAACATTCACGGATTTACATGCGACAAAGTCATACAAGAAGAAGGCACCTTATGAGGGTTGGTTCCATCCTTTTGATGGACAGCTCGCGCAATATGGTGCCGCAGTTCCAGTTGGATACGTACTTTGGTTCTTCGCCATTGTTCCCAGCTGGATGTTCATGATTGGTATTTCATTCATGAGCAGAACCGTCATGTAAGTTTTTCCGCATCGAAGCTATATACTTTCAATGAAGTGGCTGACAATAAATCTAGGAGCAAGCGAACTCTTGGCCCGCAAGGACCAGCAGCTGCTGGAGCTCGTCCACGCGCCGCCCCGGCTGGAGACGGAGTTACTTATTAAGAAATTTATGTCAGAAACAAACATTTGGAGAGACTGCAGAGGAGGATCTAATTCTTAGATACAATGCATTTTCTCAATCGTTAGTGGGCGAAATACAATTTATGTAACTTATCTGGACAAATTTAATGAATTGGGAAATGGGTATCATATATAACATAATATTCCGCCTCTTAACTCCGGGACATCTCATCTATGCCATGTTTACCATGCCCATGACTTGTATCTGTGATGTGCTCCTCTTCTCTGGCGTTCTTCATACGATCATATCCCGAACAAAGTCCACGCGCTAGCTTCCATTATATAGTGCGACACAGCTTCTAGGGAGGCATATTTTCCACTTCCCATATATTAAAGCCAGTTTTCAGCTTCGGCAGTCCCCCAAGTGCGCGAAATATGCATTGCCATACGCGGCTCCGAAGACCTACCGTTCCTACTGCGCGCATCGATTGACCGAGTATACGTTTTCCTTTCGCCATCCTATAGCTCTGATATCTCACTCCACGAAATCCATATACTTCACAACCAACCCGTCACTTTCTTGTCGCAGCCTCCTCAAGCCTCTCTAATCCCTCCAGTAGCTGCGCCTTTAATCCTGTATTTGCCAACCGTCCATAGCGCAAATCACTCAATCCACCAATCGTATTCTGCATTTCAGCAACTAGTTCTTCGGCTTCAGTATCCAGGCGTGCGATCTCATCTGCTAGATCTTCGACTGCGGAGCTGAGGGCTGGAAGGATGGAGTTCAGGGAGTGCGGGGTTGAATGGGGGAGGTTTTGAGTTTGGTGGAAGAGCTGTGGAGGAGGTGTTAGTTAGATTTTGAGTTTGTGCGGATGAAAGTGAAGAGGAGGGAAGGGAAGTGAAGGGAAGGGAAGGGGAAGGGAAGGGAAGGGAAGGGAAAAACTAACAGCACGCTCAATATCCACCTCGTCGTCTTGCGCAGTTCTCTCATCTTGTCTTCGACCCCTTACAACAGCTCTTTCCATGGCTTTTCCACGTCGTACTTCTTGTTCGATGTTCGCAGTAACTTTATCGAGTAATTGTGCGCGCTGATGTTGGAGATCGCGATAAAGGGTGCGGATTGCAGGGGATGATTGTTGGGAGCGAGGGAAGAGGGATGTGAAGGATTGGAGGGAGATGATTGTTGGGAGAGAGGCGGGAGGGATGAGGAAGTTGGTCAAGATTGTGGATTCGGTTGGTGGCATTGTGGGAGGTGGAAAGCTGCAAAGAGTCCTAGGTATTAAATCTGATTTGGTGAGGTTGGAATTGGCGGAGCTCAATTGAGCTTTGTCAAGATAGATTTTCTTGGATAGTTCTCTTTTGTAAATCAATTAGGATTTTGCGAATCAATGTTGATCCAGAGTTGTCAAGTTCTAGGGTAGTGTTCTCCCCTAGATAGCCTCGAGGCCAGGAAGGTAGTTCTTCAGATAGTGTTCCTTTGTGACTGACTGACTGACAGTCTAGGTAATTCTTTAACAGTTTCTACTGTGCTCTTGCAGAGGCAGCGATAATCAATTCGTTTACTTCAACCTTTGATAGACCGGTCTAGAGCATGCAAATGGTTTCTTGCGACAACGGTCTGCGAGTTGACTTTGGAGGGGTTGAAAGGTTGAAGAAACGAAACTAGACCCTGATTGCGGAAGTTCAATGTTCCACAAGTCAAGGGAGAACCATGTAACATTTTGAGGATGCTGATGGGAAAAGTAAACATAAGGAAATGAGGTTATACTTTTGTCAAAATGGAGTAGAGACAAAGAAATAGACAATAATATGGATTATTCATAGCTACACAGACTCGTATTCTGGGCGCATAGATTAAAACACGCGTGACACGTACATACCTTGTTCAGCAGAACGCGCTTGCTTGCTTGCTTGCTTGCTTGCTCTTTCGGTTGTCTTCCTGCACATGTGCATATTGTGGAAACTATTTCTAATTCTAATTTCATCAAACTCCCTTTCTCCATCATCATATTCCATTCATCAGTTGCACGCGACAAATCTTCGAATTCTCAAATAACTCAACAACTTTGGTAGTATCAACATCTAGCTTTGCCCCCCAACAGTTCTATACTCATTAGCATCGCAACAACAACAGCAACAATACCAATACTTGGCTCTTGATATTCATACAAAAAACATACCTTTTTAGATCGGATATCTATCATGGCACCATCAAAATCTGGACCACCGGCCGCTCCTTATGCGAAAGATGAAAAAGTCCTTTGTTTCCATCATGATTTGTTGTATGAGGCCAAAGTCTTAGATACTAGACCAACAGAAGATGGTTCGAGCTGGCAATGCAAGATTCATTATAAGGGGTAAGGAGTTCCTTAGTTCTGGCTTTATCAGTCTTTTTGGACCAAAAATCAAAGAGAAAATCTGTTAACATAATTCTTGTGATTAGATGGAAAGCAACGTAAGTTAAAAATTTAAATTTAAATCCATGAATTAATGAAAAACGCTCGAGTCTTTCATTTTTTGTCCATCTGTCCATCTGTCCATCTGAATATCACGATGGAGCAGACATTGAGAAGAATGAGAGAAAAGAGGAAGTGAAAGAACGATTTTCACTCGTCCTTTAGCTACTTCCAAAGCTGGCAATGTAGCGAGCGAGATAGCTGAGTACCGAATCCTGCCCAATAAAGCTTTGAAGTTTGGAACATGTTAGATATTCGACTTTCCAAATCTTCAAATCTTCAACTGCCGATGTACAATTCAAATAACTAAAATCACTTCCAAATCCAAGCAATCCATCTTAATCCCCGTTTTCTCCTTTATCATCATCACATACCCATTATATCCATCAAGATGCCCAAAACTTCCCCTCAAAAGCCGCCACGTTCCCTTCGGAGTCGTGTCCGTACCTTAGCAGATGCGGATGTCCATACAGCCAAAGCAGGAAAAGCAGGAAAAGCAGAAAAAGAAAAAGAAAAAGAAAAAGAAAAAGAAACAGAAGAACAAAAATCTAACCATGATAACAAAAATAGATGGGATGATTGGGTACCGCAAGATCGAGTAATGAAGTTTAATGAAGACAATAAAGAACTGGCAGCTCAGCTTCATCAAGAGATGAAGAAAATGAACCAGAAGCCCAAATCAGCAACTTCAGCAGGTGGAAAGAAACTTGGAGGTCGAGCAAATGGATCGGATTTTGGTTCGGGTCGTGGTAGTGAAGAGAGACATGCGAGTGTCGCAGCTCAAGGAGGTGGAAGAGGTGGTCCAAGAAGAAATCGTGATTATGATTTAGAACAGGCAAGTTAATCATTTTATTCATTGGAACATTCAAACTTTCATTACCTTGTTCATATACACCATTATCCTCAATCCTCAATCCTCAATCCTCAATCCCCAAGTATTTCCACATCATCTATCCAATTCACTCACCCCTTTTAACTCTTCTGGTGGTTTGTCTTGGATACTATATCATCTTCATCATAAATCCTATCCAAATCGTTTTTGGAGGTAAAATGTTCGGATGAGGAGTGTTTTCATCATACTTGGGTTTGACCTTCTCAAAACTTGGACTTTTCGCTTGCCGCTTTCGGAATAATCGTTCCTCTTCTTCTGCTCAACTTCCATTGTCAAAAGTCGCCAAACACTTCAACAATCCAAATGGATTCCCATCAATACAATCATTTCACAGCATCAACACAACAAAACAAGAAGTCCTGTATTGCTGAGCATTAAAGGCTTTTCTTTCGCTTTGAATCGCTACCAACATTTGTTTAAATCCTTCTACTCCGCTCTTTGAATCACACTTTCGAATATTCAATCTCTTAAAAAGCGTCTACTATCAATTACGACACCAGGTTCATCAACATACAACATTAAAGACCACTTCAAACCTTCCTTAAAAGATTCATCGACGATGGGTTCTACTACTGTACCAGGTTTGGAGCCTCGTGCGAGACCTCTCGCAAAGAAATCGGGAAATTCAATTCCAGCTCTCCAAGATAAAACCAAGGAACCTCAAGCGCTCAATGTAAGTCCACATTCTTTTCCATCAATAGCTCAGTCACTCATTATTTAGGGACAAAAGAAGGCCAAAGCAAGGGTCAAGGGTGTTAACAGTGTACCTGTACCGACACCTGGTGTTCGGAGAAGTGCAAGAGAACGCTGTCCACCGAAGCCATATGATCGCTCAATCATTGACTCTGGCAACTTGAAGATCACCAAACTTAAACCAAGAATGACTGGAAAGAACCCAGACTGGGCCAATCCCAAGAGCGGGCATTGGGATATCATGAAATTTCTTAATGACGACTCTATGGTTCCTAAGACCAATTTGGATGCACGACCACCCAAGGCAAATTTCCAATTCATTGTCAACAATTCTATTCGAAATCCTGAGACATATCGACCGGACAAATTCAGCTACGTCCACACACCAAAACAGAAGCTACCTCCAGTTCACCCTAAACTCCAAGCTCACATCAAAAACGGTACTGACACCATGTCACTGCGTCAATACTATGAAAATTATGAGCCTGGACAGATCAATCCTATCGCTGGACGATTGTTTGACGACAATAAATTACCTCCTGCACGATTAAAGCGAAAGAGGCTATTTCCTTTATCATATGATGAAGCTGCTATAACGGAGATTATGAAGCCTGTTCCGAAGAAAATCAAGCTCACTCTTAAGAAGGCTCTTTCAAAACCTTCGCCCAAGAAGACCCATGCAAAGGCCACTGGGATCAAAATTAAGAAGAAAGTTCATTTTGCAATGGGAATGACCAACAACTCTGAAGTCAGAGTCCATCGTATCAAAACCACCAAGAAGATGTTACCACACATTGCGAAAACGAACATTGTGATGGCAAAACGTGATTTTAACTATTTACAGGAAGAGAGCTTTCACAATCGACCATCCATCAACCTTGTTATTCCTGATCATATTAAAGCAATTCTCGTTGATGATTGGGAGAACGTTACCAAGAATCAACAACTTGTACCATTGCCACATAAGAAACCTGTCGATCAAATATTAAATGATTGGCTCGAGTTTGAAAAACCAAAGCGACCTGTTGGAAGCGCACAAGCAGACATTTTGGAAGAGATTGTTGCCGGTTTGAAGGAATATTTTGAGAGATGCCTTGGTCGCATTCTTCTTTACAGGTATGTCGTTCCTGAGAAGACTTCCATGTCCTACTTTACTGATTCGGTTTAGGTTTGAACGACAGCAATATACTGATTTTCGACAATTGTGGGATAGCGACGAATGTCCACAAACATGTGCAAGTGATACATATGGTGCCGAACACTTATGTCGTCTCTTGGGTAAGATTACCATTTCCTTTCACAATAACATTTTTATTAAGAATCCATAGTTACTCTCCCTGAACTCATCGCTCAAACCAATATGGACCTTCAATCTGTCAATCGTCTCAGAGAAGAACTTAGCAAGTTGACAAACTGGATCGGCAAAAATTCTAAAGATTACTTCGTCAACGAATACGAAACACCTGGTGCAGAATATGTTGACAAAGCTCGTAGCAACAACTAGATAGCTGGAGCTATATGTTAAGGATGAAGAGCTTCAAAGATGAATGGGTGGTTAAAGATGTATCATAGGATGGATTGGAGAATGGCGCTTGATTCCTTAGTTTTTGGCTTTTGTTTCCTGTATCGGTGGATCTTGTGTTACAGTGCATAAGGGCGAAGATTTGATGCGGAAAGTTGAGGAATGTCTAGTGGCCCTTTCTGCGAGAGCCATGCAGTGGGGAAGAAGCAATTTGCATGAATGGATGGATGGGACGAGAGCATAAACATATGGGCAAACAAACTATGCATGCATGCATGGATGCAGGATAATGCATTCTAATAGATGGTGGCATGGATGGCAGATATTTACTTATGCTTAGGTCCTTGTGGTTGACCTTGCCCTGGACTAGGTCTGGTAGTTTAGACTTATGATGCATATACTTTACGATACTTTTACACTCCTTCTGAAGAAATGAGACAGGTTCTCTATGTGATGTGTATCGTTTCTTCCACGTATCTTGATACTGTTCTAAACCCCAGATTTGTGCGGGAATGTTTGTTTGTTTGCTGGGGGCTTGGGTGTGGGTGTGGGTTTGTGTGTGTGTACATATATAAGGAATCCTAACTCACAATTATTGCTTCCTTTGATGCTTAGGGGCCGAGATCCACATAGTTTATTGATGGAAGGGTAAGTAAGGGAGGAAGGCAAAGAAGATCGCAACTGTTTGAGAACAAGTATCTTGAGTGGTATTATTGGCTAGTGTTGGTCTAAATTCCTCGTACAATGAAGATAATCCCTATTTCAATCGCCGCCATCTTGATGTGAACAAACTAGCCTTCTATGCTCAATGAGCGCATGCAGGTTCATATATGGTGTCGCCCTTTTATCCTTGCATCACAATCCTAATCTGCTCCCCTGACCTTTGCATCCTATTCTCCGACAGCATCTCCATTCCTGAATTCCCGTTTCGTATCCCTTCCCACTCCTTCAAACCATCACCTCCTCCTGCAACGCCCTCTCAACAAAGAAACCCGCTTCCGGCCTCCTCCTCTCCCTCTCTTGCCTCTTACTCATCCTCTCCTTCGTCTCCTCTACCGTCACCAATTCCTTAACCTTCATAATCTGACCCGCTATATCCGAAGAAACAGGATGATACACAGAAGCTGTTCGTTTGTGCAGGCCGAGAAATTTCAACACGCGCGAGGATTTCTTGGGGAGACCAATTGCAGAACGTGCGAGTGTTATGCGGAAGTAGGAGGTTGGGGTGGGAGGGGGAGAGGTTTGCCAGGGTTTTTGGACGAAGGCTGGTTTGGATGAGGAGGGAGATGTTTTGGAAATGGATTTGGGTGCGTTTTTGCCGATTTGGCGGAGGGTTGGGGACAGCTTGTTGGAGGAGATGAGAGTGCGTGTTAGGGGGGCGGCGGTAGTGGTGGACATTGTGGGTGGTGGTGATGTGGTGTGTTTGTGTTTGTGGTTATAGTTGTCTGTGGCAGAGGTTAGAGGGGTTATTGTTGATGGAAGAGGATTGAATGATGGCAAAGGGGCAAAATTGGGAAGCGCAGCGCGCGGATATGGAGTAAGAAGGTCCGGGGACAGAATATATACCTTATGATCATCAGCTCCAAACCCAATGACTTCTTCTGCTCTGTAAGTCACTGTTGCTGATACCTCAAAAGTTCAAATAATTGTGAATATCAAACAAGGATTATCGGCGTCGGCAATTCTTTCCACCGATATATAACACACTAGTCCTCGTTTTGGACAAGGCTCGCAATACCTCATACAGCATTGAACTTTCTATCTATTGCGCAGATTTATGATTAATTTCTATGAATCGTTTCTCAGCAATTTCCAATTACTAATAAAGCTCTGCGAGGGCGCTCCTCTTCCACTTAGTCTCAAAGTTGACCAGCGCGCATAACACTCACTCCCTTCCGTTTAGAGCTCTCACAGCTCAAACTCACAGCCAAAATGACAATGGACGTAGCCTCCATCAAGCTCTCCGACCTCCTTCACCACCCCGACGACCTGGACAAAATCCCCGCTCTAAAACTCGAATACACACGGAAGAAATCTGCCGTCGATTCTCAACTTCGATCTGGTCTTAAAGAACAACTCGAAGTAACTCAAGCTGGAATGCACGGTATTACCGATGGTCAACGAACCGTTCAACTTATTAAAGACGAGATGATGAAGATTGATAAATTATGCGCCGAGGCACAAAATATGATCAAGGATTTCCCAAATATTAATCTGGTGAGCCAGACTCATAGGAATTTTATGGCGGTCGAAACTATGCGCAGGAATTTGGTGGATTTTAATGAGAGGTTGACACGGGTGGAGGGATTACTAGAGGAAGATGATAGGGATGAGGATAATATGGGGAATTTGTTGGCGATTCATTATGAATTGACGCAGTTGAGAAATATTAGGGATGATGCTATGGAACAGATCTTGAGGGCTGATGATCCAGGATTACAGGGGACGTTGGAGGATTATTTCGCGAGGTTGGATGATACGATTGATTGGTTTGATGAAAATATTGGGAAAGTGGCTATGAATTTGATAGAGGTGGTTGTGCAGGGAAATAGTAGTTTGGTGGTGAGATTAGCGGTGGTTATCGAGGCGGAGGAGAAGAGCGATAAAAGGGTTATGGCGTTGCAAGAGGCGTTGAAGGATCACAAGGAGATGGCGGCGAGATTTAAGAGTATTACGGATGGAGCCAAGAATACGAGAGGGTATAAGGAGAAGTTTTTGATGGCCATTAAACTTAAGGCGGAAGGGAATGTTGAAGGAACGAAACAAACATTCTTGGAGGATCCAACCAAGTTGGAGAAGGGGTTGAGATGGTTCTTCAATGATTTGAATGCGGTAAAGCAGGGAATGGTACCATTGATGCCAAAGAAATGGAAGATTCTCAAGACTTATGGGAAGATTTATCATCAATTAATGCATGATTTTCTTATTGGCATGATTGATGATCCAGATACAAGTTCGGCGAATATGTTGGCGATTTTGAATTGGCCAGAAAAATACTACACGAAAATGAACAAGTTGGGGTTTAAGAAAGATGAATTACAGCCGGAAGTTTTGGATGGAAGAGAAACGGAATTAGTGAGAGATTTCAGACAACTTATTATTAAGTTTTTGGATCAATGGCTGGATCGTATTTTCAAAACGGAAAAGAAAGATTTTGACGAGAGGAATGTGGATGGTTCGAATTTGGATCAGGATGAATATGGATATTTTCGAACGAAGAACTTGGTCGACATGTGGCGTATGTTACGTGAACAAGTAGATGCTGCAGGTAATTCCCAAAGAATGGATGTCACCGAAGGAGTTGTCGATATCATGATTGTACGTCTGAAGACTCGTCAACAAACATGGCAGGAAATGCTCGATATTGAAGCTGCCAGATATTTCAACGCAACGACGGAACTTGAGGGATTTCAAGCTTTGCAGGATTGGCTTGTTGCTACTGCTAATGATCAAATTGCTTGTATCGATGATAATGAAGATGAGGGACGATTTGGATACCTCACAAGCTTTCGACAAAAATTCGAACCTCTTGTCTCAAGTACATATCTCGAGCGAGTAGATATTGAAATCACCAGTTTGAATGATGGATATGTCGATTTAAGTACTCACTGCATATCAAAATTCGCAACTTTAATCTTTGCCGTCGATTTCAAAACCGTCATGCCGGATTTCTTCACATCAAAATGGTATACGAATACAGCGATGAAACAAATGATTGTTACTTTTGAAGAATATATCAATGATTATAAAAACGTTCTTCATCATTCCCTCCTCGATATCTTTATCGAAGAACTCGCAATTGAACTTTTAATTCAATACCTCGGCTGCGTCCGCAACAAAGGCGCAAAATTCAAGAGAAACGATCCGTTCAAAGATAAAATCTTCAATGACGTATCAACAGCTTTCGAATTCTTCAATGGTAACCCATATCTGACGGAAGAAGTTAAAGGTATCGTAGTAGGTAAATGGGCGGTAACGCAAAGTTTCCTGGAGATTCTGGAGTGTGAAAAATCGGCCGTGCCGGATGTAGTCGAGGGGTTCAAGAGGGAATATTGGGATGCGGGATTAGGGTGGGTAGAGGCGGTTTTGAGGGCGAGAGATGATTTTGATAGGGGCATGTTAAAGGGGGTTAAGGAGAGGTGGGGACTTGTGGTGGGGGATATGGAGAGGGGTGGGGAAACTATTATGGCTAGGGTTAAGTAGTGTGTGTGTGTGTGTGCGTGCAGAGGGGATGTGATGGGTCCTGTGATTGTTGATGTGGTGTTTGTATGTATATATATGTATGCGTTAGGTTAGGATTTACCCATGAGCGTGGAGTTAGGCGTCGCTTTTCCATTTCCCAGAATCACCATCTCTATATGTTGTCCTGGGCGGATGAACGGATGCGAAGGTTATGCTTATATTTGTACATAGATAGATAGATAGACGTGGCGTTGGAGTTGGATTTCCAGTTTATATCTAAGTTAAGTTGAGTTGAATTGCTTTTTCCGATTGATTGATTGATTGATTGATTACATAGCTCTGGTTAGCTTATGAATAGTATAGTAGAGAAGGTAGGTGATCTTATGATTTTATTTGAGAATAAGAAATTAGAAATGGGGAATGAGAAATAGAGAATAGGAAATAAGAAGGGTTTTGGATGTAATGTGAGGTTTTTTATTTGTTAATTTTATTGTATTTTATTGAGTTATATTAGAAAAGATATTATTGAATGTATTTGATTTAAATAATAAAAGAGTAACAGGGGGCCCGGAGGGGTTTAGAGAGGGGGTAGAGGAGGGCAGGGATTTATTTAAATATTTGAGTGTATAATAGATATATAGATATATATCTATATAGATATATAGATATAATTGAATAATATGATATAAAGTAAAGTAGGTAATATAATTAATATATTTGTTTTATAAACTTAATTATTCAGCGGTTGAATTTTTGAAAGGGAGAATGTAGATAATAGATATATATATATCCTCTTGTATTATTTTAAGTATAAAAGTAGAGGGGAAAGATAATTAGTTATTAGAATGCTAGATGCTAGATGCTAGATGCTAGATTGGAGGGAGATTAAAGGGGTTGATACGTGGCTGGGCGAGAGTGTTGCGTTTTGGGTTTTGAGTGCGTGGATGGGTGGTATATGGCTGGTATGCGAATGTTGTATGGGATGATATGATAAAGTAATATGAAACTTAATTGATATACGAGTATAGGCAGCAAAATGCGGATTGGAGGATGAGGGAGTATGGAAATTAGTTTTGCAGTTGGAGGATATGGATGGATGGGTGGTGGGATAAAACGATATAATGTTTTTAAAGATGAGATATGAATAGTAGGTGAATACCAAGTGATTGAGTGAGTGAGTGATTGAATGGTATGTAGATAAATAATGAGATTGGCATTGGGGATAGGATTGGGAGAAGGAATTATGGGATGGGATGGGATGGGATGGAATGGAATGTAATGGGATGGGATGGGATGGATGGGATGTTATGTGGATGGATATGGAGGATGGAGGGAGGGGTGGAGAGTAGGGAGAAGGGAGAAGGGAGAAGGGGGGGAAGGGGGAAAGGGGAGCAGGTGAGTAATGAAAATATCTGTTTTATTATAGATCCTCCTGACTGGAAAATGAAAATATGGAACTTTGAAAGGAGATTGAGATGATAGTATGAAGATTTCAAGAATGGATGAGCATACATATATTCATACCAAGCCAAAACATAAACTAGGTTGTCTCTCATATTCGCATCATCTAATCATTAACTCCAACTCATCGTCACGCCGCTTTTAGAACCGAAGTTCCAGGTGAAAAATATATCTACTGCAGATAAAGTGGAAGTATATATGCTAGTGGAAAATGATGAAAATAATGGAAAAGGTAGTAAGTAGTTAGACAGAGATTACTAAATTGAAACAAACGCAGAAAAAAGGCATGTAGTGAGGGGCGTTATGTTGACGATTAAGTGAGATGAAGCTCATCCATTCCAAGTACTGATATTGATCATAGCCTAGGACACAACAGTACTATGCTCTATATCCATACCCCCAGTTACATTACAAGAATTATAGAACCGTTTGTTCAGCATCTTTACACTGTTTCCTACTTGACGATCCCCGACCGGAAATACTGCACATTGTACGCCCCAATCTACCCATTTACCAATATCTCCACATAATGCTCAAGAATCCATTCATAGTCGCGGTACTCCTATCATAAAACCCCGTATCCGGGTGCATCCCCATTTCATCATCTGTACTTCTGCTCCTAATATCATTGTCCCACGTTGTACTTCCCAAGATAGGAGTTCCTTTTCTAGGAGATTAAAAAAAAAGATATAACTGTTCCATAACCTGTGGTGTTTATCCCGCTCCCAAACCCGCAAACTAACACCTCCCAAACCAATGCGAGATTCCTTAAATATGTGGTAATGGGTCAAGTTGCGAGGGGAAGAGGAACGTTCCTGTTATGGCAATGTTTTCTAAACGGGCGGACATCTGTAATGAATCATCCATCTCCGTCGGGTCTGTTGGTACTTGTGATTTCGGAAGATAGGGATAAGAGTATGTGTTTGAATAAGGAATTAGTCCTGCAGAAAAATCCGTTCTAGTAGTTGGAATCTCCTTCATTCTTGTGCGAAGTATTTGAGTCCATTGCTATTTTGACTTCCATATCAAGTTTTGGTGGTGGAAGAAATGGTAATATTAAGCGTTATTTGGACCAAATTCGTGTGTGTCAACGTCTTCTTCCATTTAACTGTACTTGTGGTCGAGAATTGAGATATCGAAGGGTAGTTGACTTGACATCCATACGCACATCGCTCCTTGTCGTAATAATTCCTCTTCATCTAACCAAAAAAGAGATTGCTGTAACTACTCGATTAGAACCTGTCATCTCTGGAAAAAAAAATCCACCGATGTCCCATTCATCCCACGACTAAAATCGCTCAACTACAACGTATGGAAAACCGGCGTCCCACGCCTCCGTGATAAAGTGCAATACCAACTCCCTACTCCTTCGTTAAACTAAATCGATCGCAACAAATATACTCCATCCAGGAGTGAAGTAATTGGTAATATCACCGCGAAAGGTTGTTAAATATGAGCTATTTGTCCATCGATAAGAACTTGTACTTCTCGAAAGATAAATGACCAAATTATTCGCACCAAGGCCGGATTGTGAATATAGGATTGCTGCGCCGCTTGTAAATCGCGCGCGAGAGAGAATAGCGCTTGTGGCAAAAGACAAGGGTCTTTGTGGGCTCGCTCAGTTCCCGAGACATTAAATGCAGATGAGGAGGAGGTATTAATCCCCACCCTAGAAGAAATAGAATAAACATTTCTGCAGGGCAGAGCTTGGAGAACTTGTCTGAGTATCCGAAAACTCAAGTATATTGCCGTCAAAGTAGTAAGGGATGTCGGAAAAGTCGGCAGTTGTGTGGGTAAAGTCGAATATCATCTTTTTGGGGTCTTCCATTGCGGTGAATATGCGAAGATTTTTTTTGGTGTTCTCTTCGAATGCCACTTTTTGTTGGCCCTGGATTCGTACTTCAAATACTTCGCTCTCTCTGACATACATCGCAGCTAGATAATGAAAATTTTCGCCTTGCAGACCTTATTGAAATGCATTATGACTTTACTCGAACCAGTTGCGCATGCTGCTGGTGTGCCGTTTCCCGCTGGCTCGCCAAAATTTTGAGAAAACGCAACTCTCAAGAGGAAATTATTGCAAGTTGATTACGCCCCATTTTGGTTGTGCCATCTAAAGCTACCGGAGCTGGAAGATGCTGCGGATGTATAGAGGACTCGAGGGGAAGTTATGGTCGTAGATGAGGATAAAGTAGAGGGAACCGCAAAAGTTTAAGGTTGAGCAGCCCGAATATTGTATTGCTGAGTTGGCAGAAGTTGGAGTAGGTTGTTTGACGATAAGATTCAGTTGATCAACGGACAGAAATAGTCAGTAAACAATAGCAGGAACACAGAAGAGAGAGTACACAGTGAGGCACCAAAAAAATCGGGACAAGGCTGGTAATCCCCATTACGATCACGAAACTTCAAAATCCTCAGTGATGTCCCATTAAGCTCAATTGATGGACATAAATAATCATTTATCAGCAAGCTCTAAACTCTCAAAGCTTTCCAATCAAAAACAAAATAACAATCACGAGGAATAAACCGATGAAGATATAAGAAATCGTTATGTCATGTTTCGTCACCGATACACGCCAACGATAATCCCTTCCCAGACCGGTAAATTCTGATTCAAATGAAATCGAATACATAATGTCAAGAAGATGACGATTTATTGATTAAGATCTTCTCCAGCAAATGGGATGGTGCTTCGAGACCGATACACTTAGATATGTGGTTTACTCATTAGCAGAGATGGAGCTTCGAGGTCGTAAATCCGCCAGCGCTTGGATAAAAGAGATGATAGCTCTAGTAGAACTGATGGGCTGAAAAAGCTTGGAGTTACCATGGCTGTCTGTGTAATCCTTATTAAAATGGTTGGAACATACGAGGTTGCATCTGCACTCTCGGTGTAGAGATGATCCGGCGCGATAATATCATGTGATAAACATAATCACGTGGACATGACCCTCCTTTTCAGTACTTCATCTAAGCGAAGGCGACGACATCAGTGAAGATATTTCGGAAGAAGGACTTTTAGAACAAATTTTGGGTGGAATAGAATTTTCGATTAATTACATTTTACACCTATTCATATCCATAAAATTATATAATTACATCCGAACCAGATATTGTCATACTAACAACCTGACGTTCACACCGAGTTTTACCACGGAAAGCTTCTTAAAACCGTCATATGACCATATCTTTTCTTTTAGCAGCATATCATTCACTACATTAACCTCAAAATCGACAAGATACCATACACTCAAAATCCAACGTTAATGTCGCCAACGAACCACCAATTCGCTTTGCAGCTCAACATAAGCTCAGACTGTATGCTTGATCTGAAATATCCTCGAACCCTTGAAAACAATTTCCTCACTACACAAGTTACACGCACTTTAGTCCTACGCCATCTCATTTTCAAAAAAAAAGTCGAAAAAATGATATGCATAGTCTAGACAAAGACAAAGAGTGCTGCTCCATTTCTCCAAGTCAGCCAAGAATTCCATCACGGGGCCCTGGAATTCTCCGACCAATGCTTTGGAACTTCATTCTACAAGGAGCTGGACGAACAGGATGGTCTCTAATTTACTTTTGCGAAAAGGAACTAATAATCTGACTATGAATCCGACCTTAAATGTGAATCTTGGAACTGATATTATGCATCCTCAGAATTGCAGGACTGAGAACTCAGTCTGACATATGAAAACAAGGAACGAGAAAATATTCTTCATCTTCGCCTAATTTGGAGCATCGCCATTGATTTGCAGACTCTAGACCGGGGATATGAAGGTAGTTGGGGATTAATGCTAGCGAGGTACTCAAATACCGAGTAAATAATTTTTGTTGCGAGACTCAACCATCTCAGCTGCAAGAAAATAACCAAATAAAGACCCCAGAGATATACCTTGCACGTTGTATCTTAAGATTGGTGAAGTTGAAAAAGCAAGTGAGTTTGATTTATCATGAGAGGCTTGTCGTCGACTTTTATGAATTTATTTGGGCGGATGAATTATTTGATGAAAATGGTCCAACGGATGACTGCCCTTTCAGGTCCAGTAGCTTGGAGCTTTTAGTCGATGGGAAATTGTGGCCCAGGATTCTTGTCGTGGGTCTTTTGAGTAATTGGAAAAGGATTTGAGATGTAAGTTCGTACGGTGTATGGTGGATGTGTGTAGGATTCCGAGCGAATATCCTAGGAATAGTTTTTGAGGAGAGGCTAGTGGTCAGGATTCTTCTGTATACGTGCAATGAAGATATAAATATATAGTAATTTGATGAGAATATTACTAGAGAATGAAAATATCATCTAAATTTTCAAGTGCAAGAAAGGATGTGACTACGAACAGACTTCATTCTATAGTCTTCTTGGTTTCGTACATGTGGGGGCGGTGATATTACGCCATTATTCTTTACACACTAATCGTGATACAAAGGTCACACGTCTCTGTGAGTAATGTCTTCTTCTGATAAAAGAATTCAAGGGCAATTTTAGTCTTGATATTCAAACCCGCCCGAATTCACTTCCAGATTATCATGCTATTGTGACCTCGTAGTCACTGTTCTTGCAATTAAGACTCATAGCTGTTGAATAATACACCATTATAGCATAACGCCGTCATTCCGTACTTATAAAGCTCACTCCTCAAAGTTAAAAATCTAGTCCGTTTCCACTTCTTCTCTTTGACCCATAATAAACACTACCTAACTTTGAACTTGCAACCTGCGAGCGCGACTTACAACCCAGCTTCAAATTATTCCCTTCTGTCGAATGCCTTCGACACAACCCCAAAAATTAGCCATTTTAGCAAGATAGATCACCATGGCGTGACTAGCAACTGTAACGCGAGCAACTCTTTTGCAGGTCTCAGAGAAGTTCAATCAGCGGCGGAAGAAGAGACTGATATTTTGACTACAAACCTTCGACCTACGCCCATTCAAAGACTCAGAAATGAAGATGAAAATGGAACCAAGCCTATCCATTATGCTGGTGCATCTGATCTAGAACCCCTCAGAATGCTCGAAAATTTTACTTGTTTTCCGCGCCTTTCGCCAGAATTGCGCCTGAAGATCCAGAGAACGATAGCTTTCATGCCCCGTGTTGTTGCATTATGGGAGCAGGCACGTCATGATGGGAATACTAGACAGCAGATCTCTATACAAACGACAAACGCTGCCGCAAAATTACTACAAATTAATCACGAATCTCGAGTCGAAGGGTTAAGATCTATAAGCCTTGTTTTAGAGCTCAATTACGTGGCGATATTTTAGTTAATGAAGCTTATGATACATTTGCTGATTCTGAAGAGCTCGTCATTTACGCAAACTTAACAGCGGATACGGTGTATTTTGACAGATTCTGCTATCAAGTCCCGTTTCTAACCGGCCTACAAATTCGTTTTACAGTAACTATATGAAAAAATTTATGGAACACGCAAGCAGCATTGCCATTGATGTTTGTAGAGCGTCAGGAAAAGTTATATGTGGACTATTTGCTCCCTGCTCAAATACTCCCCTAACATGAAGGAAGTGCTACTCGTTGTTAGAATCAACGACAATCTTATAAATCGCACAATATCTAGTCATTAGGACTTACTAGAGTTCGACGAAGGCGAAGCTAGTGGTTATCGTGAGAAATACCGAAGATACTGGACTAGAATATGCGATGCTTTAGGCTCTAGGTTCACGGATCTAAGCAAGGTGGTAACGTTCAGCGATCCAAAGATCAAGATCGTTGGATGGACGAGAGGTGGTGTCCGAATCTGAGTGGCATCGGCAGTGTGAAGACGTGGAAAATGGTAATTATGCTGGTTAGGTTAGATAGAATGGCCTGCTCATCGTGGCTTGGGATATCTTTGTGTTGTAGATGGGGTCTAGGATAACTTTTTTATATTCCCATTAGCTAGATAGGAAGACACTTCAAATCATATATATTAAGTGAAGACATTTTAGTGTTTAATTTCTTAACAATAACAATGTCTGACAAAGAATTTGGTATAAATACCAAATCACGTAGATGCGGGCAGCCTTGCTTAATATGTATTGACTCAATGTTGAGAACACCATCCCGGAAAGTTGTATATCCATTACGTAATTGTGATTTATTGATGAAACAATCAGAATTGCCAAATCATGTCATTTCCTAGAATTGCCAATTGATTGTTTGGAAAAGCCAAGGAGAAAGCTCAATAACAGTTGGGGCAATCAACATTACACCTGTTCCCATGTCAAAACTTACCAAAACAACCTTAAAGGTACTTGCATCGGGAAATCTTCGAAAGTTGAGATATTTTTACAATGTCTATAGTTCAAGAGCGTATTAACTTCATCTAAACCAAAGATTTGCCAGGAAGAACTTAGATTCTAGAGAAAACACTCAGCTCAAGGTCGTATGTCAGCCTTAAACACTTCTATAGCCTTGACACAGCCATAAACATTATAAATGAGTATATAAGTCCATTTATAGTTTTTATATGCTAGTTATTTGCGCAAAATCAACCTTCGGAAGGCCGCAAATGAAGTTCGAAAGTGATCATCAAAGACTCCTCTCTCAGACCTCGTAATGAATTCTCTCCGAATTTACAGCCCCATCACCATATAACTCCGCTCGTTTTTCTGGTAATTCAATAACTGGATTAGAGCCAGGTAGTTCCGCGATTCCTTCCGGAGGTTCTAATTCGAGCAAAGTACTGTGAGTCCTTGAAACCATTGGTTGAAGTCCCTCAGCCCTACTACTCTCTTGCTCCCCGGTGGCACTTTTTCGACCCATCTCAACCATCAGACCGTCCAAAGAATCTATATTTGGGCAAAGATGTTCCGTAGGTGGAGGCATATTTTTTCCTCTTCGCTGACGACGCTTTCGTACAAAGTAGTAGCCAAGCATCCAGATAGAAGCTATGAGCAACAAAATACCGATAACACTCAAAACCACCGTGTACGTAAGTCGATCGCGAGCACTACCTTTGTTTGATTTGTCGATAGCAGATTGTTCAGAAGGAGAGATTGTAATAACAGCTGTGTAAGCACCGGAAGTCAAGCTAGCCATGGAACTTGCTTGACTAATGGCGGATTGCAATGAACCCTTCAATATTGGATCTGTGGCTGTAGATGCAATAGAGTTCCAACTAGTTATCTGGCTCAAGGCAATGACGGTTATACCGGTGGTGGGATATTTGCCTGTAGATGTGATGGATGAAATGAGAGTGGTTGTACCACTGCTCAAACTAGCCCAGCTACTCCATTGACTAATCGCAGAACTCAAATGACTTTTTGTGTACGAATCTGTCGCTGTCGCCTGAATCGAATTATAACTAGCAATTGAACTAAGGGCAACGGCTGTCGTGTCCATGGTCGAGGCGGAAGTTGGCAGTGCTAGAGTTGTGGAAGGCACTATAGTGGTCTTTGTTACGAGGATGGTGCTTTTCCCTGTTGATGTAATGGGTAACTCAGTTGGACCACCGAAAATTTCAGTGATTTCACCTGATACAAATGTGTACCCCGCATCCGCTGTATATGTAACTGTCCTAGTCGATGTTTCAACAGGTAGATTATTGGAATAGTAGACATCATGGTATGTTCTGGTGAATCTGGTTGCCATCTGTGATAGTTAGCTAGATTGACCAAATGTTTGAGTGGATTGTTTGTAGAACTGACCTTTCCGTAGAAGTTGAAGTCGAATGCACACGGAAGGTTGAGGATCAGAAGCCAGTATTACCAGGAAAGAAATCTCAACTTCGCTTAGTACAAACTTTGATCATCAATCATTCACTCTGTGACAGCTCCAGCTCAGCCACTAAACCTCAGTACTAGTTATATCAAGTAGGCTTATGCCCCTCTTTTAAGATGAAGGTAAACAAGGTGTCGGCCTCACCACGATATCCACGCGATGTAGTGTCGCCTTAAACCAGCTTGCTGGAGATGTTCATCATACACCGACTAGAAAATAGGGAAGTGTACTGTTGATCACTGCAATTATGAATACCATAGAATTATACACTACAAGTCTGCTACTTGGAACGCAGAAGGACTCCTGGGCTTGTCTTAAGAACTGGCTTGTTTCAGGAAATCTTTGGCTTACAGTTTAGTGAATTGTGTGGCCTTGTTATTATAATAAAGATGAATGGTGTTACAAAGACATGATGTTGAGCTGTATGTAAGTTCTACGGTTCGAATAAAATACCTACACAACAGACACTACTTCAATTGAGTTCAAATTTCATGTACTGATTTAGATTATCCGTCGAAGTTCTCTTAGCTTATTTTTTCCTTTCGTCCCATCAATACTCAGTGAAGTAACCAAAAAGCTTCATGTAGTCAACCATCCCTGGCAATCTGTGTGCAGATAGCTGCAGAAATTCTCAACTCTCTGCATTGCATGCCATTGCATACCCTCCATAGTTATAGCCCATCTCGAATTCTGCAGCCGCTCAATGATCTTGCCGGCCGAGATACATACCATAAGCACTTGCAAGTTTGGAGAAGTGACAAGTGCCGATATGGAAATACATTGTAGATCCTGTGAATCTTTAGATCCTCATTTGATATATCTGATCGGTTTTGGTACGTTAAGACGTTGATACAATCCCTTTTATCATTACTTCCGGCTCTTGAATTCTCGTAATATATTCAAGATGAAAAAATGCTCAACTAACTCTTCATAATTACCGGCGTCCCTTTCCTCAAGTTCGGAGACGCTGTTTCTCCAATTGTTTACCGAGGACTCCCAAGCTCTTCTTCTCTGAGGTTTCACCTACAGGATCTCTCCCCATCGTCGTTTTGGGAAATATCTAGATCGATGCATGTACGTTTAGATGTATTTCAATGCCCACATCGATATCTTCTGAAAATAAAAATTCCTGCAGGGAGCATACACATGTGCAAAAATTGAATACTCCCAAAGTATAAGTGTGACAAGAGTGGCAGCTTTCTTCTTGAGGTATTTTCGCAGAAGGTTGAGGTGATAATTTCCGAGACAATAGCTGTTGGCTCAATGAAGAAGTTGTGATACTGACGAAAGAAAATAGTTCTCTTAACGACTTCCCAGATACAATGATACCGTCTCCTTAAAAATTTCGACTGAGTATAATGCACTTCGAGCTTTTGACTGTTTTCGCAAGAATGGTAAGATTTTACCACTAGGAGAATCTGTTTAACTTTATATATAGCTACAGGTGGCTAATACAGCTATTTTCGTGACAAAGGATAAAATGATGATTGTAGTCACTGCAAGTGCTGGCTGTTAAAAATCAATATTTCCTCGCGCGGCGCAAATTCAAACGATAAATAACTATCGGTCCAGTAAGAGTAAACAAGGAAATCCGTCACAAATCACACAAAGCGGGTATTAGCAGGTGAGGAAATATATGCGATGTCATACATACACACGTGCGTGTATTCCAAATATATATAAACTTCAAAACCTCTAATGTGGTATTACAGGTGAGCTTTAACAAACATATATGTTTCGCATCATCATATGATGCCTTCCCATTTTATGAATTGCATGCGACGTTGCATACTTGAATATCGTAAGTTATGGTCAAGCTTCGCCATAATAGGATATCACAACGGCACAGAGATATAGCGGCGTACCTACACGAAACGAATGACTTTGATTGAAGATTCATAGTGTGTTTTTGATTTCTATTTAGGGCACAGTAAATGGAGAGGCGTTTAAGTTCCACGACGTATCCATAAGATCTTACAAGAAACATTAAGCATTCAACATTAACCCTCAACTTCAATTTCCCATTCCAATCATATGGTCACACGTGCGCATAGCAAGAATACAAACTTTCGACCAACACAAACTATAATATGAGATTATGATCACTAGTCTCCATAAACACACCATTCCCCCACCAACCATCATAAAACCCTCTCTCACGCCTCCATCTCAACCGGCTCTCTCCGTATCACCGGGCCATGCATCTCAACCGGCGCCCTATCCATGCTAGGACTATCCGCCTCAGCCATCACCATAGTCCCGCCAATTTCAGGCGTGTGTCCATTTTTTTCCATCAACTCATGTATATTATCATCTGGACCTTTTGGGTCGTGAGATGAAGTGCTTGGATCTGTGGGTGGTTTATGGTTTTTTCTGTGTCGGTGGAGGAGCCATGTTGCTAAGGTTAGGAAGGTTATAAAGGTAACTCCTCCTATTGCTCCGCCGATTATGGCGCCTGTGTGGTTTTTCGGAGAATTTGCTTGACGATTTGATGATACAGTGGTTTCCTGTGGTGTAATTGCTTCTGAACTGGAGACTGGTGCTGAGGTAAAAGAAGAACCTGGAGTTGGTTCAGAACCGAAAGTTGTCGATGAAGTAGCTGATATATCAGATGAACTTGTCGTTCTAGTTATCAAGTTATACGGAGTACCTAGTGGTGATACGAAGAATAGCGCTGGTGAATTTTGCGAGGTAGTGTCGCAACTATATGAAGTCTGGACTCCGAGACGGGGACTTGATGAATCGGACAGTAAAGAGCTTTGGCAGTAGTTTGTCATACTATATACGGTAAGTCGGCCTATCTGAAATTCGTAAAACTTTTAGGTAAATCTCGTACCAAGAAAGTGTTGTGGTAAAGTCTTGCGTATTGAAATTATACCCATAGCAACCATCGCTGCATGCTGCATCATCAACACAAGCGCCATACATTTCACAAATTGGCAGCTGATCGCTGTAGGTACATAAACCCCAAATCCCAAGAGGATACACAGTTGTGCATGTGGAATCTGTAGGGACTGTAAAGGGAGAGTTGCTATTTCCATAGTAATATCCACAAGTAATTCCTTTGGCTCCTTGACGTCGTCTGAGATCCGGAGCTCGAGTCAACGGATGGGGAAGTGAGGATTTGGAGGATTTTGAACTGTCTAGGTTTATTTTTTCATCCATTGAGGGGATTGGAGAACTAATTGGCTCAGAATTTGTGAGGTTGCACAAAATAAAAGCCGACAAAATTGACAGTAAAAGCATTTTGCAGGCTTGAATACTTTTACCAACTTTTGATGTTACTCTCCCTGTTGTTGAAGGGATGCCCTCTTTTTTTTTTGAAGCGTCCTAGATAGGATAGATGAATGAAACCGATGAAGCAAGTCTAGCCTGGCAATTTGTGATTGCATAGGAGGTTGCAACGGGAGATGTGGTAAATTAGCTATCCGTCTTGAAATTTCAATCCATTTCATTTGTCCTTAAAATTCACTGCATTCGGCGCATTTGAAGATTTTCAAAAGAATGTCATCCGGGAAAGCTTGGATGTTAAAACAAACAAGGTAAGAAGAATCGTCCTTATTGGAGAGTATGAATGTATATCTAGGGGCGAAGCAAAAAGCAAACGGGAATCAATCTCGTATATTTCCTAATTGATGGTCATAGCTGCGGCACGGAATTTTGGTTTGTTTGTAAGTCTAAGATACCAACATGTTGGTATTATTTAAAGCATGGTTAAAGCTTGTATGATAGTATAGAATATTGTATCGGCCAACTAGGACATGTATGAAAATGAGTTGTTCTTTCAGAAACTCAGAGGGTAAATTGTTTCTAGTTTTAACAAGTAAGTGACAATGATAACGAAGTATATAAAATCAAAAAACACAAATACCTCAATAATAAAAAAAGTTATAAAAATATAATCAAATAAAAAATTAAAATCTATTGAGAAAAAAAAAAACTTTATATTTTAATAATTATCAAAATATCAAGTTAGATTAATAAATATAAACTTTTAAATATCAAGTCTTAAATTATAAATTTGAATTTATTGATATAATAATATTTATATTTATTTATTTATTTATAAATATATATATATATATATATCAAAGATCTGCGCCCTCTAGATCTTTAACTTTTTAAGATAATTTAATGAAAATTTAAATTTTAAAAAGTTTATAATTATTGATTTATTGATATTAAAATCTTATTATATATATAATATATTATAATTTATTTGATATAGATTATAGAAAATAAGAAACTCGTTTAAATAAATTGTAATCTTGATAATTTGATTAATTTAAAGTACTCTGGTAAATAATCTAATAAAAAGCTTGATATAAACTTTATAACCTTAAACAAATCTGATTTAGAAATTTTTTCAACTCAACTCAATTGAAATCATTCAAATCAATCAAATCATTTAACTTATTCAATTCAATTTTATTTATTTAATTTATCTTATTTAACTCAAAATAATAATAATAATAATAATATTTAATTTTCAATTGTCAAAAACAAGTTAATATTCTATCTGTACCCTAATATATATATTCAATATTTAAATTTATTATAAACTTTTGAAAACTTAAATTTTTACTAGACTTTCACCGAAAAGCCTGGGGTCCGGGGGGCGCAGGCCCTTAATAATCTACAATAAGTAAATTATAATATATTATATATATAGTAAGGTTTTAATATCGACAAGTTGATAATTATTAAATTATTTTTTAATTATCTTTTAATAATCTTTACTTCTTTTCATCAACACTATTGAGAATGACTTTATATTTCTTTTATAAAATTTAAATATATTCTATTATTATTCTGATAGAAATAACACTTTCTACCACTATTCATACTAGCTAGGTAGCCATTCAAGTTCTTCTATCAGAAGAACTATATCCTGGAAATGAAATCATGTGTCAACTTTATCTAGAATTGCGATTGAAAGTCGAGTTTTCGAAAGTTTTGCTAGAGAATGAACTGAATGGTGAATAAAGATAGGCATCTGATAAAGGAAACCTCTCGATTTATTAGGCTGTGTTTGGAGTCTGGAGAGTACCTGGAGTATCTCTCTCGACTCGAAAGATTATCGAGTTTCGAATCTAAATTCGAGTATAGAAATAGATGCAATATAATGAATGGATGCACCGAGCTACACACCCAACACTACCCAACCCATCATCTAACGTTACTTTCCTTTCCATCCCATCCCATCCGATATAAATCTCAGCAATCCAGAAACACAACAACCCACCCCACAATCCCGCAGCCCACACGCATACATACAATCCACGTAATTAAATACTTCAATGACAAAAGTCACAAGTATCACTATATAAATACAGAGGCAAGGGAATCCTTCGTCAACAAAAAACGCGTAAAATGAGGGGGAAGATTATCCGCAATCAGTTGAACCCTTGGCTCTATCCAATCTTTCAAAGTCGCCGTGTCGATTTCAGATTTATACACTCTAGTAGCGAAGGTGACTTTTTCCCGTCCGAAACCCCTATTGATACCGTTCGCTTCCCTATCGACTACCTGCTGGACCCATCTTCGTAGATAACAGAGATGTCTGAAGAACTTTGAAAGCATATAAGTGACGGCGCATTGGTGGTAGTGATTGATTTGGTCCCAATCAGGAATGAATGGGGTGCCTTTAACTGAGCTTTTAGGACTGGGTTTGTGGCTGGTGTAAGTGCTTGCACTGAAATAGAGCCAGATGGATTGGATGGAATTAGAAACGTCTGTGGTTCCTTCGACCCATAAGCCCAGCCCTGACGATGTTCGCCAAGAGGGGCTAAGCATATCACACCACTGTGATTCATCTAGTGCGATGCTCTTAATTCCTGAGCTCTTTATCGATGCCAAAAGCGCCTGTTGTTTCGGCAAATCATAGTCGCCGATGGGACAAATTCTATCGCAAACGGGATTGGTGTAAAATCGTGGTATAAGGGTCATGGAGAAAAACGAGAAGGTGTGTTTTGCGACCATGACCTTTTGAAAGTGTTTCTTTGCTTCTCTCCTGGCCTCTTTGCAGACACTAAACAGCGCAGGTATGGGGGTATCACACCGAAATCTGAAGAGTTGATGTTCTTTGTCTTGCATGATATGTGGCCCTTCGAGTCGGTGAAGATCTTTGACCGCGACAGGTATTCTGCGTCGGTGAAAGGAAGCGAATAACCACACTTGAGATCGAAGTTCAGCTGGAAGTTGCGGAAACTTAGTAAATCTCTTTACCCCATGACTATCATCGCCAAATGAAGCCATCGTGTTGGTAAGAAGAAGATTCAAGCAAGGACGGTTATGCGATGATTTTTATATTATCCGAATGTTAAAGGTGGTGAATATTTGAAGTGAAAGTTAGATCAGATGTCTTTGGATGTTTGAGGTCGAATTTGTCGGTAGTAAAAGTAAAGTAGTTGTTATGGGAGAAGAAATTTGCGTTGGCCGAGAAACTTTGGACTAATTAAGGTAGCGCATAAGTTGTCCGTACAGCCAATTAGCAAAAACGCTAATGTGGCAGACAAATAAAGATCGATACCTCCACCGTACTACAACCATTCCTGGAGTATCACCGTACCCTAATCCATTTCCTGTTTTGATGTTTTGATGAAGATACCACATACCGTATACATAATTCAATCAACCACCCCTCACTCACCCCCTCCGCTAAAACCCGAATCCAAACCCCGCACCCCCATTCCCAGCACCACCTACGCCCCCACCCCTACTCCGCCACTTCCACCCATCCAATCCCCCGCATTTAACCAGTCAACTTGTCCCCACATCTCTTCCATCCCAATCCCTTCAAGATCGAAGTTTAGATCCAACCCTACCGTATTCATGTTAAAATCTAATCCACCTTGAACGTTTGATGTGAAATCTCCGTTTATCGTTGTTGATGGCTGCATAAGTTGTGGTGTGAAGTTTGCTGCTTCCATGTTCCAATCCCGAGTGCCTTGATCGGTTAATCCCGAATTTTCGGTTGCGCCTCTAGTCGTACGTTCTTCCATCTGCACTCGCGCTGGATTAATTGTGCCCTGGCTGTTGACCACCCTGGAATTATCTTCCTGTCTGGGTATATCTTTCCCCTTTTCCTTATCAACTTCTCTACTCATCTCCCCACCATCAAGGACCCATTTCAGCACCCGTCCTACCACACCTCTCACCCTCTTCAACAATGCATAATTCCCATCTGTATCCCTTACCCAATCTAAAAACGCCGCAAATAGCGTTAATTTTTGGACCGCCATACTTCTTGAAAATCTGGTCTTCTCCTTCTCCTTTGCCCTCCTTTCATCTCCCTCCGTTCCCGTCTTCTCTTTCTTGCTCCTCTTCCGAGATCCATTCCAATCACTCATAAGTTTAAGCAACTCAACACAAACTACACCCGCAGCTGGAACGCCAAAACTAGTAACAACCCAATCAAAAGAAAATTCAAGCCCCACTAACTTATCTCTTTTCTCCCACATCATAATAACCTTTTCAAGCATCTCCATTGCTGTATCCAATAACCCTTGATTATAATTTCCTTCTAGGTGATTTGCTAATGCTAGACGATGTAGTAGAAATTTATTTTGTAGTGTTTCCAACGAAACAATTAATTGTACGAAAAGCACGACACCTGTCGATGTTGGATTGAATGAAAATTGCTGTGGTCGATTTTGCGAAAGTGAGGCAGTTCGAGCAAGAAGCGAATCGATGCGCTCTCTACTGACCTGCACATCGACTGCTAGAGCTCTTTCTAATATCTCTTCTTTGACCATGTAGATTGGCATCATACTCCTATTCCAAGTTCCACAGTACATTTCGCCTTTTCGGTTCCATCCCTGTTCGTCACATTCGGCGATTGCTTGTTGCATTTGTGCGCGGGGAAGAAAAAGCTCTGTTTCTGAGAGATCGGATAGTGTATGAAGGCGACAGTAAAGACGAGGTATACCAGGTGGAGTGCCATTGAGAGCTGAGCAACATTTGTCCATCTGGTAAACGGAAGCGATGACTCGTCGTTTATATTCGGCTGCAGTTGTTAGGAGGTGCGGGGGAAGATGTGGGAGCCGGTGAAGCCCGAATGCGTAGGCTGATGTTACTATGTTTTCATGACGGTTGAGATTTCCGTAACCTTTGTATTGAAACTCTGTGTTAGCATCTCTCCCACATAAGTGACTGACGGTGTCACAAAAATCAACTGGACATAAAGGACAACATACTTTCATCCCCAACAACAGCACTCTCTAAAACAAAAATAGCCACCCGAAATGCAACCACAATCTCATTGACTGCGTCCGTACAATCACACATTTTCCCCATCACATCCGCACACTCGTTCATTCTCCAACTAGTCTGTCTTCTATTCCTCCCATGATTCTCCTCTTTTTGAAACAATGGATCTTCATCCGCCAAACTCTGATAAGATCTTCCTATAAAACAAAATAAAAGTCCCATGACTTCCAACCGAATATTAGGCCCACTAAACGTGTTGAGCCAAGCAATACCATCATCTGGAGATGGAGGTAATGGGGTTTCCTCATTCTTCAGTAATGTTTCGACGAATGGGATAAATTTCTCTTTGCTCCGGGGTTCAGCTAGACTAGAGCCAAATGTGTCGAACAAGCTTGAAATTAAATATTGGATCATGAACTCTGGCATGACTAAAAATTCAACTATATCGTGATACCGTTTTAGAAGCTCATTGCAGCTCGAGCGGGATGGTATGTTCCAAAGTGCTTTCGTGATCATTTCACATCGAACTGTGTAAGACGTTGGTCGGTTTCTTCCTAGCTTTGATTGTGTTAATAAATGAATTGATCGATCTTGAATCCTCGGAAAACATAATAAAATAGAATGGAATACAATATATAAAATAGATGTGGAAGGCTTGAGGTGAGCTAGACCTAGACACGGTCATACCTGTGTTCTGGTGCATATGTGTTACATATAGAGCAGCCTGATTGTAAATATTTGTACAATTTGAGAGCGATAATATGGATATTCCTTTATTTTGGTTTCAAAGAAACTAGCATCTAGAAATCTTTTTAATGAGAAAATAAGATTTTTTTTCGCAAGGAATATAAACTAAATTACTTCCAGTCACCACTTAAATGATTTCCCCCTCACTTGGAAGAATCCCCAATTTATCAAGTGCCGGTGAAGATAGAAACTCAAACATTGGACAGGAACTGCCTGCATAGTCTCCACATTCTCTCTTCTGGTCTACTCAGACTATCTTCCTAACACCAAAACACATCATACATCCTCCTCGGGCTTTGTTTCGTTTGGAAAACACCAAATAGTCCGAAGAGAAAAACCAAAATAGGAAAGAAACTACAAAACTCACCAGCGGCTGACCAAAAGGCCAAGAACTAGGATTTTTCCTCCCATCCTCCCCAATATCCAACAAACCGCCAATTCCCCATTCCCTCCTCAATTCCAGATTCTCCTCCCACTTTCTTCCCATTCCTCTCCCCATCATTTCCTCCAACTCTACCATCACCATCCCTGAACACAGCCCCAAAACTCGTAGGACCCCAATAACGTCGACTTTTTGGGTAACTGGTTCCGTTCAAATTACTCTGCATTGTCGCTTTTCCCGAATTTTGATCTTGGGAATTAGAAAGTGGGTGTTTATAGGATTGGAGATGCGGGCTAGATGATACACAGCCGCGAGAAGAACGGTAAATGTTTGCCATGGACGGGGGTTCAGGGTTTTTAGTTGTACTTTGGTTCTCCGCTGTAGTTGTGAAAATTCTGCCTAGAGAATCATGCCGTGAAGTGGTGATGTTGTCGGCATTTCGGCTTCCATCTCCATTGGTTTTAGTATGTTTCGTCCTCCACTCATTCTCTTCTTCTCTGTCTCCATCGCTCATAGCTGCCGCAACAGCCAAGCTATCCAGGCCTGCGACGTCTCCTCCTTCATCTTCCATTTCTTCACGAACTCCCTCATCCACTGTCACCTTTTCACCTACCCTCCTCCGTTTCACAACACTCCTCTCACTTCTTTCACCGCCCTCACTTGTTTCATTCCCCTCCTCCCCTCTTCCCCTACTCATAGGCGCAGGGTGATACCAGCACCTCTCCTCCAAGCCCCTCTTAACACACCTCCCACAAACTGGCAATTCATGCCCACAAGCCAATTTACCCTTCCTACAGGGTTCACACGAAGGACGTTTACCATTTCTGCGACGCATGATTGTCGTCCCCTCCACACCTTCAGTATCCATCTCAAGCTGAAAGCTTAGTTGGGTAAGGAATAAATGTTAAACCGTGGTAGAGACAAACACCGATGGAGTATATCCAGAAAGGTGGGTCTTCCGTGGGTATCCCTCAAACCACAGACAAACCCAAGTAGTTACTTACCAATCCCGCCTTCAAGTTTCCCACATGCGCAGCCCAAACCCAACAAACAAATCTACACAACAATCTCACGCATTAAAAATCTCCTCTCCTCTCCTTTCCTCTCCTTTCCTCTCCTTTCCTCTCCTCATTAAAACAACCCAATCAATCCAGTCAATCCGACCGTATAATCACATATAACTGCACACGCACAACGAAAGAATAAAGTTCCTCCTTCCGTCTCCGTTGAGTTGAAGATTAAATTCTTATCCGAGGCGATGACAAGTGGGTAAAACCTGTCCGCGCACGTGCCGACAATCAAACATTCCATTCCGTTGCATCATCCTTGTTGGATTTGGGTGTATGGAGTATTATTATCTACCGAGCTAGGTATTGTTGGTCTATCTATTTGAGAAAAATATCAACAGTGTGCTTTGGCGAGGTATTTAATTATTCATATAAATTAAAAATACTACTTATAAAGCTATAGGGGAGAAGATCAGAGAAGGGCAAATTGTAACATTAATAATATACGTAGGTAGTTAATGGAATAGTAAAGAGCGATATCATGCACACATCAACATACTACAAGCACATCATAACACACGCTAGCACTCATTCATTCGTTTTCGTCTTATTTTTTAATGAGGTTGAGTTTCATCATAATACCTATACTCCCACTTCCTACCCGCAGTATAGCGAGGTAAAGTGAATAGATATGTATCATTAGTCATTCTCCTCACTTATTTTCCTCTTAACTCGCCTTGATCCTTTATTCATTCACTCCTCTCCTAGCATTCATCTGATTAGATCTTCTCCTTTTCTTCAACCACCATCTTCTCAACTCTTCGCAAATACTTGGCTCTTGCTTGCCCCGCAAGCAAAGAAAGTATATTCTCCCATCGCTGATATCATACACTTTATACCAGTCGTCCCCTTCCAATTACGTATCCCGCATTCTGGCCCCACCATGTGGTCACTACAACAGCTAAATGCGCGCAGGGCAAGCAAGAAACTGAATCACGGCCATCATACCAAAATAAAAGTGCAAAATGATCAATCGATCAATCAAGCTTCAGTATCAGCACGCACGATAGCGGTACAAGCTGCATGCGTAAAACAAAAATGAAAAACTCAATTATCGTCCTCCACCTCTCCTCATCATCTCGCATTTCCTTCCCTTCCTTGATGTCATAAATATTTTGAAAAATCCATAAAGCATATGCCGAACATTGTCAATCCGTCGACCCTCATTATTTTTGAAGCCATCTCAAATACCAAATTCTGGAGACTGGCCCATCGACGGTAAGTCGATGGGTCGGGGCATGATACCAAATGAACTGTCGACGAGTTCTTGAAAGTGTGATATTATACAACGTGCTCGTGATTGTGCGGAAGAAAGGTAATGTACAAGTTGGGAAAGCGATGTTACTTAAGGATTGTAGCGAATCCAAATATCTGGCGATGAAGTAGGAGATTCTGAGTTCGCAGCCAAGTGGTGATCAGTGGAGGTAAGATTACTCTTCTTCAGAATCTGAAGACTCATCACCACTTGATTCCTCTTGCGTATGTCGCTCAACGCTCTCAATGGGCTCTTGAGAAGCTGACCCCGGCCCTCTTTCGTAGGTTTGCATCTTTTCTTTAAGCAGTGCAATGTTTCGTTCTTGCTCAAACTTCGACATGGGCTTGTTTTTCTTTTTCTGGGGAGGTTTTGCAGGAGCACGAGGCTCTTCCTTCTTGTCTTGATGTGTCGCTCTAATATTGGCCTCGCATTCTGGAGCATGTTCATGAATGGCATCAAAAATCCTCCAGAGAAGATGTGGCTCGAGCTGGTCAATTTCCATTTCTAAAGTACCGTCTTCCTCAATCTAGGTAAGGAGAGGTTAGCTGATTGAAGATTTGTCAAACAGATTGAGAATTTACTTACCACCATTGATGGATGAGCTGATTTAACCATTTCCATCACGTCTGCAGTAATGTGGTCAGGCAAAAGGCCAATTCCTGCAGAAATTACTTCCTTCTCAAAAGTGCCCAAGTATCTCTCTTTGCGAGCTCCCCCAGACTTCTTCGAAGGTCCAGTAGTGCTTTTCTTGGTTGTTACAGCTTTTTTTAAGGGTTTAGAGGGTCTTGATTTCTTGCTTGGTTTTTTGGGAATAGCCGCCAACTTTTCTTTTTCTTTGTCGGCGGTTTCTTGAATGAAATTGAGGATTTTTCTCTGCAAGGCAATGGCATCGGCGGATTCCGGTTTCGACAGCATATCGATAAGCTTGGACTGCTCGATAAGAAGTCGGGCAGTAGCGGCGCTTTGTAGTGTTTCTTGGGCGGGCTCTGGCTCATCTTCGCTCTCCTCATCCTCCTCAGTTTCTTCATCTCTATCGGGCGTTACAGCTACAGGCTGATGATCAGCGATCCATCGGTCTTTCTTGGCCAATAATCCATTGAATAATTCCTCAAACTGTTGGCCCATGACACGAACAGGATTTCCCTCGGGGTTAAACTTGTAACAATTGTGGAAAATGAGCTTCACATCTTGTTCAAACTCCTTGGCCCTTGTGTAAGCACCATTTTGAAGCTTTTCGGAGACAGTCGAGATGTCCATGGGCGATTTGATAATGGTAAAGTAGTTGGGGATTTGCAATGCGACAGGATCAACGGGAGTCATGAAAGCACTAGAGAACATCAAGTATTTCGACTTCTTCATCTCATTCAGTGTCTCTTCGCACCATTTAAGCTCGACGGAATATTTCTTGCTCTTGGGTCTCGCCGAAGAATAAGGCAAGTCCTTGTTCTTTGGTGGATGAATTTCACGCTTTGGCCTGCCGTCTTTAGTCGAGTCGCGGCGAATTAATGGTGTACTGGTGACTGGATCTAAAGCAAAAGTCGGGGCTGGAGCACTGATTGGTACAGCAGCACCAGTAGATCCGCGAGATAGTCTTCTAGCAGCGGGAGTACGAGCAGCAGTGTCGAGAGATGGCGTAGGCCGTTTAGGCTTCTTGATCTGCGCCTTGGCCACGTGGGCCGGTGGCTCTGGTGGAAGACTTCCCAGCTTAGTGATAATTGATGTCTTCACGTCATTGGCAGCGGTTGTAATAGCATTGTCAAGCCCATTGAAGGCAACGGCGTTTTCGTAAAGGAGTATGGCATCATCCACGATGGCTTGGATCGAAGGGTATTCGCCAGTCTTGACCTTCTTCTCCATAGTACCTAAATCGACCTCAGTTTTCACCTTCTGCGCATAGGAATCGGCAAATCCAGGCCAGAGTATTGCGACGGGAGATCTAAAGTTCTTTCCTGCTGCAGTCTTGATGACATTCTTAATGATTTTGATGATTTCTTTCGTCTCATGCTGGGTGATCGGGCGTGACAGATTGACGTTAGAAGACGAAGCACCATTCGCAGTCACTCCGTTCTGCGTGGCAGCTGGAGTTCCCACATTTGAAGATACTTTAGGTTCCTCGCTTTCCTCAGTCTTGGTGCGTTTTGCAGATGGTTCCTCTTCACCGTCATCCTCTCGCTCGCGAGCAACTTTTGTGACCTGTGTTTGTGCAGGCGCATCTGTCATATCAACATCATTAAAAGCAGAGTTGGTTGCCGCGGATTCTATGGTAGGCTCTGAAGTGGCATGCTGTGCTCTCGGAGAGATGTCCATATCAATAGATGGCGGCGCATTGTTGGGAGACGATGGAGGCAGATCGGCTCGCGGCGCATCAAAATTGAGATTCATGTCATCAACGCTTTCCGCCTTTGTCTCTTGATTTGGTGCAGGAGCCTCTGGTTCCGTCAATGATTCTTCCTTTTTATCTGAAGCTGGCAAAGACAGTTGGCGTGTAGCTTCAGGCACCTGAGTGAGTGGGGAAACTTCGTCGCGAGTATCGGATACTGGGGCTTCGACAATAGGTGTAACAGCTGTAGGCGCGAAACTATCATTTGCAACTTCGGGCATTGAATCGGCTGGCGTAGGTAGATCGGATACAGCGCGTTCTGGTTCCTCGACTGACTTCGAAGGCTCGTCGGTGATAGTTGTTGTATTCGAGTCTTGCAGTTGAGACATGTTTCGACTCTCAGGAGAGTCTTGCGCGTGCGATTCGACTAATGACGAGGGAGGTACAGAACCGTTAACAGCATGTGATTCTGCATTTAGATCTCCATTTATTTCTGATGTAGACGTAATTTCGGCAGATTCGGATGTGGTGACTTCGGGGGCGGGAGATTTTTTCAATTCAGCATTAGAGGTTGTTGGTTGTACTTCAGTTTTGAATTCATCTCGAGTAGAAGATCTGTAAATTTTTCATTGATAAATATAAGTGTACAAATAGATGAGGAAAAAGGAAAATGAGCAAGGAAACTATGGTAGAGAAGACTTACCCGTTGATATTGAGATCCAAAGCCATCGTATCAGATGATGGAACGGGTATTGTCTTTTGCTCCAAAGGTAGATCTTCTGAATGCTGGGTGGTCATGACGGCCATCAACAAACAGAGATCCTCTATTTACAGAGGTACTGCTTGTGACAAAATTGATGAAAAGATAGCAGCACTAGGCTGATATCTGAAGTTGATGAAATTGAGATGAAAGCAATGCGACCAGGTCGAGCTGGATTGTTTCTCAGATATTTGATGGTTTTGAGAAGTTGCTTGGTTCTGGGTTTTAGTTGTAAAATGGAAGGTTTTGTCGCAACCAATATTTGCGACAAGAGGGATTCTTTAACTGTGAGAGTACTGCGGAATACGTCAGCTAGATTGTGCGCGCAAGCTTGAGCACGCGACTTCAATACAGTGAATAAAAAGCAGAGAACAATGACTTCAAAGCTGAACTGCACGGTACAAGCATAACAGAATAAATGTATGAAGATATAAGGTAAGGTGGCGGGATAGATGAATGTTCCTAGACCTACCTTTCTTTTTAATCCTCGGCGCAGCCTCGTTCGATATGCGACAAAGGATTCTGGGCTGTAGCCTTACGTATTCGAAAGCAAGGATGGGTTCAATATTTGGCCACTCTTAATAAAAAGGTGAACAAATAGAGAGAGATGGCAGGTCGGGAAATCACAGGTTGATTTCCAATCCGATAGAATTGGCCACTCAAAAAAGAAGAACAAAAAGTGAGTTCGCCCTTGGAAAAGGCGCGGTGGGATCGATGGTGTAAGTACTGTTTTATATCGAGATGTTGTTTTTAGTGGGAAGCTAGAAAGTTCAAGTCGCCGCTTTTTCGCCTTTGGATGGTGTGTTGCGTTATTGTTTTGATGAAGAACACGCGACTTTGAAAATCTCGGAGTTTCGTTTCTTCTCTGCCTCTCTCTTCCCTTTGATTTGATTGATGATGGATGGCAGTGTAAATAAAAACCTGTGAATTGAATCGTAAAATATAACTCAGGTACACCCTTTTTCCTTTTTCCTTTTTCCTTTTTCCTTTTTCCTTTTTCCTTTTTCGAGATGATATCAACCCGAAATAAGAAAGAGAGATATGACCGAGTGAAACGAAGCGCGACGCGATTTAATCGTGAGAAAGGTACAACTAGCGAAAGAGACCTCCAAAAAATCGAAACTATCAAGAACACCAAATCTTAGCGTTGACTCTTACTCTAAAGCTTTTTAAAACGGACAGAATGGTTGATTATCGACTTGATGAGTTGATGTTGATTTAAAGCGTGATACTTTGTGACATGAATTTTGATTTTCAAATGTGTTGGTGGATGAATGGAACGATCCAATGAAGTGAATTTCCTTTTCGTCCTTCCCATTCCGATGCGCGCGCACAAAGGATGATGATGGGTGGATGATAGATACTGGGTACCTAGTTTGATAAACCCACCCGGTCCATCCCGGCGATAATGCTCTTCCCTTCACTTCACTTCACTCTAGGGAAAACAAATGAAGGGGGAAGGGGGAAAGAAAGAGAAGGGAGGATATAAACCTTTTTTGCTTTGCTTTGCTTTGCTTTGCTGTGATGAGAGAGAATATCAAAAGGATAAACTCTCGAAAACTAGATGCGCTTTTAAATAAATAAAAAAATAAAAAATAAAAAATAAAAAGCAAAAAATCACTCTCAATCACAATGATACACGTGAAGAATGAAATTAACTTTCTGAGCCTCAACTGTTCGACTTGATAGATAGACCTTTTCGATAAGAGAGGTAAGAGTATCGTTATCGTCTTTATTTTGATGATGTTGCGAAGGTCATGTGTTGAGGTGTATTTCAGGTGAAGAAGTTAAGATGATTGATCGGAGGCTGTTCGGTGGTGGTAGGTGCTCTGTGGCTCTTTGGACGAATGAGAAGGCTGTCGCAAAATCAAACCTTTAAAAAATTTGGTTGCAAAGACCAAAGACGAGATCTTTCGGGGGGACATACCATTAACATATTTAAACGATAGCAAGTGATGACCACGAAGCTAAGCCTAATGCATTCTTAGTTTCCACTGCAGGTTGCCTCGTAGCACCCAATCAAATCATCCATTCAAATGACTCAGCCCCGCTAGAGGTAAGGAAAGCCTGGAAAGGAAAACATTCGGCAGGGGTCCAACAAAGGTTGAGATGGGTCAAGACGTAAAATGGATATCATTGGTCCAATCACTTAAATGTTGACAATAAACATTTCCATTCATAGATCCACCTTATCTGTTCCGCACTGACTTTTTTATTCACCAAGATAACAAATCCACGTGATCAGGATTTATTTTTTCTATCTTGAGTAAAAAAAAAGTTTCATGAAGTTTTGCTGATCGATAGCTTCCATGGTAAATTTACCTGAACTCATTCAGCACCACCATCCGAAAGAATTGAATTTGAGTTGAATTCGAATAGTCTCAACCTTTTCATTGCGATCAATACTGATCCGACTTTCAAAATAGTTTATCAATAGGCAAACTTTGATCGGTTGCCATTTCTTCAATTCAAACGAAATTTCACTTTCATCTACCTATCCTTCGTCGTATTCAATTTCTCGCTCTTTTTTAAATCACACAACCGACAATTAAAGACAATGTCAGCTAAGAGGAAACTTCCGACCAAGCTTGGTCAACCAATGGTCAAGCAAGGTGTTAAATCATTTGGAACTGGACATCTGGATGAATCAAAGACTGTGGTATCTAGTGGAACTGCCAATAAGGTGAAGACGAACGGAGTCAAGAAGAATGAAGTGGTCGAAATTTCTAGCGATGAGGAAAACGAAAGCGATGATGAGATGGAAGAAATTGAAGAGGATGGGAGTGATGTGGAAGAAAATGGCAATGTTACCACAGATGTGGCAATGGAAGATGAAGGAGCTGAAGCTGCGGAGGAAGATGGAGAGCCAACATTCGGAGATCTCGTTCGTGCCCACGCGTCAGAGCCTATCGATGTAGCAGCCGCTTTCGGTGATTCTAAAGCTCAAGCCCTTTCATATCCTCAAAATTCAATTCAAGCTCCTTCTGGCGCATCCCTCGGAACCGTTCTCACTCAGGCACTCAAAACAAACGATGTCGCCCTATTGGAATCTTGTTTACATACTACGGATCTCAGTACGATTAGAGCTACGATTCAACGACTCGACTCCCCTCTCGCCGCGATCTTATTACAAAAGTTGGCAGAAAGATTACACCGCAGACCTGGTAGAGCTGGTAGTCTTATGGTTTGGGTTCAATGGTCAATGATCACACATGGAGGATATCTAGCCACTCAGAGAGGTCTTGTCAAGAAGTTGGCCGAGGTAAACAGAGTTCTGGATGAGAGATCAAAATCTTTACAACATCTCTTATCTTTGAAGGGTAAATTGGATATGTTGGACGCACAAATCAAATTACGAAGAGGTATGCAAAACCGACCAAGGTTAGACAGCGAAGATGATGATGAAGGTGTTATTTATGTGGAGGGTCAAAGCGATGATGAGGAAGAAGTTATCATCAATGGATTACCTCAAAGACTTGCCAAGAATGGAGATCTCGAAGATATCTCAGATTCCGAGATTGAGGAGGAAATGCTCAATGGTTTAGTCGCCGAATCTGATGAAGAAGAAGAGGATAGCGAGGATGATTTAATAGATGATGAGGCCGAGGAAACAGATGCAGATACTGGAGATGAAGATGAAGTTGATCATGATGATATCGATGATCAAGGAGAAGATGATGAAAGTGATGATGCTGTACAAGGACCACCAAAATCCAAGATGCAAAAGATAACAGGCAGTACCTTCCATAGAAGATAATAAGAGAGTTTGACTGTTAGATGCATTTCGGGCGTTTACATGGTCTGGAGTTTTTTGCTTGCTTTTTCTTTCCCTTTCTTTGATGGGATCTTAAAAAGAACACAGGAGGATATTTCTTTTTTGTTGTACACAAGCATATCTTGATTGTATGTGTTTTTTGTATGTTTACAGAAATTTTAACTTAAAGTTGAAGCTTCGAGCCTGGGTACAAATATGATAGGAATAAATATCAATATCAATATGAATATAACCTTTAAGAAATATAAGAGTTCTGAACTTTCCTCACTGTATAGTATAACGCTTTTTATTTAAAACCTTGATTTATTCACTTTTTCAAATCCTTGTTAAATCTTTATATAAAATATATATATATATATATATATTGAAAGAAAATTAAAACTAATCAATTGAAATTTATTAAAAATTATTTAATGTATTTTTAATAATTTTTATTCAAAAGTTATATAAGATTGAAGATAAAAATTATTAAAATTTTAAAATTTTCAGTTATTTTATTATTAGCTTGTTGATATTATAATCTTATTATATATGAGGTTTATCTAGTATAGATTGTAGAAAATAAGATTTGTTTAAGATTACGATATGATTAGTTAAAAAATGAGTTATATTCCTGATAATCTGATTGATCTAAAATAACCCGGTAAAAAATCTAATAAAAGCTGGATATAAACTTTACAATCTTATATAAATCTGATTTAGAGCTTTTTTTAATTCAATTCAATTGAAATCATTCAATTTAACTTTATTAAAATCATTCAACTTTGAAATCTTTCAATTCATCTTATTTAGTTTATAATAATAATAATAATAATAATAATAATAAATTTATATACCGATTACAGAGGGGATATGATTTAATCGTTGTTTTCGAAGGTCCTGATTATTTAAACTTAGGATTCCAGGATTTTTAGAATAAGTATCTTAGATAATTATAATAGAATAGGATAAGTATCTTATCTAATTGATTGTAATAGGATTATCATCTTAGAGATTATTATATCCTAGAGTTATAATTCCTAAAGGGAAAGTTTCTGGAATAAGTATTCTAAGAAAGGAAAGACCTTGGGATATGAAAGACTTCAGAATCAATTATATGATATACTAACTCTATTAATCAGTTAACAAAACTAGTATTATAGGAATATTAATTGTATTAACTAATTAGTATAACTAGTATACAAGAAAGAGATTAATATATAATTAGAATAGTTTCATAGTTTAGAAGCTTTATATTCAATTTAGTTATCAATTAGTTTATTTATATTCTAATTGATCTAGTAATGTATTCATCTTCGAATAGATAATCAGTGATTATTAGCCTTAATCTACAACTACCAATTATACAAAACCTGAGGCAGTCGTTGTCTCTATCAGAGATCGTTATAATAAGATCAATTGATAATTGATTAAATTAATTAGGGATTAATTAATCAAATTGATCAAAAAACGAAAAAAAAATTACAGGAATTTCTTTATTTTTTTCTTTTCATTTCTTTTCTTCAAGAATATCAAGTTTATTAAGGTATTTGAATTTGTAATGTAATATTTCATTACATTGTTTTTTGAATTGTATTTTCTATTTAACAAGGTAAATAATCTTAATAAAAGATTCAATGATTTCAGTATTCAATTTATCGATCTATCGATTAAAACTCTTTCAATTATATTTTCAAAGAATTTCATGATCCCAATTATCTTTCAAATGAAACTCAGTATTATATAAAACAGAATTTCGTATATATTCCAAACAATACAAATAATGTTTATTAAAGAGATCTTTAATATAATAATAATTCTTTTATCGATAATAAAAACAAAAAATCATTTCAATATTAATAAAATCAATAATTGTAGTTAAATATATATATATATATTTTTTTTTTCTTTGAATTAAATTATTAAAGAAATCAGAATTGTTTATAACGAAAAAAGAAAGATAGATAAAATATAAAAGAAGAAAAAATACTAATTATTAAATGAAATCTGAAAGATTATAAATAATTAGAACAATATTTAATTAAGAAGGGAATAGTATTACGATTTATGATTAAGATAAAGATATATTGAAAAACGATAATCAATTTGTCTATATAAATTTAAATCTTATTGAAAAACAAAGTAATTCGTATACAAATTTGTATAATAATCGTTTTATGTAATCTTTTCATCTTTAGCAAACTCAGATATATAATCTGATTCTAATTATATAATAAGAAGTCCTGGAAACTTCGAAAGCTTTTAGAACTTTAAAAGCTTTTTGGAGTTCTAAGGCTTTATAAAGCTTTTTTATATTCATTAGTATATAATCAGAATAGTTTTATAATTTAAAAGCTTTGTGTTCAATTTATTTATCAATTAGTTTATCTATATTCTGATTGATTTAGTAATATATTTACCTTCGAATGGATAATCAATGATTATTAGTCTTAACCTACAACTACCAACCATACGAAACCTGAGGCAGCCGCTGCCCCAACCAGATCGTTATAGTAATCTAATTCAGTTTTCTCTTTCAATTCCCTTCTTACAATGTATTATCGGGATGTATATATCTCGACCTATCACTTTTACAATATATATAAATTTATCTATTCTTGCAAAAAGAATTTTCAAAAATCATCAGCCCTACTCTATTTAAAGCAAAAAACACAAGATTTTTTCTTTAAAAGAAAGGAAATTGATTATAAATATACTATCTATTTTATACTTTTCGTTATTCTAAAACATTGCTTTTTGAATAATATATTAAAAAAAAAAAATAATAATATAACCTCAATCCCCCTCAAAAAACCCTTTCAAAAGACCTTGATAAAATCTATTATAACAATTTTTATCAAAACTATCGAAGAATAATCTCTCTTTGACTTTATTACTAAATTTCTAAATCAATATTATATCAATAATAAAAACCTCTTTAAATATTAAAAAAAGATTCTAAATAAACTCAACAATAAACTTGTAGAGATTACTACAAATTATTTTCAAACATTTATTATTAACTTTATCTAAAACAAAACCTATTTGAACAAATCTACAATCTCCTCAAACAATATCAACACTATCAAAATTATATATATCAAAATTATATTTACATCTATTATAATAAACAAAATATATAATATTACTTTAATTATAAAATCTAAAATAAATATCAAGTTCAACCAAAATAATAAATTCTTTATTCGATTCCTATTAAATCATTTAATCAAAGAAATATATATTTATATTATCTATATTAATCTTAAAATCAAATTTAAAATATATAACAAAACCTTTAAAGATATTCAATAGATCAAATCTGATTTCGTTTTTTGTTTAAATAAAACAAAATCCTTTGTTATATTCGAATCTCAAATATAAATTATTTTCAACTTCTTCATTTTCTTTATAAATATAATATATATAAAAAGAAATATTAAATAAATATCTTATCGATTTTTTAATATCTTTAAACCAATTGATTTCTTCGAAAATAATTAATATATTATTAAAGATATAAAGTTAAAAATACTAAAAATAATCATTAAAGAATTAATAAATATTACTTTATTCTCAATAATAATAATATTGAATAATATAAATAATTTATAATTGATTTATAAACTTTTTCAAATAATACAAAAGTAAAACAAACTCTAAGATTAATATATCTTTTCAGAGTTATAATTATAATCTGATTATTTATCAAAAAGAATAAAATTATTCAATACAATAAATATTAGAATTAATATAATATTAGAAATTATATTAAATCTAATAAATATATATTATACAAAATTTATATTTATTTCAATAAATATAATATTTAAAATAATTATATGTATTTTTCAAGATATCTTTATTATCTTAATTTCTATATAATTGATAATTGTAAATATCTCTTTTATATAAATAAAAAAAAATATATATATAAAAGAATAAAAAAACAAGATCAAGAAAATAGATAATTTTATTTTAATCAAAAAAAAAAAAAGTATAAATTTATCAAAAACTTTTTCAAATACAAAAATTAGAAAAGAATAAATATAATAAATATAACAAAAGTATAAATTGTTTTTAGATCATTTATATCTTTTATTTAATCTATTTCAAAAATGCTTTTATTTATTATATGATATACAAGAGCCTTATAAGAGCTGAATAAACAAGGTTAATTATATTCCTTAAAATCTATAATTGAAGAACTATAACTTGTAGAGAGAATTTATATATATATATAAAATATCTATATAATAATTGTATAATTATATACTTTCTTTCTTAAGATGATTATAATATTATACTAAAAAGAGTGAATTTGGAAAAATATATACAGACTATCAGCTCACCGATAGGAATTGTCGATCAATTGGAATCACGTGATCGTCCTTTATACGAGGTATTATATATTCTATTAGATTTATTATCTTGAAAAGTATTAAAATATTTAATTCTTTAAATAATAATAAATAAATAATAAATATCTCTTTTCCAATTGAATATAAAAAGAAATACAATTATATATAAAATAATGTTTTCAATAATATATAACAAAAAAATAAATATAATATTAATATAAAAACCTTATATATTACAAAATCTTTGTTATCGAATAATTAAATAATATTCAATATATTAATACTATACTTTTATTAATAATTAAAAACTTATTAGAAGATTTAAAATAATCTTTTATATTTGAAAAGAACTCGAGATCTTTATTTTTCAATTTAAACTTTTAATAAACGATTTATATATTCTTTTAAATCTTTTTATATTCCAATTAGAAGATAAATTTAATTATTTTATAATAATCTTCAATATTTATAATAATGTATACAATTCCTTTATATATCTTTAAACAATTATCTAAATCCTATAAAATATTTCAAATTGATATTTTGAAAAGAATATCTTTATAAACAAAAACTTGAATCTTTTATATTATAATTAATAATTCTTTTATAAAAATAAATATTTTTCAAAAACAGATTCTTTTATTAAATAACTAAATAAACTATAATTATTTTTTATATTCGAAATTGATAAATTTATATATAAAACAAATATTATTTTAGATTTAATTTTCTATTCAAATAACTTTCTTCAACAAAATCTGAATATAAAAATAATATATTATTTGAATTCGATCTTCAATCATTTTCTACTTTTTATTAATATTCTTTAAAATACAAAGAAAGAATATATATATGAAAAATTTAAAATCAATAATTTCAATTATATCCTTTTCAAAAAACTT